AAATAGCATCTAATTTAATTGTCAAATGCAATTATTATAGTATTTATTCCTTTTTAAATTCTGGTAACTAAATATACACTAAGAGGAAAATTATGTACTCAAACTGTAATGTTGCCTTATGTACTGTAAGGAAACATTAAAACTTAAGAATTTTTTTTTTCATCCTACTGCAACTTTGATAGCATTTGAAAGCAAAAAGCCAATATTTCACTTCACACTTCAGTTTGAACATTTGATGGAATTGATGCATCAATTAATTTTTTGAAGCCATGAATTTTTAACACTCTTGATTTAAATGCACTAAAAAAAAATCTTTGGAGTTGAAAGGGGGGAAATATATCAAATAAACTAAATGGCATAATCGAATTTTAAAAATTCTTAGAATAATGAACAAAAAAGTATTTAAAAAGCAGGGTTGGCAGGTTTTTGACATGTGACAGTTTTTGACAGTTTAAACCATGGTTTAAACCGTCACGTCAAAAACCTCACTGTCAAAAACCTATGTTTATATGTGAAATTTAATTAATACATAAAATTTATATATTTTTTATAAAGGATAGTGTTTCTAAATATGTTCTAGAAAAAATAAATTTAAAATTTTGAAGAAACACTTATATTTTGAATAGTAACCAAAATCTTGTACTTTTGAAAACTCACATCTTTTGTAATATTATGTATTCATTTTCATGTGTNTTAGTTCGTGCGAGTTTTTTTCATACTTAGCAATAAGATTTAAAACTTTCAGTGGTTTGGGAGACTGACAATAAATTATGAAAGAAAACAAGTATTTTTGAACACCATATGCCAGAAAATCAAATAATAAGCTTGTAACTTGTATTGATTACTTTAGTTGTCATTTTTTAACTGCACAAAATTTCGAAAGCCTAGCGTAAATAAGGAGTAAGAAGCGTAGGAAGCCTAGCGTTCGAAAGCCTAGCGTAGGAAAATATGGACATTTTAATAAAAAACTAATTTTTTTGATTTACACTTTTTTTTTCTTCTTTCTATAACTTGATAAATATTAAAAGCAATTAAACAAAATTTTTTAAGTAATTCAAAATTAATTACAGAATAATTGAGTTAAAAATTGAAAAAAATTCGCAAAAAATCATGCAAGATAAAAGTATTTGAAGTAGTTTTTTTATACTGTGCATATGCAGGAAATTTAAAAAAAAAAAGAATTTTTTTTTTCAGAATTTTGTAATGAATTGTATTTGGCAACTAATGAAAAAAGTTTTTAATCTTAAAAATTTATAGTTTCAAGCAAATTTTCTACATGGTTTCTTGTATTTTCTAAAAGAAAGCTCAAAATGGTAAGGGGTTTTTAAGAAATTTTATTTCGCATCATGAGATACAATTGAATAATAAATAATAATATCTAGAATAATCGTCTGGAAACCAAAATGTTCTGGTATAAGGAAAGAAAACAAGTGAAAGAAAACATACTTTTATGGGGGATGATACCCCCACCTATCTCACTTTTAATAAACCTAGTTTAACAAGCATAAAGTGAAATTTGTGGAAAACCCCTTATTTTTAACGAACGCTAGTGCAGTAAACGAACTTTTTCAAATATTTAATCAATAATTTTGTAAATAACTTTACATTTTGCTAAACTTCTTGTTTAATTTCATATAATATTTTTAAAGTTATAGCAAAAAATATAAGACAAATAATAAGTTTTTTTTAATAAAAATGTCGATATCTCTATAAATATTTAAGCGACAAATTTTATGCAGTTTTTGGATTTATGACTACTTATGCTCAACTCTACAGCCTTTTAATTTTGAACCCAATCCAGAAGACAAGGGAACTCCTGAATCAAGTATTGGGAGAAATTTGCCGAATTGTGGAGGATTTTAAAAAATGTCACAAACTGAGAGTGGTTCTGTCCATTATAGTAGGGTAGTGTACACTACAAGAGGCCTTATTAAAGTTGCGTCCATGGCTCTTCAGTGCATTTCAGTCCATCCCCTGTCAATATCTCCGGATATTACACATTATTTCTTTTTATGGGATAAATAAGGACATTGCTTATGAACTACAAATGCTAAAAACACTAAACTCTTTTAATTTTTTTTAAATGACAGTTTTGTGATTACTAATCCTTCAGTGAAAATATGTAAAAAAAGAAAGATATGTTCCTCTATGCCTACATTAAAAACAGAAATAACACATAAATAGAAATATATGGAATTTGTATAGAATTTCACAACAGTAGAGTGCTGTTGAAAGGAACAGTTGCATAATATTTTGTATACCTGTTAAAACTACATTTTAATTAAAATAGCATCTAATTTAATTGTCAAATGCAATTATTATAGTATTTATTCCTTTTTAAATTCTGGTAACTAAATATACACTAAGAGGAAAATTATGTACTCAAACTGTAATGTTGCCTTATGTACTGTAAGGAAACATTAAAACTTAAGAATTTTTTTTTTCATCCTACTGCAACTTTGATAGCATTTGAAAGCAAAAAGCCAATATTTCACTTCACACTTCAGTTTGAACATTTGATGGAATTGATGCATCAATTAATTTTTTGAAGCCATGAATTTTTAACACTCTTGATTTGAATGCACTAAAAAAAATCTTTGGAGTTGAAAGGGGGGAAATATATCAAATAAACTAAATGGCATAATCGAATTTTAAAAATTCTTAGAATAATGAACAAAAAAGTATTTAAAAAGCAGGGTTGGCAGGTTTTTGACATGTGACAGTTTTTGACAGTTTAAACCATGGTTTAAACCGTCACGTCAAAAACCTCACTGTCAAAAACCTATGTTTATATGTGAAATTTAATTAATACATAAAATTTATATATTTTTTATAAAGGATAGTGTTTCTAAATATGTTCTAGAAAAAATAAATTTAAAATTTTGAAGAAACACTTATATTTTGAATAGTAACCAAAATCTTGTACTTTTGAAAACTCNCTGCTTCAATAGAACGGATGTTTTCCAGTTTTGGACTAATTCATTCGAAACTTCGTAATAGATTAGGAACAGAAAAATGTTCAAAACTAGTTATGTGCTACCGTATGCTGCGAGGAGCAAATGAACTAGACTATTGAATTTTGAATTAAATTTCTACTTCCATCATTTTCATTTTGATTATGTAGTGTGATGCATGTTCTAATTTTTAAAATTATGTATTTAATTAGGATAATTAAAAAATTTCCATAATAATTTGTTTAAATATGTCATGGATCAGTGACTGTAATGTTCTTCTGTTTAGTTTAACTTTTGTGATTGGTTGTTAGTTTTTCAGAAAATAAGTAATTCTGAATTTTAAATCTTCAATTTTTTCTAATTCATAGTTAACATAAGACAATACAAATTTAAGTACTTTCTGTTAAATACACAGAGTTAGTGTCGATTTACAGTATATTCAGCCTATTCATTCATTATGCTGAAAATTTAGTTTATCCAAATACTTGTGAATTTCATTTCGCTGAATACTATATAGTTTAGTTGAATATCTAAATATTCAGCTGTTGAATAATTACTTCTTGCTTTCAAGATATACATTATTTTGATTAGCGAAAGTATGAGAGAAAAAAAAATTAAGAGATAAAAATTGTTTTAAAATGATAAGTGTAATAATTATAAATAAATATAATAAACAATATGAATTATATTTATCATTATTCACAAATATAACTACTTTTAAATTCAAATTAACATACTGGATAATAAAGATATTCGGTATAACATTAAAAAAATTTTTTTATACATTTGTATCAAGTTTGTAAGTTCCTTATAAATATTAGTTATATGTTCCTTATATGTCAAAAATGCATAGTAATAAACTTTTAATTTNCATTATCTGAGTTTTAAAAAAAAAAAAAAAAAAAAAAAAAAAAATTTCTAAATATTTAAACAATTTTTGTGCAAAATTTTTCTGCACATGCATATGAATATAAATTTCTGAGATTTTAAATCTGTTATTTTACCGTAATTTTAATTAAAAAATATTTTAAAACCTGCTGATTACCTATAGTATAATTAAATTTCAATATAATACATGGCAACTGTTGGTAGTTTTGAAGTTTATATATTTTCTTGGCAAACTTCAGTTTTTGCTGGTTTAAACCAGTATTATACCCTTGTCATGTCAAAAACCACTTTTTGACGTCAAAAACCCAACCCTGTTAAAAAGTCAATAAAACTTTGAAGGCAGCTCAACAGACACACGTTTTAAATTTTAAGAAGAGCAACTCTAATTTTACTGTATATTATTATTTTGAATAAAGAACGGAGCCTGCATAAATTTTTGCGTTTACCTGGTTCTTTATACAAAATAATAATAAACCGTAAAATTAGAGTTGTTCCTCGTAAAATTTAAATCATGTGTGTCTTTTGAACGGAGCCAGCATAAATTTTAGTGCTTACCTAGTTCTTTTTCACAAACTAATAAATAAACAATTGGGATATAAGAAATTAGCGACAGTGCTCATAAGAAAGTAACAGTTTGAAATATTTAAATGATAAAAATTGAAAAATACATGTCATACATGGATCTTTTGACTTTAATATAGATAATTTGAAATTTTTTGTTTAAAATTTAAAACTATTAAAAATAAAAATTAATATCACCTAAATATGATATTGGTACATCAACTGTATGGCACTAGAAAATTAGCGATTCAATTTTAAACATTATATTTGTTTTGAACCATTTTTTTAATTATTTTGTTCTATAATTTACAGATTTTTTATCAATATGATCAACTTTGGTTCTGATTGGGCTAGACAGCACTCCACTATAATACAAAATTAATAGTATTATTAAAACAATTAATCTAAACATTAAATATAAAGCAAATTATAAATACAGAGTTAATTTTTTCCCATATAATCATTGCAAACAGAAAAAAAAGAGAAGGTACAACTGCAAGTGTAGCTTACTACATTAAGAAATATAGCACAAAAACTGAAGGGAAACTTTAAATTAAAAAAAATTATTAAAATAGAGTCTAAATTGAAAACAACTTATAAATTGAAAGTAATTTATTTTGCAAAAAGATGAAATATGTATAATTAATAACAGCTAATTTTAATTTACATATATACAATAATTATCTAACAATAAAATATAAAAAGTGAAAATATGGCATCAATTAAGCTAAATATTTGAAGGCAAATTATCAACAATTTTAGCTGTAAGCATGGAATTGTTTTTAAAGATAACATGAGAAGCAAAGGAGTTACTTCATGAAAAAGATATAACAAATTTTGAAGTAACAGTTGTTCGGCACATAGGGCATAATTCAATTCCTTCTGAGCATTTTTGACAGCAGCAAACATGGCCACAAGGCAGGAATACAATAGACGTCTAAAAGTTTAAAACAAAAATAGATTAATACATATAGTTTTTTTGGTAGAATAAATATTTCAAAATAATATTGTAGATAATGGTTGCAATAAAGATTAATAAAAATAAATAAAATTACTACAATATTAATTTTATGTTATTCATTATATTAAAAATGGGTAAAAGGAATGTTAGTTTTCATACCGTTTAGTAAAATAATTTTTAAACAAATCTGTAAATAAAGTTAAAATTTTAATACGAAATTAAAAAAAGATATATGAACTAATATTTTATTTCTAAATATAATAAAACCGTTATCCTCAGAGAAAAATATGTTGTTTTTATTTATTTGTACATTTTGACATTGATTATAATGCGAAATATATAAATATAAAATTTAAATTATAACTATGATATATACTAGGAAAGATATTTAATATAAAATTTCATTATAAATTCTAATGAAAAATGTTAATTACGAAACATTCAATTTTACATTACATGTAAATCCATACAAATGACACATTCAGTGTGACACCATAATTTGGATTCAGTATCTGGGGAAAATGGAGGTGCACTGGGAACACGCATTTCTTCAGGTTGTGCCTCAAATGCAGAAGTAGCTGGTTCAGATAATTCTTCAAGTTCAGGCGATTCATCAGAATCAGGTGGTGCAGATGGTTCTGGGGTTTCAGAAAATTTCGGCAAAGCATATCTTTTGTAGTCTCCTTCGAAATAAGTGAGTGCTTTTCCCAAAATAGCTTCACAAATATCTTCATCCAAAACACCAATCTTGAAAAAGATTTAAACTATATAACTATGTGTTGTTTAACTTTAAACTATGTGTTGTTTTCCTTTTTATAAAATTTTTTGGTTAGCCTAGTTATTTTATATTTCATATGAAATTGTAATAAAATAGAATAAAATAATTTTTTATTTGTTTGCTACTAATGTTTTTCGTATTAACATTATATATTCAGTTGAACCTTGACATCACATGTTTTTCTACATTTCAAAAAAGTCTGTATTCCCTATGTATTTGCTATGCTGATAATAGAAAAATCCACTTTTAGCCAAATACAGTAGAAAATCTATATAGTGCATACCTTGAAACCTGGCCTTTTGTTTTTTATAAAACTTTGTGTATTATGGATCATTTCACTTATCTTTAAACTTACCTACTAAATATGACAATATCAGCCAGGAAGAGATCACTCTTAAAAGATTTTAAACTAATTTTTATTTACTAGTGCTTGAAAACATAAAATAAACTTGTAAGTATTTATTATTTACAGATAAAAAAATTACTTTTTTGCAGTATTAGAACTAGTAACAAACAGATTAATCAATTTTGGTTTGCTTAGCGTTTGAAATTTTAACCTTTTAGCAAAGAATGTAAAAAGTTAATAGTTCTTAGAAATATTTCAACTGTAAATAGAAATTTTTTAACTGCAAATTTCATTGTTTACTCTCACAAAGCTAGTGCGGATTATGGAGAATTGCTTTTTATAGAATTGCATTATATAGATCTTCTACTGAACAATTCTCAATAACCCTTTGCAGCACAAAATACTTTTGATTTCCTAAAATGTCTTTTACCTAATTTGTAGAATTTTAAACACTTTCTTGACTTTCAAGTTTTATAGACTTTTTTTTAATAAATTTATAAAGCATTTCTTAAATAAGGGATTATCTGACAGATTGAAAAGAAATTTCCCGAATCAGTCATAGATAATTTTCTTTTACATCATAATTTCCCAAACATATATTTAATTTCCTACAATAAATTTTGAAAAAAGTTAATTCCACATTTATACAGATAATTGGTTTTATTACATAATGTGAATTTTATTAAGAAAATCTATGAATATTAGGAATATTGCACAGAACATAATATTATACTCCAAACATAACTGAGTCATTTATTTTTAATGTGGTCTAAATTTATTCAATAAAATTAATAAATTAAGCAATTCAAGACTTTAAATTTCTATCGTTATTAACACTTAGATATGGAAATATTTAAAAAATTTTATACAATACATTTTTATGGAAAAAATACCTTTTTTAAATCTCGTACTGTAAATCTCAGTAAGTCTTCAATTGTTATCCCTTTCATAGCGAACAAAGGTATCAAGTCAGGAGCAGGAATATTTAATAACAAATCTTTTACTTCATCATCAATTGTTAGTTCCTAAAATTAGGACAAAAGAGCTAAAATTTTATCTTTGTTACCCCATATTAAAGTACTAATGCACCAAATAAAAACTTAAAAGAATAATTATTTTTCTTTAACGAATATATTCTCTACTGTATAGGTAATAATACATAGAAAAATTCATGAATATTAAGATTTTATTAACTGAAATTTTTAAACGGCTTTTTAAATCCCTACAATACAGCATCATTTAAATAATAATTCATTGAATAAATGCATCTGTAAATAATATTTTTAAAATATTGATAAAATGAAAACAATATTTTTAAATGAATACTGGATGTTATCAACTTTTCAGGGGCAAAAAAATAATTTATCATTGTTCAAAGCATTAATATTTACCAAATTAATATATATGAAGATAGTTAAATAGAGGAATAAAAGTTACTGAAGAAATGATTCCACACCATTAGCAATTGCTTACTTTTGAATTAAAAACAACATATTTCATAATAGTAGTAGGTACAAAAATAATAAAATAGATTAATAGAGCGTTGTCTATCATAGATGCACATATTTACATTAAAAATGCAATGAATATTTACATTAAAAAGTTAAAATCAGTCATTGATACGTTTAATTGGTAATTAAAATGGATCTGCAATCACCAATCAGTTTCTTTTGAACTTAGACAAAATCTTTTTACTCTTAAAAAGTTTATTTTCTTAAAATTTGGACCCTAGATTTGTTAACCTGCATATTTCTTTCTAGCACACTTATTTACTTCAGCATTTAAACTATGAGCTAAGTGAGTTTTAATTAAGGAATTCAGCTTTTCTTGAGATTTTGACTGCTTAAGTTTTTTAAAATATTTTGTAAAGAAGCTGTTTCCATCACAGCACAATGCTGAAACAATAAAAAAAAGTTTTCATGCAAACAACTCAACATTGAAGGATGGAAAAAAACACAAAATAATCCAAAAAATATAAGCAATCTAAAACGAAAAACGCTGTGCCAATCTATAAAGCTATTCAAACAATATAAAGAAAATCTGTTACAATTGGTTTCAATGAATGAATTTCATATTTTTGGACACAATGCCAGGGCTACATGACGCTGGAAAGCGGTGATAGTTTAAAAACCATCCTATAAAAACTCGCAAATTGCAAAAAAATCTGAAACCACATCGGTGCTTTCGTTCTTGAGTTATTATCTTACAGATAACTTTTTGCTTCATATATATAGAGAGATATAAATTTTTTTTAAAAAATCACTTGAATACCGTTCCTACCTCAAATAGAACAAATGTTATGATTTTTTGGAGGAACTTCTACATTGGTTATTAAATTGATATCTGTGTCTTTTTCATCCGTTTTCTCAAAAGTAATTTTTAAAGGTTGCATAGCGAGATTTATCAGCAAACAAAATAAGCACCTTTTAAGCAATCAAAAAATATTTTCAAGTAATTAACAACCTAAAAAAAAATTTTTTTACTATTATTGAAAGTTCTTTATATACATAGAATTAACAAAAATCAAAATGATTTCAAATTGCAAAATCAATAGAAAAAAATTAGAATGGGTCACTAAAAAATTTAAAAGTTTTTAATTACAAAAAAAGTGGATATCATCACAGTACTATAATATGTATATATCACATAAAAAGGCTATAATTTAAAACATCAACATTCAGATTATTTTACTAAGACTATAAAAGGCAAAATATTAATTGTATTAATAAAAACTTAGACAAGACATAAAAACAAACAAATTTCTAAAATATAGCTCACTGCAATAGTAATTCCTTTTGGTTTCATGTCAAGTAACTTCTGATACTGTAATAACCAAAAATCTTCCATTTCATGTGCATGCCTTGCTTCCATTTCTAACTGCAAGAACAAATTATGCATTTAAACTATAAAAATCACAATTCTCAAATAAATATTTTTTTAATGAAAACTTTAACTGTTAAAGAATAAATGTCAGAAAGTGCGTCCTGATAAAATTTCCTTGACTGAATCATTTACATTAAAAGGAAATATTCATTTTTATTAAATTTAAGTATTAAAAAAATGAAGAGATGCTTAATCTATAATAACAAAATGAAGAGTTTGAGCATTTGTGTGTGCCTCTCTAATAACTCCAGAACTGTTTATGATAATAGTATCCTGAAATTTGGATAGAAGGTAAAAAGGGCAATTTCATCCCTCGATTCTAAAAATTATTCAAAAATTTCAGTTAGATTGTTTGGGAGAGACGTTTGAAACATGGAGTTTTCTTATTGAATAAGCATTAACTATAGATTATTTCATAATTTTTTTCCAAATATTTCAAAGATAACATCAATGATGTTTGCTAGCTTATAGGTTCTTTTGATCAAAAAAATTTTATTGTGCAAACTTAAATATTTAATTATTTTATAATTCAATGATTGACATTAACTCGGTTATATGTCACCAAATTAGTATTCCTATTATATTTGTATATAATATGTACTAATATAGGTACGAAGTATTACATTGATATATTTAGTAATTATTAAAATTGCTCCAATACTGAGCAATTTTAATACAAATACTGTGGAAATAGGTGTCTTACCATCCCTCAAAAGGGATAGCCACGTGATTTTGAATATAGTTTGTCCTCATTTCGAAGGAATAAACTATAAAAAGCAGGTTTTGCTTAATTTAATAGCTACAGGGAAGAGCAACAAATAATTATAGTTAATAGTTCTAATTTGTTTTAGCTTTATTAATTGAGCTGATATATGCCTTTCAGTTTTGTGCATGATTTCATAGTGCTGTTCAGTACTGATTTATCAATTATTTTATTTTTTTATTCACCCCATACAAAGAAGAACAGGTATTAATATAGCATAAAATAAAATCTCATTCATTTGAACTTATCTTTGAGATTTGTTGGATTGCTTCTTTTAAACAATAATCATAAATTATCTTATTTAATTCTATGCAAATAATGCAGTTTTCCGTAATTCAGATGCATTTTTTAAAAATGAAAAAAAAAGGCAAGTAAGAGATTTTATAATTTGACTTTAAAACAGTTATTGAACAGTGAGGAATCTTTGAGAAGAGGGTAATTAAGTGATAGACGTTAATCAATTTCAGCTGATCTTTTTGAAATTAATAGTTTCAAAAATACAATTTCAAGTAAGTATAATATACAATATATGGCCTGTGTTTTTTAAGCTGAAAATAGCTCATGAACTTAAAAAATATATATATGTTAAAAAATATATAATAAAATATATAAAAAGAATAAATATTTTTGAAAAACTAAAAAAAAATTCCAATGATGTTAGGAGTAATTAACTCCAAACATAAACTAAACTAAACTCAGTGGCACAACAGCTCATAGAGGGCCAAGGCCTACTGCGACCATCTCAGTTTTCTTGACCTTGGGCTCTGGGGTGCAGGAGTAGATGTTCCGGTCAGGTGGTCAGCCAAACGCGGAACCCCCAGTGTTTAGTTCCCAAGCATGTTTGGTACTCATTTATCGAACCACTGAAGGGATGAAAGGCTGAGTCAACCTTGCCTGACCCGAGGATTGAAGCAGGGACCTGTGGCATGACAGAGCAAAGCGCTACCGCTCAGCCACCGGGCGTCAAGTCCAAACATAGCTACAAGATAATTTTAAGACTACTAGTAGCATCCGATTATTTTAAGATGTTTTTGTCACAAAATTTAAGTCTGTAACATCATTCTGGTACAAATTATCATTGATATTTTATTGATTATTCATAGAATAAGCTCCTTAATGTTTTTTTGAATAAATAAAACTTACAAATTTTAAGATTATCTATAAACAAATAAGCCCCCTGCAAAACTATTATTCATATTATAAAGTAAAAACATGATAAATTTTTAAAGCTAAAAGCAATATTTTAAACAAAAAATTATTTACAAAACATTTTATTGTAAATTTATGAAAAAGAAGTTAAAATTAGTAAAGTTTAATTAATATTATCTGTCATGTCTTAAGCCTTAAGAATTTATAAGGAAGCAATGCCTTAAAAAAATATTATTTACTAAATAAAATAATTTTTACCAATCTCTCTTTCAATTCCCTTTCTCTTTGTTCCTTTGCTGTCAAAAGTCCTGTTAATAGGCATGCTAAAGCTATCCTGTGTTCTGATAATGTATTCTAAGAATAAAAATGATAATTAATAATAATAAAAAATAGACAGTAAAAATTATTGACAATCATTATAATTTTCATAAGTAAGAGGGCTTTGACCCCTGACAACTACTTAAAATTGGCCTTCAAGATTTAAAAATAAGGATTTTTTAAATTAATAAATGAAAATATACTGTTTTATTCTTATTCTTGAGAGTTTTTCAGTCAGTGTTAAGTATCCTTTTTTTTTGTTTATGTCAGACATTTCGAAAATTTGAAACAAAAAATCGATTCATGCAATGTAAAATCTAGGCTAATCAAACAATATTAACTTAGCATTATAGTAATATTAAAGCATCATTAAAGTATTGATATTATTGTCATTTTATTCATTAGTATGTAATTTACAAAAAATGTGTCATAGGTTGCCCAAATATGGCTACATTGCAATGTGTTATTTTCTTTATTAATTTCTTTTAATTATATAATGCCTGCCATTAAAAACAGAGTGCATGTTTCTTGATTGGTAATAAAATAGTTAACTGTTGTTACCAAGAAAAATCATGAAACACTGCTTGATTTGAGTACAGTGTATGAGAAAAACACATCAATGACTGTATGTTACAGTTTAGTTTAAACTAATTAAGGATTAGTTTAAATTTTTCATATCATAACACTGCTATTGTATTCAATCAAAATTTTGTAAATGAAAATGAATTACTTAAGAATAATACTAATGTGAAACTGATTGTTAATTTTTAAAAAAAACTTAACATTTTAATTAATTAAACAATTTAAAATCTGCAATAGCAGATTAAAAGATTTGCTAAAACTGTAATTTACGTTTCATAAATTTAAGTAGCTTCTTGATTCTTTATGTTATGGACATTAAAAATAGTAACATTAGTAAATTGTAATAAATCAACAGTCAAGGTGAGTAATTAACAATGGTTAATTTTGAATTCAACTAACTGTGTTTTAAGTTTAAAAATTTTTTTAAAAATTTACATTTAAGACATAGGCACTGCTTTCAACATTTGCACTTCAACATTTCAATAATATAAAAATTCTAAAAATGTTATACTTTCTAAGATAATTGTTGATTGCATATTCAAAACTAAATTGGTAACATGTTTGATATAATTTTCATACACACATGAAATTGCTCTTAAAAACATATAAAATATTGATTGATGAGGGCTGGTTAGTTAGTAACTTTCCACATATAGCTATACTGCTCTAATTTGAATAGCTAAGGCTAGCTCACTTTTTTATTGAATAGAAACAATATTTAGGAGACGTGTTATTTGTGCAAAAATAATAACTAATCACACAAAAAAATAAAACAATAAAAGTATAAGATTAAGTAAAAATATAACTTTTGATAAGCAAAATAATGTGCCTCTATTTCATAAGAAAAATAAGCAAATGCCTCTTAACACATCTTTTTTATGAGGAATCTCGACATTTAAGCGAATGACAGACTACAAAATGTGAAATTATAAAAATTGTATCCTCTGAAAATTATAATTTAAGGTTAACAAATTTTTGATTTCTAAAATAAACTAAAGCATATATAAAGCCAGAATTTTAAATCATATACTTACATGCATACAATTTAATAAGAAATAGGGTCAATTTTTGTTTCATGAAACTAATTCGAACAAGGTAAAATTGAAAAACAATAATCCCCATTAATTAAAAAATTATAGTTCATGAAAGATATTTACTATATCAGAAGAAATTTTCAAGTTCTTCTTTTCCATCTCAGCAGCAGATAAGTTAGAAAGTTCCTTTTCAATAAGTTGTATCTAAAAATAAAATAGTATAGCACAAAATAAGGAGATTTGGCACTGGTCATAAATAGGGGTTCTTAAAATTATGTAGCCCGCAGATCACTTCTTAAACATATTTTTCATGGACCCTATACTAAGCCTATGTATCTTACCTCACTCACCATACTTAATTTCAAGCTCAATAATTAGATAAGTTTTATATTACAATAAATTTTAGGAATAGTGCACTGCTGGTTTTTTACTGTCCATCTTGTACATTCACAAAAAAAATAACAAAATATTTTTTTAAAAAGTAATGAAACAAATAGAAAAGATTTTTAAAAAAAAATCTTATTTGTTTTCCTGAAACTAAAACTGTAATGTAATATAAAGCCAGAGGTGCTATGTTTTATATATAAACAAAAACAAATGGTTAATAATGACAAAAATTGCATAACACATCAAAAATAGAAAAACAATTAATACAAAAGGGAAGCTGACAAAATTAGTGAAAATCGCAGATTAATGCTTTAAAAAAATAGAGCATATAGTAACTGTCAGTCTCCTAACAGAATGCAATATATGCATATCATATATGTTTAAATATAAAATATTCTTACAACTAATATAGTATAAAAGTTTTACAAATTGCCACGATTGCATTAATATTTTTTATTCAACTGAAAACTTTGAACATTAATTTACATTTAATTGTTAAATTTTAATCAACATTTGCTAAATTTGTACTTTTGATTAAAAGTAGGTAATTCTTAATCACTCAATTAAAACTGATAAAAAATAATTTGCATATTAACCTCTATACTATGACTGTAGAGATTTAGGGGAAATACAGGCAATATCAATAAAAGACACATTATCTGGTTTCAATTAACTTTTATTTAACATCTTAAGGCAAAATTCTGTAAGGAAAGGGTTCCTATATGAGGACTTTGGGAATTGGACTGTTTGTAAAAAATCATTCTAGCCATTGAAATTAGGAAAAAGCCACACGTTTCTGCATGTTCTGAGTTAAATACAGGGATTTTGAAAGGAATTTGTTGTATGATTTTTATTTATGTAATAGAATGTCATTCAAAAAGGAAAATTTAAATACTGATTTATCGAATCATGGGTTGGTATTGACTCCACGGAACTTCTGGTAAATCTTATAGTGATAATTACTTCAAAGAATGATTGCACATTAATTCGGAAAATGATCTATTATTTGTAATATTAATATCTTACAATGAAAAAATCTATAACATTTAATATTACATAATTTGAATTAATTCATGATGCACCACTCAATTTTAAAATCAGTGCTCTACATCTACAACATAAAATTTAACGATATACATATTACATTTTATTATATAAGAAATTTTTTTTTAATGAAATTTACCTGGTGAGCAATCTGTTGATGTTGAAGATCTTTTTGCTGCTGTAGAACTTCAAAGGCTTTTTTTTGATATTGTTCCTAATGTGATTAAAATTAAACATAAAACAAAAGATAAAAATAGATCTTATAAAACAAATTTATTTTTTAAAAATGCTTACCTCTTCCAGCAACCTGTTGATCAAAATTTGTTGATCCAGCTCGCGTTCATGGAAAATATTAAAAAGTTTCAGCTTACTCTCATTTTCACTAAAAGAATCATTAATGGATAAATTATAATTGAAAAAAAATTCACATTTCGAACAGTTAAAATGCTTAGCATAAATTTATTAAATATTATTTTATTAGTAAATCTCTTTCTTATTTTGTTGTACTATTTGCAAATTCTTTAGCCAAAAATTCACTTTTGATTAGAATACAACCATATTTAAAGAAAAATTTTAAAAAAAACTTTAATTTAGAAGCAATTTGCATAGGAGCATTTAGAACAATATAGTGATAAACCACATTTTCTTTAAAAAAAAAAAGGTGAAATTTTATATCAAACTACTAATTAAATTTGTTTTTAAACAGTTATTTATAGATTTCCAGAATTATATTCAGATAACAGCACAATGCATTGAAACATCTTATTGCCTGCATAGAAATTGTGGTATTTTTATGAAAAGCATTCCACATTACTTGATACCATTCAAATGAACACAGTATAAATGTGGCTCATTATATTGCACTAAATTCTTCAATTCATGTAAAAAAATAACACAGAAAGAAATATTGAAACTGGAAATTAACTCATTTTGTATTTCTTCAGCCATGCTGTATCTTCTCGCTTCATATTTACCAAAGTTTTCTTCACACAAAAGCATTTCCTTCATTGCTTCTATAAAATAATTTCAATGTTACTCAATTTGTTTCTAGCTTATATACAAGCTACAGTACAAGCTACAGTTATTACTTTTGATTGAACTATTAGAAGTTTTACTAGTAGAATAGGTTTTGGTAGCTCTATCATCAATCTCTACTGTATCATCAATCTCTACTGTATCATCAATCTCTACTGTATATATCAATCTGTATCATAGCTGTATCATATTTAAGTATTCTACCCATGAAGAAAATAGTAAGCCAAGTAACCAGGAACTGAGATAAAACAAATTAAGAAGTCAATCTGATATTTTGAATTTGTTTTACGTGCCTAGACAATTTATAAATGAAACATAACCAGTATTTTCAAACTATGAAATCTCAAAATGATGGTTTTCTAGAACAGAAAGTACCTCAAAGTAGTTTATAAGGATGGTCATAAACACCCAGAAAAAAATTTCCAGACTATTCCAGGATGATTTTATCGAATTTTCTCAATATTTTACAAATAAAATCTGATTTATTTAGGGTATAATAAATAAAACTTAATAATCCTATCGGCATAAATTATATTATTAATATTTCAGTTATGCCTTATTTTTATTCATAAAATACACTGCAATACACTAATACTTACCATTAGAGTTGAAAATAAATATTTAAAAAAAAAATTAATACAAGACAAATGGATGGTGTTTTCTACCCTAGGGAGCGCTGCACGCTCTTTACTGCATTACTACCAGGTTACTGTTTTTAGAGTCTTTCGAGGGCATTTGGCTCAATGTGTTCATTGTACATTGAGTCTTACTTAAGTACTATTTCTTGTATACATAGTATTTGTCACCTGATTTCTTATTTGTGTTTACAATGACTTCCGTGTATACAATGACTCTTGCATTGTAGCTTAACATTTGAAAAAATAGTCATTATAAAACACTTATTACTTTGTCAATAATACGCCAACTTCAAAATTTAAACTTAAATGATGATTTGTAATCTCGTAGTGCAAATAATATGATAACACTAACGTGCTGGCTTTCAACAAGAACAAACAATAATAAACAGGCAAAAAGAGGCCAAATTAGGACTGCCAAAAAAGTGAGTTCTAGCAATTATATCACCTTTTTTAACAATATATCTACAAATAACTTTTCATTTCAAACTCACAAGAATTACTTAATACCATTAATATCTTATGAAATACAACAGATTTGAACTCAGAAATTAAATAATTCTCTTCTTTTATTGAAAACAAAATGTCTGTTTGAAAATATTGCCTTGCAGGATAAGCTGTTGTAAGTAGCTGCAAACTTTTTCACCAGAAGTCAAGCTGGACAAGAGCTCGAGATTGTTGTTGTTTACTATTTATATTGAAAACACCATTAATTGTTTTGGAACTTTTGAGTGCCACAATGTTAAAAAAAAAAATCTGACTTTTTGTATACATTATCAAAATTCCCTGATTATTTCAGATTTATAAAACTTTCTGTTCTCCCACATTTTTCTGTTCTGGGGTCACAATGCTTATTCATAATAAGAATTAATGAAGTTCTCTAAAGTAAGAACAATACATAACTCCAATCGGCTTAAAAATACTAACTATTTTCGGCAGATTCATAGATTGCTTAAAGAATTCACCTTGCTTAGAATTGTTGTGGGTCAAGTTTGTTTAATTTTTCATCATAAATCCTTTATTTTGCATCAATTAATCATAAAAGCAATTAACAATAAATAAACCTCAATCATAAAAAATATTTAAGAAAATAATAATTGTAAAAGTACTTATTAATGTATAAAATTTCAAACCAAATTATATTTAAAACAAATAAAAATATAGATTGGTCAATTTTAAAACAGAACTAAAGAAATCACCCAAAACTTCTTTCTTTCTCAACTGATCCAATTCTTCTTGTTTTATAGAAAAAAGTTCCTCATTATCAATTCTAAAAACAAACAAAAATGTGTTATGTAACACAATAAATAAATGTAATTGGTTAAAGAAAGAAATATCATTTTTTTTAAAAATTGCAACAGTTTATAAAGTTTTTTTAGAATATCTTATTAAGTTAATATTGTATTTCAAATAATCAGGAAGAACTTTCTATAGGACAGGGTGTGCAACTTAGGAGCAATTTCAACTGATTTATTATGCAGAACCTAGTAATTAAATTTACTTAAATTTTGTGAGAGATAAATTAAAGTTGGTCCCTGACTATCTGTTTAATGTGGCAAAATGGTAAACTAGATAACAAAAAAGCCCAAAATGGATGGAGTTCTAATTTTCACCCCCTACTCCCATGTATTTAAAAACTTTTGTCATACATTTTAAGATAAATGATTAACGAAAAACTGCTTACTGTTTATTAATAAACTATACAAATTAGAAATATTACAAGGAGAAAGTGTCAAACTACATGGTTTTTATGAGTTTTGCATATGACAAGCTCATAGAAAGGGGTTGGCAGCAGATGAGCGCTTTATCGTTCTTCTTCATTTTCTTACTTCTTCTTTGAAAGATCAGTTTTACAAATGGCCAGATCCAACACTCTTCATTTTTCACTCAGATAGTATGAGAGCAGGGCAGCTGTGAGCTGGATAATCAAAAGCCTACTGTATATAATTGTCTATTGATGTAATTTTAAATGAAAAAATACCGTCACACACCACGGAAAAAGTTTTTTTTTTCTGTGACCTTTGTAACATGGGTGACCACATGGGTGACCTTCGGATGCGATCTGAACGCACATACCTTGACAAAAACGCCACTTTGAAATGAACACACCCAGTGAGATCTTAATACAACTCTCCTAACCTCTCACAAACTAACAATGAATCAACTAATGGTATCCGTTCATCGAATTGATTCTACCAGGATGTACCTTTTGATAGGTGATGGTTAACATTGTCGGTAGCCTAGTCCCACAATATTCCTTCAATTGTTTAGCAATGTTATAGAAAATAATACTCTTCACAAAGGAAAACTACATGTGTTAATTAGAATATAAATTAGAATAAAATATTGCATAAGTTTTTGTTAATCCACTAAGAACAGTTTTGCAAGAAAATAATTCACAATATGAGAAAATCAACGACATATATTTTAAGATTTAGTTCAGCAATAGGATTGTAAGTCATGATTCATTTGGAGTTCATTTTGAATATTTTAAATCAGTTGTCAACTCCAGCTGAAACTGTAAATGAATCTAACAACAGATTGAAATTGAATATGATCTATGTTTATAAGGAACTTTTGATTCACTGGTTATACAATTTCAAGAAAACAAATATACAGTTTTAAATAAATAAAAAAGTCATTACGCTAAGCAAATTTAAAAACTTTTTTATTTACCTATCTTTTTCCAAAACAGCTGCCATATTTTCTAAATTTTGTCGTTTGTCGTTTAGCTCCATCAACTTATTTATTAACTTAGCTGAATGATTCTCAACTGTTAAAAAAAAATAAAAAACTTATTAAGCAAGGAAAAACTTAAAAGGCTTAATTTATATTATTTATATATTATTTATATTTTCTAAATTTTGTCTTTTAGCTCCATCAACTTATTTATTAACTTAGCTGAATGATTCTCTACTGTTAAAATAAAATAAAAAACTTATTAAGCAAGGAAAAACTTAAAAGGCTTAATTTATATTATTTATATCACTATCAAAAGTATCTAGTTATGTTTCTGTTTAACTGTTCACCAAAGTGTTGATTTGTATTACATAACTTCTTTGCACACCAGACTCATTTAACACTCATTACAAAAAAGAGCATACCAAATATAACTAAATATTTATCTAATAAACTATTGGTCTCTGTCAGTTTTGAAAATGTGTGACGTTATCAAAACAATTTAACACTTTAGAAGATTGCAAACGTTCTATTGTAATAACTATTTATATTTAATATAAAACATACAGAAATATTTCTCTTAACTAACTCTAATTTGTTAAAAATAAATAAAAATCAACTCATTCTGATTGGTATGTATCATCAATAAAAGTTGACTCAAATTACCATTTGATAATATTGAGAGAAGATTTTGTTTTTCTTTTTCCTTTTTCTTCTGTAATAGTAAAATCTCATTTTCCATTCTATCTTGTTCCTAGAAAAACCAAGTACTAATTCATTTAAAGGATAAAGGCAATATATATAAAAAAGAAACTAGATTCTTTAATTTGATATGTCTTTAATCAATGTACTTAATAACATTTCACATTGGTTAAGTGCCTAAAAAATTATGTCACAATTAAACTACATATTGTATTCCATTTGTCATTCTAAAAAATGAAACAAATGTTTATTGATTGGTTCACAAGAAACATAAGTTGTAATGTTATTTAGATAAGAGCTTCTTTAATAAAATACTTTAAAAACCATATGGAACCTACATATAAATAATGCAGATTGATAATATTTTAACAATTTCAATAAAGTTATATAAAATACAAATCAAATTATTAAAAAACTATGAAAAAAGAAGCAGCCCATGTACATACAGTAAATTTGAACTAATTTCAAATTACTATAAAAATTATTATTATTATTAACGGAAACAAACAGTTATTTAGTGGGAATCTTGCAAACAAAAAAATACTCTTTGTATAGCATTAAAAAGTTTTAAAAAAATGATATTAACAAGCTTTGTACTGTATCAAATGTTGGGAAAATAGTATTTAATTACATTACCTTTCTCATTTTAAAATTTTTTGAGATCCTGTCTTTTGAACATGTGCCTTAAAAAATAAGACATTTCTTGTGTTAAATANCGTTTTTTAAATGAATCAAATATGACGTTTGCCAGTTCCACAATCAAGCCAATGATTTACAGAGGTTTCTGCACAGAAATCTGAAAGAGGTTTTCCATCTAGGTAGATGTTCATAAATGCGTTTAACACTTCTTGTTTAATACCAGTAAATAATGTGTTTTTTGTAAGTTCATTGCTGAAAAGCCCCTTTCAACCGCTGCAGTACTCCCAGACAGAGAAAACATCAATTCCACCATGCGCAGCATGTTGCTGTATTTTGAGATTAGAGGGTCATTTTAGAAGTGAAGCGCTAAACTCTTGTAAGATAACAAAAATTGAAAATGTATCACGAACATTAACGGGAAAATGGCTGTCCACGCGGACGGTGGATTCGAGAAATTTGTTGTCCGCGGGGAATTTTTGACCGCCGAGGACGGGCGGCTTTTCGAGCCCTGGCTAGTAATATTATTATAGCTAGGCAATATGCGACGGAAACAAACAGTTATTTACTGGTAATCTTGCAAACCAAAAAATACTCTTTGTATAGCATTAAAAAGTTTTAAAAAAATGATATTAACAAGCTTTGTACTGTATTAAATATTGGGAAAATAGTATTTAATTACATTACCTTTCTCATTTTAAAATTTTTTGAGATCCTGTCTTTTGAACATGTGCCTTAAAAAATAAGACATTCCTTGTGTTAAATAAATATTAAAACTATCTCACTCATAGACATTGTTCTTCTTCAAATTGCAAATTTATTACATGGCAACATTGTTATTTCCTAAAAATATCATATAGTACTACATCTTAGATTTACTTTTAGAAGAAATAATTAGTTAGTACTATAAGAAATGTAGAAAAGTACCAAAGCAATATTATCCATCAGTTGTTTTTTACGAATCGAAGTATCAGCAGCACTTGGCAATACAAGGCTTTCTTTCAGAGCTTCTTCCATCAGTCGAAGATCTAGTTGTCGTTGTTCCTATTAAAATGTTAATCTCATCACATAACTGTTTTAAAATGTATCAAATTTTTAAAATTGTTAGCTTTATGGAGTGATAAATCAGATATCAGTAACACAGTAGAGATAGCAGTGTTACCATTCAAATAGGGCAGAATGCATGGGGATTTAAATTTTAATGGGGTTTTAAGTTTGTCATGGGGAAAAAAAGGTTTGAAATTTGTGGAAGAAGCAAATATATATAATTTACAAACACACAAAATATGTATTAAAAGGTACAGACATGATACAAATAATAAAATAAGAGTAAATAAGAGGTAGGAAATTCTTACTTTTTTTAATTCATATATTTTCATGCTTTTATGAAACAAGTATATCGATACATTTTATCAAATATATAAGTATTTTCATTCAAATGAATCAAATTTTGGTACAAAATATTGTTATACATTGTTAAATTATTGCTCATGTCTTAATTTTAATCGCTCTTTATACTCTGAAAATGATATCTCAGAGTCCATGATATTTTAAGCACTGATAAATATAGAATAACCGCTTTGGTCAGTTTGGTTAACATTATGATTTAGATATCCAAAATTTAATCAAATTTCACTCCTTCAACATGTATTTACTGACTGTTGCTTTGTTTTCATTTAACCATCTAAACACAAGTTTGAACTTTCCATTACATCAAAGATGCAGCAATGAAATTTCCTATCATAATCACTACATGATTTTTTACTATGACTTTATTCAAACATCAGCATATGGGGTGCAACACTTATGACATAGGGAACATTAGAATTTTCTTCATAAAAATAAAGAGAAAAAGAAGATTCTAGATAAAAAGAACATAATGAAAAAGAAGATTCTAGTTAAAAAGAATAGAGAGAAAATGAAGATTCTAGTAAAGCTGAATTAGAACAGCATTTTGCTGAAGAAAAGAAAAGAAAAAAAAAAGTGGGCGTGAAAAAAAAAGAAAGAAAAATATACCCTAAAATTTGTCTTAAGTAAACAGAAACATTTGAATGAAATAGATTCATATAATCAAGGTTCTATTATATTTACAATGTGTAAAGGAAAAATAAGAAGTATAAAAATGAGACTTATTGTATCAAAATTTTGCAGAGAACTAGCATGAATCATACAATACTTTGGACATATAAACATAACAGCTGATGGGTGGATGGTTGTATAAACTTACAGCTTTGAGCATATAATCAATTGTAGAAAACATTACATGCAAATATCAATGAATGAAATTGAAATTGTTTTGAGCATTCATTACCCTCACTAATGGATAAAAAATATAAAATTTTAAAGACAGAACATAATGGATTTACAAATAATCATTTCATGCTAATACATAAATAGGATAGGTAATAACATATATGTAAATACTCAATTAAAAAAACGGATAATGGGGGAATTTTGTTTTAAACTTATGGTGTTTGAGTAAAAATAATTCTTAAAGAATGACATGGAGCATGCTAAAAAGATTTATTAATACTCTAAAATGCTGACTATTCATTTTGTTTATTAAAATTCTAATCTAACTTAGATAAGAAACGTGAAAGTTAAAAACAAATTTAGGGATACCAGAGCGTGAGAATGTTAGTTTCCCAATGCTTATGATGTAATACTTCTCCTTTCAGCAATATACATTGGTTATTTTTATATTAAATTACATAACATGTTAGCTACCACAATGATGAAAAATAATGTAATTGGCACACAACATATGTGTCTAAAAACAGCTAGCGTGTTAAATTAAAGTTGATTATAACTTCCCAATACCTTGACAATGCACCAAAACAACAGTCACTTATTTCTCATTTAGATTAAAAATTTAGATAAAACAAATAACAGGAGAGTTGTGTTAGTTAAAATAAATTTGAAAATTGCGTTTTCCAAAAACCATTTACCCCCATAAATTATTCGTTCCACCACTAGAAATTTTGTAAAAATGTAACAGACTTATAAATAATAATTTCCTGTATAATTATTGGAATAAAATACATAAAAATGTAGAAATATATATATATATATATATTAATTTATTATCCCTGAATCAAAATAATTCTTGAAAAATACCATAACACCTTCTTCGAAATGAATTACTGATTCTTTTAAAAAGTTGGGTTGTTTTCCATAAATGTGTAAAATATATAAATAAAAAAGCTGTTAATTAAATAGTAAAAATGCTTTTAAGTCTTAAAATAGTAATTATAAAAATTAATATAATTATAAAAAGTAATGAAAATACATAGCAGATGGAAGGCTAAAAAAATTAAGACTAATGCAAATAAATAAGTAATTTGAATAGTTCAGTTACAAGTTTAAAAAATAGAAAGATAACTACAATGGTACATTAATAACCTAATATAATCTGTTGTTAATTTTGTAGATAAATCTAATAGTTCATACCAATAAATATTCTATTTAAACTAAGTATACTCACCTGTATTAAATTTTAAGATATTTTTAATCATTTTAAAGTAAACAGCAACAAAAGGAATGCAAAGCCCAAAAAGCTATTATCATGAGTAGAAAATAAAGAAGAAAAAAATTCATAACACTTATAATTAATTTCGTATCAGATTTCATCATAAATGCATTTGAGTAAATGCATGTACAATATTTTTTAATTGATATGGACAATTTAAATAGACTTTAACGCAAATCAATAAGTGAGCAAATAAAAAGTATGACAGCAAAATAAAATTATCTTTGTTAACTGCATGATTTATAGCGATGTGATGATTTTAATCAATTTTATGAAAATCACTTTACCTGAATACTTTAAACTTATTAATAAATAATGCAACATGTCTAACAACATTCAATTTTTACTTGAATAAGATTTATTAAATAGCAGTTATTCTTAATTCATTACATGCAAAATATTCTTTGATTAACAAATTTGTGATTAAATTTTGTTATAGTATTTTTTTTACTAATAATATTTAAAATATTTACAATGTACAGATTCACAGATATAAATATTATACAATACCATTGCTCCCAATCATTGTGGCTTTTAAAATCAAGTAAAATAAAAAAAATTAACTAAATAAAAAACCAATTTATAAACAGTTTTGCTAAAATTAAAACAAAGAGCTGTTAAAAATCCTTACAAATCTATTTCTAGTGGAAATTGCTAAAGATTTTAACACTTAATTTTTCAATTCAAATAATATTATTGTAAATAAGTCTTTTTTGTTTCTTGCCAACTGTCAATTTTAAATACCCCATCCTTAGTTTCATTTTAAGGTAATTATGTATTTTTTAAGGCAATTAAATATTATTATTTATTTATCGTGGCAATGAAGTTTCTTCTTTATGTAATAATTTAACTGTTTGGAAGTTTCGAGTTAATTTGATTTAATTTAAAGTTTATTTAAAAGAAATAAGATTGTCGGATACCAGGTATCTGGTGTCCCTATGGTTAAGATTAATTTTAGTTTCGCAGACAAAAAATAGTTTGCACGTATAAAGTTACGTTGAAGTTAAGGAGGACTCACATGCACAATTACTCCTTCGCCCCTCCTCTCCAAAAAAAGATTGAGGAATAATGGTAATTGTACTATGAAAAACTATTGTGTTTGAAAACTAAACCACACATATCTGAGGTAATTTTGCTAAATTGCATACATCATATGCACTAACAGCATCGCATACACGAAAATTTAATTTACAGTGTATCAAGGGATATTTCTAATGGTTTATGCTAATAGGACAGTATATAGTAAAGAGATAATTGCATTATTTTTTTTTAGAAACTTATACAAAAAAATGTCTGTAGTTATACATAAATGAAATCAAAAAGAGATGTTCAACTGATAACTCAACACATTCCTCTCCTTTAGAGAAAAATTTATTCGAAATTGAAATATTCTTTATGCTTCAAAATAAGCATAATCAGCTAAACAAAATAATGATTTACTCAAATTGTTAGATTTTCCCAGAATTAGCAAAACTCAATAAGTAATTACTCAGTTGCAAATATAAGTAACATTTAAAGAGTAATTTTTTTTAGTTCAGCTAGGTAAAACATATTCAATAAATACATAGAAATGTTTAGAAAATGTCCTTCTTCGAAAGCAATTTTTCAGTTTCACAGAGCACTCTAATTGAAGAATAAATTTAGCAAATTATTCAGTTTATCTTAAGGAAAAAAGTGTAAAATTCCTCAGAAACTTTCTGTTGTCAAAATAGAAAACAAAGTGTTGGAAGTAGTATGTATGCAAGTAATAGTATTGTAAAGTTCGAACAGTAAGCAACTTTTATGTTTATAATGTTAGATGAATAATACTTATCTATAAAACCCATGGAAAGATTAATTATGATTGATTCAATTTAATACAGGAATATTTTCTTCTTTCCTTTTTTCTTAAGCATTACTTAATGCATTTCAATAAACAATACATATATAGTTAGAACAGTTTAAGATTAAATGTTATTTTAACATGAAAACATAAAATATTGTAATAAGTCTTGTAATTAAAAATCTTTAAAAAAATTCACTTTAATGGGGACATTTTTGTTCATTAAGCAAGCAAAATAAAATGCGTGCATTTAATATGTATAAAAACATGCATAAAGAATCAGACCATTAGTTTGTTCACAATGCAAAATTAAATGCAACTAAACATGAAATAAGTTTTAAAAAATTAAATAACAGAAGCTGCTACATGCCTTTGCCCTTTGATACTGGTGATAAGATGCCTACAACAATAGGAAAACAATATGAGTAATAATCAAGAAATGTTTTTCAAAATAGATGTTTCTAAAATTCAATATGAGAGATATGCTAAAAGTAATACTTTTACATAAAATAATATATTTTCTTTTAATGAACCATCTGTATAAATAAAAATGTAATAAAAACTCTATATATATTATAAATAAGGAAGCAATATAATTATGCAAATAATTTTATGTTTATTATTTTGAGCAATTAGGCGCTAATATAAAGATAAAATGTGATAAAATATTACCAGTTATAGAAAAACCTGTTAAGTTGATCACCTAATAAAGTAGATATTTATAATAAAACCTCAGAAGGTATAAAGAAAAAATGAGAATTTCCTGTTTCATTTGTTGACCACCTGGCTAAGTGGATCATTAGAGTATTGCACCACAGGTAGTCAACTTACACAGATTTCAAGAAATTATCAAAAACAAATGATAAAATAATTATAATCTACAGAACTGACCATTAAAATTTTTACACTAGGAGGATGGAACACCTCACTCATGAAATTTGCATAAGAGATAAAACATGGTACGATATGCAAACAATTTTATTTTTAGCATAATGGAAAGCAGGCAGTAGTAGTGACATCTATAACGCATATAGAAGCAGAGATTTGACAACTTTTTTCTCCTAATTAAACTGCATTCGAATATCATTATTAATTAATTATCATTATCGATTATTAATTATCATTATCGATTAATGCTTTCTGAGGATCTATTTGTCCCAATTATCAGTACATTAAATTACCTAGCTCATATGTTCCCAACCTTCCTTAGATCACCATTCCCTCTGTAATTCAAAACATTTTGACTAATTTCAACTTTAAGTCTTTTGATAATCCTGCTATGACAGACTTCTGTAACTATGCCCTTAAGTTACTAAATGTATAACTGACTACCAATGTATTTAAGTTTGAAACATTTCCATGCTTAATTTCGATGAAAATATAAAATCTGTAGAATATTAAAATTAAAATCTGCAATTTATCTTAGTTAAAATCTTTAAAATAGAATGAAGTCTGAAAAATTTTTAACCATTAAATTCAACAAATAGAATGAATTTGCAGTTTGAATTAAAGACTTAAATATTATTTTTCATTCTAAAAAATTGTGAAATAAATTATGTCGTTTCAAGTTGATTCTATCCATCATTTGTGGTTTTTAATATAGCTAATACTAACTCAAATATAAATTAAAATTAAATCACATAGTTATATTTTATAAGTTTGCAAAAAACTTTGATAATAATTTTTTGAATTATTAAACAAAGGAGAAAATTCATAAATTATTCAAATAAATTAACTAAATAATATATTTAAAACTTCTTTATAATGCAAGTTGAAAGGAAACGATGATTTATGAACTTTAAAAGTTCTCAAATAATGCATTTCTGACTAAAAAAAATTCATGCTTCTTGATTAAATATAGAGAAGCAACAGGGGTACAGAAATTTAAAATTCCTATGAAGATCATGGTGCTGTTTGAAGCTAAAATGTAAAATGGATATTACAATATTTTCTATTCTTTGTTTACAAGATTTAATAGAAAAAATTATTCTCTGATAAGGAAATATAAACATTTCCTGGACATGAAACCGAAACATTTATATATATTAATACATACTCAATACTAAGTTCATACATAGTTTGTTTATTGACTTCCAATTTAATTCTAACACTCATAAAATCCTTAACATTCCTTTAATAACCATAATCTTACTAGCCCCCCCCCTAAAGGTATTATCCACCCAGTGGGAGAAGAAAATAGTGTTCATAATGGAAACCTATGATCTAGTTAGTTATATAAAAGAGAAATGGGACTGGATCATTGAGAAACTAAACTACCAAAATCTTGTATATAGTCTTGTTATTTTGAGCTGAATTCAGAAGATTAAGACATTTGTCAGTCAATCTGTTACCGTCAACAAAAGAGAACACTGGTAAAGTTATTGACAGTATCATTAATAAAATAATGCTATCTACTACATAATGCAGCATATTAAATAATGCTAACTACTACATAAAATGTCTGTAACTAAGCAGACACTATTTGGATTGACAAATGAAAAAGCTAGAAAACAAATTGTGACTATATAATTTGATTTATATTAAAGTGAATTAAGGAGAAAAGGATTTTTATCTATATTAAAGTTGATAAACAATTTTATTTTTTTTTAAATGACTTTGATTGCTTGCAATAAAACTGACAGATAACTTCTATAAATGCAACAAGGATAAGCGAAAAAAAGTACCCTTTTTTGCGTAAATAAAGAAAAAAAAATTAAATAACATATCTTGGTCATTGCTTATAAAAAAAATTTTTGCCACTGGTATATTGTTAATTGAATGAAAATGATAAAAAAATTAATATTGTAATAAAAAACTTTACTGCAAAATCTGGGGATTCCAAGGTGTTATATACAGTATGTTCTGCCGTTTTGCTAGGAACATCGCAGGATGGACTAGAAACAAGACAGTATTCTCTGCCACTCTCTAAAAAAATACAAATAATTATAATAAATTTGCCAAAACTATAAAAACGTAATGTTTGGTACAACTTAACTATAAGTGAATGTCCCTCTTAGGCAACGATTCATCACAGTAATCCCAAATAGAGTGCAAATGTTTTATATAGTAAATACAAAATACAAAAAGTTCAAGCAATATCTCCTATCAAAAAATAGATAATAAATGTTGCAAAAGTTATCTAAGTCTTGGAGTTTAAAGTATGATTTTTTCCAGTCTCCAGACAAGCTGAATATGTCAAGTAATTTGTATGAAGAATATTATGTCAAATAGTGATAAGCCAAAAAATAATACAGTAAGAAAAAAGTACACTCTAAAAAGTAGAGAAATTTAGTTTTTAAAATGTAATAAATCTGACTTCTGAAAATGTAATAAATCTGACTGATGTAATTTTCATTGACGTTTTTCAATTCCTATAATTTATTTTTCCAGACTTATGGATAAAAATATTTTCAATAAAAATTTATGCATAAAAACTAAACCTAAATGAAAATCATAATCTTCCTATTTTTTTCTCTTTAAATAAACATATGACTTATTTGTTATACGCATTGTTCTTGCGAAATTCATCTTCTAAATTGAAACTCAAAAACAAACTTAACTGAATAAATAGCTGATACAATTTCAATGTTTTTAGGATCTTTTAGCCATGTTGTTCTGTAAAATCAGTGAAACACTGGATGTATATGAAGACAAATTACATTTTCTAGTTACTTTCTTGTAATTTTGATAGATTTGAAACATTTTCATGCTTATGGTATTTGTCATCTATACCAACTTGTTTTCACTAATTATAGGATTTAAAGCAACGTAGATGACAGAAATAAGGATTAAATTTTACTTGCTGCAGCCATTTTAAAGTGGATCACTTTTTTATAGAGAGTCTCACAATAAATGATTTATTTGCTTTTGCACCGGCTTGCAGTAATGTTCTCAAACACCAGAAAACAAAATCTATTTACAAAGCAATTGAGGTTTATCAATATTTTGTAATAATCCTACACACAATAAATAAATAGCAAAAGAAATATCAAAAATAGAAACATATACAAAATGATCTGATTATAATGAAACTCCAGAAAGCTAATTTACTATCTCAGTTTTATCATGAATTGCCTGTAAAACAATTTTTTATTGAGTAGTTAAAAAGCTATTTAAACATAAATATTTTTAAGTTGATATGGTAACATTGAAGTTGTAGCAAATATTTTTGATTTATAAAATTCATTTAATGCCGGTATACACAAGTACTTATAATGGTTATTTTATTCTAAATATTTAGTATTAATAATTTCTATTAGTCATTATTCTTATTATGTGAAAAAAAGATAGTTAGATATATATCCAATGATTTTGCATAATTTAGTGCTTGATCTGAATAGCATAACAAAAAGTGTTCTTATTTGAACAATGAGAAGGATTGAACAAAAACTGTAACAAAGTGGTATGAATACAGCTTATAGATAAAACCCAAGCAAAACATCTATATTTAATCTTACAAAAAAGCAAATTTTTTTCACCATGCATTAATCACTAAATATCAAAAAATTAGAATGTGGAAATATGAAGTCTGCTGTATTTATCTGACTGGATCAATTCAGATTTTCATATGCACTGCTCTCATTAAAATAATTAATTCTCAAGTAATAAAAACCCTTTTATGGCCCTTTTTGAAAGAAATTTTAAATGTGTAAAGCATTGAAAAAAGGTTAGAAAAAATACATTATTGATGTATAAACACTTTCGTGATAAAGTATTTCATTTCCTTTGGGTTTCAAATTAGGCAGAAATTTTATAATCACCTAGTATTTGTAATTTGTCAAAGCAAACACAATATTTAGCTTAATAAAAATATATACTAAAATGCAAGATGATTAACTGATGATGAGTGAATTTATTTATTTTAATCAAATGAAAATAAACTGTGTCAAAATGCATACCATTGCAGAGAAATCTTTGGATACTTTCAACTCCTTTAAGGCATATGTCTACAAATAAAGATATTATTAAGTCTTCATATAAAAAATATGACAGTGCATAAATAAAATAAATACAGATTCGTAAATACAAAAAATAAAAAATTTCATAAAAAATTTTTAAGATTTTTTTTATAAAAAAAAATTAGAAGGAAAAGCAAAAAATTTTTTGAAACATTTTAAAAGAATGGTCACATGTAATAACGATATTATTTTCTTAAATCCATAAAGGTTTTATTTTAGCTGTATTATTTGAATCAAAGATGCCAGAAAATATTTTTTTTTTAAAAACTAAATATATTAATATAATAATACAGTGAATTGTATTTGACTTGCTTAAATTTAGGTTGCTTTCAGCAACAAACTTTACATGCAGTCCTTCTTACTTCTAGGTTTTATTGAAGCATTAAAGTATTTATCCAAGAATCAAATTTATAAATATGTTCCAAAAATAGTCTGATAATGAAAACTGTTTTAAATTCCTAATACTAGTAAAGTAACATGTAATTAGTTTTTAAAACACCAAAAAATTTTACTTTGGCTAAAAAAGTACAAATGTATAAATCTATACATTACTACTTTGTCATATCATTTTAAAGAGCCACAAAGCAGTCAGCCTGAGCAAGTTTTATATTTGCATAATGCTATATAATTAATCCATAAATATTTTAAACCATATTATTTTAAAGTCTTTGCATCAATGCCCTTTCAATTTGAATTTTGTAGTAAGAAAATTTTAGGTAACCTTAAACTGGCACCTTGTGCAAGATTTTTATCCTATGTATTAGCACTTAAAATATCAATGCCAGGAATCCAGAGTAATACTGTCAAACATAACAGGGGGAAATCTGAACCCTAAACTAGTTACTTTTTGTAGGTAAACTGCACTGCCGAAGGTAGCATGTCTAGCATGGCATCACAAAGTAATGAATTTGTGAAATATTAAAGACAGGAGTCAATGTGGAAATGAGAAACGATGAGTTTGCAAAAGGTGACCAATTGGTTGATGCAGGCAGCAAAGAATAACATAAAACATAATTATTTCTACAAATTAATAACTACGTTTTTTAACTATAATTTGCTTAGTACATAATATAAGATAATATTAATATAAAATATTATTCATATTAAATAAATTGCATAGACTCAATATAAAATGTAATGCCAGAAAAGTCAGAATCAATTATAGCAAGCAATGAAAGAAAAATAGAAAATAAATTGGATAGTCTTAAAATTAGTCAGATAATAGGAAAAGGTAATTGTTCCTAAACCATTCAAATAAATAATGCAAAAAAAAATATATTAATTGGTGCCCTTGCTCATGAATTATTAGAATACATGAACAAAATTTCACATAGAGATATTGAGAGACACTTACCACAATTAGGATATGTAAATAGTTGAGCGTCTAAATTAAAACAATTTAATGACACAAGATTGCACAGCTCCTTTGGTAAAGTTTTGATTTTAGGATTATTACAAATATCCAGAGACTGAAGACATTGTATTGAGCATATAGCTAATGGAAAAGACTGCAAATTATTACCTAAATGTAAAGTCAAACAAAACATAATTAGTTTCAAAACATAAATATTAAACCATAAGTAAATTTTACTACGTTATGAGCAAATATCAATAAGTTATAAGAAATACAATTTAAAATTCATTCAAACTATTCTTCCAGAGAGCAGTATTTATACAAAGCAGCATATAACTCTAATTTAATTGATTTCATTGGTTTATGAAGTTCAATTCATTGATTGACATTCCTACAAAAACTTTGGAAGTATTTTTCTCAATTAAATTCCCACTTTGATATTACATTTTTCTTGCACAGGTAACGTATTATACTTCCTTTTGGTAGAAACTAAATCCATGATGGTCAAACTAAGTCAGACAATCAATAATAAAACGATGTAGAAAACAACTAAAATTATAACTTTAGAAAAACCAAAGCAAATAAACTTTTATTTCTAAATCACATAAAATGGGTTGATTTTATGTAGTGATGCAATACAAAGATAGTTTTCTATTTTAAAGCCCTCATGTATAGGGAATCTGAATAGCATATTATTGTAACTAAGAAAAAAACTAAGTGAGGGAGTAAAGAGTACAAAAACAAACTTTAGAATAGACATCAGTTATCAGAGGCATAGGGATCATAGAGGTTAGTATAATCAAGGTCCTACTGTATTTTTAATTATAGGCTAAAAGAAGGAGAAAAAAGGAAACATACAAAAAATAAAAAATGTGAGAAAAACAATCAAGAATACTTCAAAATACTATGCTAAGATCATACAGTCAGATAAGACGATTAAGTATTTTCGGGTATTAGTGCAAAAGCCAGTTATAATAAAAGGCCTTTGATTATTAACAATAAATGAAACACAAATCTAGTACCTTTAGATTAAAAAGTCAAAAATAAAAATATAAAAAATTAGAAATTTACAGGAAAGCAAGAAAAGAAAAGAAAACAGATGGGCAGAAACATTAGAAAAAAATAATTGACTTTTTCAATAAAGGAGATTTAAGTAATCAGTTGAAATAGTAATCAGTTACATTTAATAGTTCAACTAAACAATCAAATTATTTTCACAGTTTTTTTTAACTAAGCTAGCTAAGAAAATAAACAACTTAGTAAAACAGTCTTTTTATGTAAATTTTATAAACTTCTTTTCAATCAATAAAAAGAAAACTGTAAAGTTCACACATTTATACCCATAGAATATATAAGTACGAGAAACTAATTTAAAGAAAATTGCTTTAAATAAATATATTAATACAATAAAATATCTGAACATTCATAAAGTTAAGCAAAATATTAAGGTACTTAAAAAATGAGTGGCTATTTTTTAAGAATTTAGTATAATGAGACAATAATGGGTAGAAAAATTATATACTTTTCAAATTCAAGCTTCTCAAATTTGTCAGCTTGCCAATGGAAACAGGTAGTTTCTTCAAACGGTTTTTTTCCAAATTTAATTCCTAGATTGAAACAGGATAAAAAGTAAAAAATTTGGACATTTTCTAATAATTTAAATTTTTTTTTTACACACAAATAAAATAATTACTTGCAAGTGAGTAAGATAGCCAATCTCATCAGGTAGGGAATGCAGTTTATTGTTATGAACATTAAGAACCTAGTAGGAAAACAGGATTAATAAAACAATAATATCAATTCATCATTACACTACATATTGAAATGATGACTTAAACAGAGATCCTCTAACGATTCAGGACTTTTTGCAAATACATAATCTCGTGAAACTAGTCTAGCTGTCACTAAACATTGAGGATGTTGAACCCCAACAACAACAAAAAGATACTTACAATCAGGTCACTCAGATCTTTCAGCGAGCCACCATTTTGTAGAGAGGTTAGTTGATTAGTTTGCAACAGCAAAGCCTAAGTAAAGCATGAAATTAATTACTACATTTAAAGAGATAAAGCTGAAGGTAAAGAACATATTATATACACAGAAAAAAGGATTTAAGACAAATTCCACTGGTATTAAAGCAATTGAATGCACAAAACTATTAGTTTGCAACAGCAAAGTCTAAGTAAAGTATGAAATTAATTACTATATTCAAAGGGATAAAGCTGAAGTAAAGAACATATTGTATACACAGAAAAAAGGATTTAAGACAAATTCCACTGGTATTAAAGCAATTGAATGCACAAAACTTTTAGTTTGCAACAGCAAAGCCTAAGTAAAGCATGAAATTAATTACTACATTTAAAGAGATAAAGCTGAAGGTAAAGAACATATTATATACACAGAAAAAAGGATTTAAGACAAATTCCACTGGTATTAAAGCAATTGAATGCAGAAAACATTTTATGTTTTGTTGTTTTAATATTAAATTTTTTCATGGGGAAAAATTCCATTAATAAATAAAATACATTTAAATTGTAAATGAAAATTTGAACTGAAAAGTTTAAGACTCCGTAGCACAATGCATGTAACAAAGTTATTTAACAAATATCAATTGGATATATAAAAAAATAAAATGTAAAAAAATCTTAAAATAATGTACGTATGAAATCTCTAATTGACATATGTACCAGAGCAGCTGATGAAAATCAAATCATACCTATACAACAAAATTACAATATAATATAAAAGGTATGTATTAAAAAGTTTCAAAGTTTCTTGTCAACGAATGACATGGTACATAACTCATTCCATGAACATTATACATTATTATAACTGAACAGTAGCAGTTGTAAGTCATATTACACCTTGAGGGACACTATAAATTGTACTGAAAAAAGAACTTTCTTTTTTTTAAAAATTAGTTCAAAAATAATCTTGAAACTATTAAGATTGTATCTAAGAATGTGATAATCCTATCACTAGATCAAAAGTTATTTAAATGCTCTATTTTTAATTTTGTGCACTGTATAAACTAAAATAAATATTATAACAATATAAAATGAAAAGATTAAATTAAATTTAGCAAATAATGAAGTGATTTAAAAATAATACCTCTTTGCGAAAAACCCTGCACATAGAATATACTCCAGATGGAACCTTAGAAAAGAATAATACATTAAAAAGAATAAAAATATACCGATGAATTAATAGAAAAATAATGAACACAGTTAAAAGACTTACTTCAGATAGATTACAATCAGAAATATCAAATGTAGATTCAGGAGCTTCTTTAGCCTATAATGTTTTATGTTATTTAGTCATTTAAAAACATAAACTTTAAAAATGAGTAAAAAGTAAAGCAGTCCCGTAATAGAGCATTGTTGGCCATCTGGATCATGGAGTTTAAGGTTCCACAATTTCGTGACCAATGGCATGTTTGTGGCAATGTTGTTAGCATTGTACACAGTTTCCTTTACTTCTCAGGCAAGCTGATATTCATTGATCAGAAGTTGGGAGGGCTTCAAGCCACAACTGGGGATCAAACCCCAGTTCTTCCGAGCAACAGCTTCAATGGCTTCAGTTCCACTGAGCCATTGAAGCTCAACTAAAAAGTAAACTAAAACAAAATTCGAAATTATAGAAAATATTTGCCACACAATTAAATATAACCCTTTTAATAAGTCCATTTAAATGTTATAAAAATATTACAAAAAGAGCCGAATAGAAGAAAAGGTTCTTTGTGACATTTTAGTGATTTAGAATAAATTAGCTTAAGAGCTTAAATTTTGTTCTTTTGTTACTTCAATGAATCTCTGAGATTTTGGTAATATCTGTATATCATATTTGCTTAGCAAATGATATAAGTATCTCCAAGAACCATAATGAACTAAGAGAAATGACGGATAAAACCTGCAGAAGTTGATATCTAAGTAGGACATAAAGTAGTTTTTCAAAAAATTAAAGTTGTGTTTAATGCTGATGTCATGAAAGATTAAACCAAAATGAATGAGCTAAAAATTAAAGAAGAGTAGAATTACATTTGTTCAGGACAAGTATTATTAATTTTCATGCACAAAACTAACAGATAAACCAAAATTGGTCATAATTCTTATGGCAAAAATAGCATCATACTAAAGAGCAATATGAAACTCTTTAGTATAGGTGGAAATTATTATTTTAGTAAATTTAGTATTAGTGTTTTATAGGAGAAATTTTAAATCAATGCATGTAACTCTCCCACACTTACGAATTTAAAGCTTGGATTCATTCTAGTAAAGAAATTATTTCATCAATATGTAATAAATAATCTCAAACAAAATAAAATAATAATTCACAAAAAGTTGCTTAACCCTTAATAAATAATACATACTCATGCATTACAGAAAATTTAATGCAGTGACAATGAAATTGGATTAACCATCTCTAAATCATATTTAACTAATGATTCGTAGTTGAATAAGCAATTTTAGTTTAAAATTATCCTGATTCATATATAGCATATGATTTAACAAACTTATAATACAATTTTTGCTTTATATGTCCTTCGGATAAATTGAACATAGGTAAAACAATTTTTTTCTAATATTCAAATTTAGGATAATCTGATAACTATGAAAAAAAAGATTATAATTTTGTAATTACATAATGCAAACTTGATGCTCTAACTTAAATCTAACTAAGTAGTTTTCAGATTTACATAACATTTAAAAAAAACAAAGAATGTAAACTTTTTAATACAGTATTTTCCTTTACTAATATAAATTTAATATCAGAAATATAAATTTGGATAACTTAAATATGTTTTCCATTTTTAAACATTAATGAGCTATAGATTAACCAAACATGATAAACACAATAATAATATAGTATCTTTATGAATTTACGAACTTACGATGCACATTTTATGTTCTAGTTTTGCTTTATAATTTTCAGCTTTACCTCCATCACCCCAGAAAGGCATCTAATAAAAAGAAAAAATTTCTTTACCACTAATATAAACGAAATATCAAGTTAAAATACTTTTCATTATTATTATACAAAGAGTAAATTATATTTCGATAAAGAAATCATTAAATTGAAAATTGAGAAAAATAAGATACTGAAATTTTTATTTTGATACAACAGTTCAAAATTAATGTGAAAAAAGTGTAAAAATAAACAAGAACATCTACTATTAGGCAAAAACATTTATATAATGCATTCAATTTTTTTTTTAGATTTATAAATACAAATACAAACTTGTTTAAATAGTGAAGAGTCAAAGTAAAATATAAACAAATTAATTTGAAAGTGTTGAATAACGTATAGTATTTTTTCAAAAGAGATTAAAAATAATTTTAATCAATAAAATTTTATTAACACGCAAATGTCATTGGTTGCCCAGTTACGGAATTTCTTTTAGCAACATTTGTTTACTTACGACGTTGATTGATTGATTGATGGAGGAGTGACATAATCAAAGGCATAACAAGGGAAAAAGTTTAAACGCAACGTTTCCAGCTACCTATTGGTTTTTATACTGCATCCTGATTTTTATAATTTTCATATGGGGAAAAATACTAATTTTTCAAAATTTCTTTCTTCTAAATACAAATTATTTACATATACCATGTTTACATTAATAAACAGTTTTATTATTAACAGCTTTATTAAATAGTATTTTAACTGAATAATTTATAGTGTGAAACTTTTGTTTTATTTATTATATTTTTATGACATTACATATTTTTATGCTATATTTTTATGTTAATATATTTTTTCAGATATATATTTATTATTTATATTATGATTTTTTCACTTATATTAAATAAAATTTTTGTTTTCTTTATCTTAAATATTTGTTATTAAAATTTTAGTTAAGTAAGTACCTACCAACCTACCTATTAAAATGAGAATTAAAACAAATATTTTTCGTACCACATTGTCTATTGGCCATTTTTTTTTCAAAATCTAAGTTCAAATTCAGACTGAGAATAATTATTCTTATTTTGAATTTGCAAATTATTTTTATATTATTATTATTGTTATTATAATATTATATTATTATAATTATTATTTGTAATTGTTATTCTTGATTTAAAGATAGTTTTAAAAAAATCAAAATCCTTGAATAAATTAAATATTTGTGCAGTATTCCATTTAAACTTTGTGCAATATTTTTCGAACGAAAGAAATATTTACAGAAGAAATATTGAAACTTATCCATTCCGCGAAAGCAGGGCGTACCACATTAATTAAAAAAATTTAATTATTGCTTTGGCTAATTAAAAAAAAATTTGTTTTTGAAAAACCTTTTTGAGTTTTCTAAGGGTATAACTCATATTGTGACAAATTTAATAATTTTTTAAGAGATCAGTTTTATATGCAACCAATTTTGTCTTATATGAAAGTAATCCTCCTAATTAATTAAAGACATTTCTAAAAACATATTTAGCTAATTACCTAGTATTACCTGATTAAATAAAAAGAAATATATTGGCTTCAAAAGTATACCGATGAAAATAAACGTCGACATTAAATAAATAATCCCAAGAAGCAGAAGCAGTAAGATATTACTTTATTAAAAACTTCATTCACTTCAAAAATATTTCTATTTTGTATATTTTTCAGATGAATGGAGTTTTTATTCAAGTAAGCATCTACATGTTCCTAGTACCAAAAATAGGCTCCCATTTTCAAAACTCTTCTATTAATAAATTTTTAAAGCTAATAAAGTAGTTTTTTTTAATTATTTTTTACAGCTTAAGTTTCTTGGAATTATTTACGTTTTTAATTACTCAGTACTTAGTGTCCTCAACACAAGAGAAATTAAATTATTATTAGTTTTTAAAATTATAAAATTAATTTAAAAATAAAGAAAACAAAAGCTTAACGAGGTCTATAGTTTAGGAAATTCAGAAACACAACAACTTGGGTCAATTTTACAAGTGAGAAGGTACCAAACTTTACAATAACGTAATCAATTAGCTGATTGAGTTAGAATAAAGAACTTGAAATTTTAAAATTTAATAAGAAATAAAACATTTGAGAATTTTGTAGTCTGAGAATAAGTCTAATGTCAAACGAGTTTCACAATTTATTCTACTATTACCAACAAAAAAAAAATGTTTCCTTCTTGAACTGATTGGCAAAGCAATTTTTAAAAATTTTTTAAACCACCAAATTATAATAGTTTTTTTTCTTTTGAACCAGTTTAATATGTAAGAAAAGGCACCAGACTTTCTAGAAAAGGAGTTAATCTAACTAAGTAAAAAAAAAATATATATATATACATATCAACTTCAAATGTACAGTGCGCCCCCCCCCAAAAAAAGGACCACTCTGAATAAGCGTCTTAATGGTTCGAGGGGGTGACCAATAAAATATGCTAATTATTTAATGCAGACGATATTTTAGGTTAGGAAAACAGACACAAAAACGTACTTTCTCTGAATAAACATACCTTTTCCCGGAACGGAAAAGATCGGATTTGACACCCGAAGACGGAATCGGATTTGACACCCGAAATATAGGGGGGTAGAAGCAATTGGTCCCCATAGTTTGGTCAGGAGAGCGATCCTAAGTTTGAACCCCTTAATGTTAATTTTATTTTTTACGTTTTTCGTCATATTTCGAGAACTTTTAAAGAGAATTGAAAAATTTTTGCACACAATTATAAAAGTTTTTTACCCGAAGATAATTCCATGCAAAAAATAAATTTTTGTAAACATTTACTATTTTATTTAATAACAGTTGTAAAACTTTTGAATTGTAAGGTGTATAGACTTTTACATAATTTTGAAGTAGCTAATTTTACATGGAAAAATACAAAAATTTGAGCGAAATCGGTTGAATAGTTTCTGAGAAATCGAATTTTAAATCTACGACTTTCTTAAAATCCGTTTTCTCAGAAACTATTCCAACCGATTTGACTCAAATTTTGTATTTTGTCATTTAAAAAATTGCATATCTTACAATTCGAAATTTTTTCAATTATTACTAAATATTGAACAAATTTTATTTTTCGTATGGATTATCTTTGGATTAACAAATTTTATAATTGTGTGCAAAGATTTTTTAATTCACTTAAAAAGCTCTCAACATAGGGAGAAACACGCAAAAAATAAAATTAACATTAGGGAAACCGAACTCTGAATTGCTCTCCTGTCCAAACTATGAGGACCATATTTCCCAGATTGCGATAATTTGAGGGTCAAAAATCCGAATCCGTCGAAAAAAAGAGATACGTTTATTCAGAGAAAATACGTTTTTGTGTCAGATTTCGTAACCTAAAATATCTTCTGCACGAATTAATTAGCATATTTGGGGTCACCCCCTCGAACCATTTAAATTGAGTCCTAGAATGTGAAGATCCGATCATCATATCAAAAGTTATTCAGGGTGGTCTGTTTTCTTTGAAAGGGGGGGGGGCTCTTTATCCTGATGACAGATTTCACTCACAGAGTAGAAAATGTAATATAACATTTTAAGGTACATTGTATGGTTAAATTCATTTTTATATAAAATAAAATAAATTAAAGAATAAAGTAATTTTTTTTACTTATATTGTATTATCTAATAAAATTTAATTAATTAAAATTACAATGCTTTGCTCAAGTTCTGTTTACCTCACTATGACCTGATTGATACAGCCTATAATCTAATATTTTTTAAACAGTATTGAAATATAAGAATTTTCTGGAACTGGTATTATGTGAAAGAAAAGGCATTATTCATTTAAGTAACATTATTATTTAGCTAAAAGAAGTAAAAAGTTTAAACTGTTCAACAAACATGCCGGAAACAAATTTTTAGTTAAACAATCAAGCTGCTCATGCTCCAGCTATTTGATAATTTAATGGGGAAAAAAAATATTTTGAACTGCAAGTTCCAAATTTTATCTGGAAGAAAGCGCATAAAATTTTCTAAAAATATTGTTATTTAAACATAAAATTTATGTTTCTTCCTTTTTCTCTATTTGTAACCACACTACCTAATAATAGGTAATAATCCATAGAACAAATTGCTTTTTTTTTTTTTTTTTTAGCATTTTGTAAAACAAGATAATTCTGGAATCTGTTTACTCATTAACAGATAACTCATTAACATCAAATTTTTTAATGATTTTAGGTATTTGAGTTAAATTTGTAGCTGAAATTCTGCTTATGATCATCACATTTGAAGACATGACTCATGCAGAAAATAATTTAAAATTTTCGTATATAATTTGCATTTCAAAAATGTTTTGGTTTAATTAATTTTTTTTTGTTGCAAAAACTGCTTAGGTTTTTTTAACAGTACCACTCTTATTTTGGCTAATTTAATAATTTTTAAAGAGAATGCCAGTTTCTTTTTAAATTAATTTTATATGAAAGGATTTAAATTTTCTAAAGACATATTTAACTAATTAGGTCAAATTAAATATCCTAATATTTCTTGTAAAAGTCCTATTAAGAGACATTCTTTCTTAGAATGTGATTTCACTCAATGGACAAAAATAAAATTTCTAAATTATTGTACTCTATGAGTTTGTTCTTAAAACTAATTCATCAAACTTTTTAGCTATGTTGTTTAATTACTAATTAAGGCACATTTAAATTTATAGTTCTACAGGTGCTCATGGCAACTGACTATGTAATTCGTACAGAAGACATTTTAAAGTTTCTTTTTTAGTATTTTGCACCATAAGAGCTTTTTAAAATCGACATTATCTTTTTTAATAGAAGTATTTAATTTACTAAAACATGTTGGAAAATAATTTTGTATAACTTGCTCATTTGTGTAGGAGCTGGGATAATCTGGTTGGCAGGGCACTGCGTTCAAGTTTGGGAGTTCTAATCCAGCCGGTTGAAGACTACCCGAGCAGTAAACATTGACCGGTCCACTTTAAATCTGTCACGTCACAAAGTCCTCCATGGTCCCATAACAAATAATATCTCTGTTGATGCTGGACTGGAAATTGATTGTTCTGTTTTCAGATCAAAATTACAAACTGTGGATGAATGAATGTGTCCACCCTATGAACGGGTGTGGCAGCAGTCTAGTTCTTGGCCATAGATGGCACTCCTCTGCATTAATGAGTGACAACAACAACATAAGTTGAATAAACTTTTTTTTAAAAAAAATACTGAATTTTACCTATACTATGGTATAGTAAAATAATCATACTACCTGAAAATCTTCCAATTGTTTGTTGTATTCTATTTGTTTAAAAAATTTTTGCTTTAGTTTACTACCAATAGATAACTATTTCTCAAAAACCTAAAATATTTGAAGGAATAAGAATATTAATTATGTAAAAAAGAATTAATTTTAAATTAAACAATAACCTTACAATAATATTAATTAACAAGCATTATAAATACTATAGATACCAATCAGATAATTCAAAACAAAGTTAAAATTCCTTTAATGAACTTTTAGTACATAATATGAAGTACAACTCATTGACAAATACAGGGAAATGATAAGAGATGGCATTTGGAAAAAAAATGAAGAGTTTCATGATCACAGCTTTAAATCTCTGAACTGTTTTTGTTCTGATTCAGTCTTCACTACTACTTGCACCACTTTCCTCCTGCACACTCTCGCTTCCACTACCTGAGTCAGAGTCAAGAGTGATGACATCAAGTTCTTGTTCTGTAGAAGCTTCAACTTCCATACTTTCTTCTTCAGGTTCTTCTTCTTTAGCAGTAGATGCTCTTTTATTCTCTTTCTTTTGCTTTTTTGTTTCCATTGTATTTTTATAAGCTAAAACAAAGAGTGGAAATAATTATTTGAAAAATCCCTTTTCGTGTTTAGTTTAATAACATATTGTTAAAACTATAATTTACTTCCATTATGTACATTTGATCTAAATTGCAAATGATCTCTTGCCACTGGTAAATGAAAGTGACTATTTGTCCCGTTTTTCCATTAGATGGAAAAAATATATTACAAGTTTTATTTTTTAAAATTAAATAAATAACCTATACTTAAACAAGAGTTTGAGTTCAGAATCACGAGCTTTGAAGCTATTTACCAATTCATCAAATTTTTTCAATTGTATATAATAATTTGGTAATTTGTAAATAATAAATAACCTATACTTAAACAAGAGTTTGAGTTCAGAATCACGAGCTTTGAAGCTATTTACCAATTCATCAAATNAAAAAATGAAGAGTTTCATGATCACAGCTTTAAATCTCTGAACTGTTTTTGTTCTGATTCAGTCTTCACTACTACTTGCACCACTTTCCTCCTGCACACTCTCGCTTCCACTACCTGAGTCAGAGTCAAGAGTGATGACATCAAGTTCTTGTTCTGTAGAAGCTTCAACTTCCATACTTTCTTCTTCAGGTTCTTCTTCTTTAGCAGTAGATGCTCTTTTATTCTCTTTCTTTTGCTTTTTTGTTTCCATTGTATTTTTATAAGCTAAAACAAAGAGTGGAAATTATTTGAAAAATCACTTTTCGTGCTTAGTTTAATAACATATTGTTAAAACTATAATTTACTTCCATTATGTACATATGATCTAAATTGCAAATGATCTCTTGCCACTGGTAAATGAAAGTGACTAGTCATCCCGTTTCTCCATTAAATGAAAAAAATATACTACAAGTTTTATTTTTTAAAATTAAATAAATAACCTATAATTAAACAAGAGTTTGAGTTCAGAATCACGAGCTTTGAAGCTATTTACCAATTCATCAAATGTTTTCAATTGTATATAATAATTTGGTAATTTGTAAATAAAAACTCGGTACTTTATGAATAAAATTATTAATTAAAAATACATATGTTTATTTTATAAGTTAAAATTAGCTAATAATTCTCTGTTTATGTAAAAATTAAACCTATATTAAACAGTTGCTTTGACAATTCATACTTAACAGTATATGATTATTAAAATTAGTATGTTATTAATTTGTAATTGTGAATATATGTGATTTTTAAATGTGCTTACGCTTAGTTTATGATCTGCTAATTTGATTGCAATTCTAAAATTTCGTTATAATTTTAACTGTTATTAACATAATGTACACATTTAGTGGGCTCTGTCCCCCACTCCAAAGATTACTGCACAGTTTATATAACCAGGTTAACGAAAGAAACTCGTTACCAAGTTGCTCCTGTTTAAAATCTATTCCAGTATTTAGGCAATATAAATAATTGCAAAAACAACATTAAAACAGAAACATTTCTTTTTTCTAAATGTGAGTATCACAAAAACTACATATTTTTGTTATGGCACCTACATTATAATTTTTTTTAGAACTTTTAATTAACAAAAATTTTCAATAAAATATTTTAGCTACTAAATATGTAAACTGAAAAATATGATCACCATGATTTATTATCATTATTTTTTCTATTCGTCTTTTTTAGTTGCAATAACGTTAAATATTTTTCAATAAAAGGGCTATGTTTTACCTCTGTGCTCTATATTATATGATTGTATGACACCAAATTTGTATGAATTTTTTTACTCTTAATTTTTTAAATAAAAAGACAGGTAAAGAGATAATGTTTTCAAGCAGCATTGCATAAGGAAGAAATCCTTATGATGTTTAATATAAACTAAACTCAGTTGCGCGACAGTCCACTAAGGGCCATGGCATACTATACCCACCAGAGTTCTCTTGACCTTTGGGCTCTGAGGTGCAAGAGCAGATGTTCTGGTAGGGTAGTCAGCCCAAAGCGGAACCTCCAGTATTTAGCTCCCAAGTATGCCTTATTGAATAAGGCTCTTCCAAAAAATTTTCAATGAATTAACTACGTTTACAATAAATGTTAGAAGCACAAATAAACCACTATTAGATATAATAAACTTTAAAAGAAAAATTCCAGGCAATTGTTATGATCGAATCGTTAGCTTTTCCTCAGCATGACATTAGAATTAGTTTACAGAATTTAAAATTACTTTTTTTTAACTAAATAAATAAGAATACCAATATTGTTTCCTGTGAAAGCAGCACAAATTGACATTTTTTCTAAAATTGTAAATACATACTGCTATTTAAACATTTTTTTAAACGAAAGTTAACAGAACCAAAAATATGTGTTAAATTATGTTAGTTTAATGTTACTATAATTTAAAAGTATCATAAAGGCATAGAATTACTTTTCAATTTTTTTATTGGTACAAACATTAGTGTCTTCTTATTCATTTGCATATAATTTATATAAAATATGTCATGGATATGATATCATCATTTCCTTCAAATACATAGAGTCTGTTCTGAAAAATATTTCGGCGCATAAAAGTTTTCAGTTTATAAAATGATCATTTAGTCATACTCATTTACATGAAAAATAGAAAGAAACTACAATTGTTTTTATTTTTTAAGGAATGTTTTAAATTTATTTTTCTTTCAGTTGTTGCTTTTCAGATTTCATTCATTTAAAATGACGGCTTAAATATATAACGTAATTATATAGGTTGCAATTATAAACTCTTTATAGAAATCATCCAAATATTTAATAATATCTTTTAAATAAAGAGTTTCTTTCAGGCTCATAGGATCTTATTTCTATTAAAATGTTTTTTGTTTTCTTTATAAAAGAAACTCGTCATCCCTAAGTGAGAGATTTTGTAACTAACACCTATGGATAATTTTTGGAATATTAATAATTTTCAAGTTTCACTGTTGATTAGTTAAACTCTTTTGATAGGTTCCAGTTGCACATTGCAATTAAAGCTTATAAAAATTGATCATTTTTCTTTAATTTTCTATAGCAACTTAAAGACTTACGATCGACATATTATAGGTTTTTATATTTTTTTTAAGATTCATAAATGTGAAATTAAAACTACTGCGAATTGTCTAAATTTAAGTTTCTTTGTAAACACAAAATTATTGTTTCTGATTTAATCAATATTATTATTAAATTGCAATAGTTATCAATTAAAAAAAAAACTAAACCATGGTAATAGATCAAGTAGAAAAAAAGGAGAATAAATTTATAAGCCACACAAAGCTATTAAAAGGCACAATGATCACATCAATACAAAACAAAACCATTGATTTGACTCGACAGTAAAGAAATGTTGTAGCTCCTAATGGGATGGTAAATCAAGGAAGACTAAAAGGTGCCATCTTAGGACTAACACATTTTGAAACAGCTATACATTGAATAAAGATATTTTCATTTATTTCACATTCATAAACCATAAAATGAGCATAAAAGACTACAGTTTATCAATTGTACAATTTAAGCAAGATAAAAAAAATATTAAGAGAAATGTTTAAAGTTGAGAATTAATATAATGTAAATATTATAGATAACTAATTTTATGTTTTCTTAATTATTATCTGTATTACAATATAATTTCAAAAAATCAAAAGATAAATTTTTTTAAATTTATTTTTATCATAATCTTTCTTATATCTAAACATATGCTTCTGTATACGTTTTATGCTTCTAAACTTATAACAAAACCGTTAATTTACCTGTAAGAGCATTGTGCAAAGGATGATTTAAGAATTCTAATTTCATATCTTTTAAGGCATCAAAGACATCTCTGCCTAGAATACGTTTTCTATTGGCAGCATGTGAAAAATTGTTTGCACTAAAACAAAATATTATTAATTATTAAAGAATAATAATTAAATAATTAATGCCTCTGCATTCAATGATACAGAGATAACAGATGTGTGTCATATCTTTATCATTGAAAAATAAATTTGCAAGGTGAAAATATTTAATATTCTTACAAAATTACTTAATTAATTTTTAAAAAGAAAATTCCAAAGTATTTCTTGCGACATTAGTGCCACTCAAAATATTTCAAAACTTTATAATTAAATGAAGGGTAACCTTAATCTTAATTGACTATACAAAAAATAAAAACTATTGGCTTTTGAAAATGTAAAACGTACAAGATTTCTTAAGTCATTTATATCTTAGATAACTTTTACATTTATTCTTCAATGATGCCGAGATAACATATGTCTGTTTAAAATAATCTTATAATTTGTGTCTAAATATAAAATATATAGAGCAATAGATGATGTTGATGCAGTAGAAAAAAAATTAATACAAAAATACTTCAAAATAAAACTCAAGGAAGTTGTCATCAGTAAAGTGAACTTATATTGAACACTTAATGAAAAAAATTAAATCAATATGGAACAGTTGTAAAAAATTTATGTACGTAAATATTGCTAATACCTTACGTTACCCAGCTCAACTAGAACTAATTTAAAAAAATAAATAAATACTAATTTTTAAAAAAACTACCTTTTCATTTGACCATATTCAAAATGTTAATCTGTAATAAATTACTGCAAATAATGCTGACAGATCATGGCTATTTTATATATTTTTGGCAAGCTATTTTTCAGATAGCAATGCCTCTAAATATAGTAAAAAGTAAGTACTAAGTGTCATAGTCTAAATGCATTAGACAAGGGATTTTAAATCTACTTTAGTCACAAATCAAAATTAATGGTCAGTTTTGAGCCCAAAGGATCTGATTTGAAACAAAAAATATCAAAATAAATTTCATTATAAATAGTTCAACAAACTGTTAGTCTTTTAAAAAATTTTAGTGCATGCAGCTTTTACTTTATAAGCTGAGTAAACTAATAGAAAAAGTATCAGTAGCCCTTCTTAGAAAAATCAGAAGCATATACAAACATACTAGCAAAAAAATATTACAACTATAATGTCTTATTCATAGACTGCTAAGTTGTTAAAGGGGTCATATTTTTGTTTAAGTTAAACTAAAGTATTAATTAAACAGGATAAAATTTTAGATAGTAAGGTTAAGTTTAAGTTTATAGCAAAATTGAAGTTTATAGTTAAGTTTATAGCAAAATTGAATGCTGAAATTTCTATGACAGAACAAGTCACTTAAAAATTTTTTACTTTTGTTATACAAGATGATAAATTTATTTACAGCATTAGAGCTCATACCTAGATGTTGAATACAATATAAAAACACTAGCTGCTTTGGATAAGGCAACTTTAGCAACATCTGTAACTTGAACACCTTCAGGAATCTAAAAATTAATTACAAAACATAATACATAAAAAAGCTTTACAATATTATTTTAATACTTTATATTATATATTATTAGAGTTTTCAATTTATTAATCTTTTAAAAATTAAAATATTGGATAATACATGCAATAAGGAAAAAGTAAGAAATAATAGGATAGTAAAAAATTTTAATAAAAGTTTGTTATAATAATGACAATTCACAATATCAAAAAGAATAGACGTTATAGCAAGATTAAGTACAAATACAAATTTAATATTAAAAATGTAATAATTCCAGGGAAATTTTTTTCTCAAAGCTTCCTCTTCAATTGTATTTATGTTATTCAGAATCATAAACAATGGCACTGTATGAAGTTCATATTTTCTTGTTATATAATTTTTTTAAGAAGTATGTTTCCGTTTTTAATTAATATTTGAAGTTTTCTTTTAAATGCTAGAGTTTTTATTTTCTTTACATGGTACTGTATTCTAGTCCTCCCAATAAACTTTAGCATTAAAACTCAAACAAGTTAGCATCAATAAATTTCTAAATCATAAAAAATTTTTATAAGAATACAAGTAAAAAATAAAATGAAGCGCAACAGCTTTTGACATTATAGGTAATACTAAGTGAAAATTTCAATAGTAGGCTGTCAAAAAGGAAGCATTGCAGATACGTCGTCAGTATAGATATGCGATACTTTTGTAATGTACAGCAGGAACCTCAAAAACAGTAGAAGAATTTTTCTTCATAAGGAAGAAGATAACTTGGTTGGTAGTCAATTACGTATGTTTACTTTATAAACATAAGAGGATAAAATTTTAATAAGGATCTAAGGCAAAATCGTGATAATTTTTTATTTCTTTGTATTGATACAAGAAATAAAAAAAAATTTCTTCCATTTTGCCTCTTTCTAGACGTCATTGCTCACGCACGCCTTTCCATTAAAAAAAAATTTGCAGCCGTTTCTGAATAAGTTTGTTAATTTTGTCAAATTGTTAAATCCTACAATTTACTACAACTAAATTTAACAAAGTGCTCACCCTAATCTTTCTTATATTAGAAACTTTGAAATGCACTGAGCCGAAATTTTCACCTCAGCACAATTTTACATTGAATATATTTGATAGTTATTTTGCATAGATGGCACATGATCAATTTGATTAAAGTGTTATGATCAGGTGATTTCCGAGTCCTAATGTATGGTTTCATGGGTGAATATTGTACAATGCTCAGTAGCAAAATGTATCAACACTAAACCATTATCATTTGATCCCTCACAAGCCTAAATTTTCCAATAGTAAGTCTGGATGAATTTTCTCTTCCAACTTTAAGCATTCATGTCACCCAATAAAGCAATTTTTAGATCATTATTAAGGCAAGAAGCCAGTAAATCACTTAAATCCTAAAAGAATTGATTTTGTGGGGCATTAAAGGAAACATAAGCATTTTTGTACTCTAATATGAATAGAGTTTTCATTCACCTCATAGGTAGTCATTTCCCCTACACTTCACCTCATAGGTTGTTCTAAGAAACTGATATAACTCAATTGCATTTCTGAAGGTGAAGACGTTTGGAGTTTATTAAATTTGGAGTTTGGGTTTATTTTATTTGGAGTTAAAAAAATTTCTCAAATACTTTGGTTTACTTTTTTGATGGATGCTTACAAAGTAATTTTTTTTTTTTTAATTTAAACGACTTAAAACTCCTCATGCACAAATTAATTACAAAGTAATTGAAACTGTTTGTTCTTTTGTAATGGAAAATGAAAATTAAAAATCATTTTTAGATACAGTTGATATGTTAAGACTTTTGGAAAGTATAAGTAAATAAGAAACCAAAACAGTGAGCTATTACAGATTATTTTGTTATTAATCCTCTCTAATTTGCAAAACAAATCAGTGTACCCCTGTTAGTTACTTTACAGTTATTTTTTTATTTACTCCTGCAGAAAAAAATAGAGCATTGAAAGTACACTTTTTGAATTTTGTCCAAACTATAATATTTTTCTCTTCCTATATAACTTTATTTTATTTTTTAAATGCTAGTATTTTTTTATGAGATGCATAAAAGATATTAATTTAATATGATGTGCAAAATGAAAACATCAATCAAAACAATACGTAACTGATATAGATAATATAAAATGTTTGAATATTGTATCATTTTCATCATAAAAATTTCTGAACTGATAACATAACTACTTTAGAATTTTCTGCCCCCTTAGAGTAAACATTAACGAGGATCGACTGTATTATTAATTTAAAGTTACAGAAGGGCTTTGTGTTCATAAAAAAAAGCCTATAAGACATGTGACTTTTTTAAAGGTTTTACAATAATCTACAATTTAAAAAATAAAAACAGCATACATAATAAAAATAATACACAGATAAAAATAAACTTACAGCCTCTTTTACTATTTTAGATATAGCTGATAAAGGTAGGTTAAAATCTTCTGCTTTTTGTGCCATAACAAAACTGTAAATTAAATAAAGAAATTAATTATAGGTTTCACTCAAACTTAATTATAAAAATCAAAAAAATTTATAGAAATTATTAAAGCAAGTACAATAGAGACATTTATCAAAACAAGTTTTAATAATTCTCCAGATGCAAAATAATCTGGTTTGTTTTATAGTGAATCAACACCTAAAATGTTACTAGATACGTAATCAAATCTTTTCGCATGTTAAGATCCAATTTATATTGATAAGAAATTCATATGCCATTGATTTATATAAAATATATTAAACGACTTAACATGATTCATCAGTAAGATTTGAAAAATATAAGAGAGAGCAATTTAATTTTGGTCCTTACACTATCAATAAATTACACTATCTAAAAAGTATCAATAACACACATAAAAAATCATAATATGACTCTCAAACACAATAAATATTTAATTTTATTACAACTCTGATAAATGTGAAACATTAATATGGGCAGTACATGTAAATTTAATTTTCTTTCTGATGATCTGTTTGGAAATTAATTTGGGCCACACATCTAATAAAGAAATCTTCGCAAATGTAGGTGGAAAAAAGTAGTGGCCATCCAGGGAATATTTTCGTATTAGTTTGTGCCAAAAACCTTCGCTAATGCATCAAAGGGATTTTTTAAGTTGCAATTATTTTTATAAAAAAATGTTGCGATTTGTTTGCTGGCTGATATGAATCTTTTTTGTTTCTTGTGTTCAATTTCCCGGTCAAAAACATTTTTGTTCAGGTATTAATACGGAAATTTATCCGGAATCGAACATATAGGCTGCTTAAAAATATATAACAGAGGGTAATATTTAATTTTAATGATACAGCTTGAATTTGAAAATAAATAAATTACAACTAAATATAATAAAACGAAATTCTATATTATTTAGTGAATCAACTGTACCACAACTCATACAAAAATTTAAAACGAAGACCATTATTTCAGCTCACAAAATACGGCTTATGATTCAATTATCAATAACAGCATTTATTATTCGAGTTACATTACTTAAAAATCAAACAGTGAAAAATACAAACACTAGAGAACTCTTGCACAAAATGCGGCAAATAGATAAATTGTTGTTTTTTAATGAATTGTTTTGAATACTTTTAGTACGCTCTTAGCTACCTATTTCTGTTATTGTAAAATCTGCTTAAAAAAAACTAAGAATTAATTACTTTTTTTTTATTTATTGCATCCGCTGGTGGCAACAATCTTTTACATTTTTCAAGAAGAGAAGAGTGGTGAAAAGAAGAGTTATTTATTATTTGGTTTGTCAATTTCTTAAATTACTTCGATTTAGCTTTATTATTTGTAATTTCTCAAATTATTTTTTAATGTTTTCCCTGTTCATATCTAATTCATTTAATTGTTCATGTAACCTTACTTTTTTTTTTATAGCTCACTCACTCTTTGCATTGTAAGCTACGAGATAGCAGGGATTTCCATTTTTGAATACTGTTTTCCTTTAAACAGGTAAATATAAACTTATCTTAATATTTTTTTAAAAACTAGTTCATGTGAAAGTTATGTTTCAGACTAACAGATTTATTGTTTCGACTTACAACTCTTAAGTTTGTTAACTGGTAAGTTCATAACAAAAGCTTATGCAAATGCACCAATTTTGACGAATCGTTTCTCAATTACAAATAAAACTAATACACTCAAGATAAGAACTTATTTTAGTTCGTAAAAAAATTTTAGAGCTTAACTAAGTGAACTTAAAGTTCACTTAGTTAACAGTTAAGAAAAATCATAGATAGCTAAAAATCCTTCAAATATAAGATGTACTTTTGTACATATTATATACCTCTCTATGCCTATTTCCGGAAATTGAGCTCAATATACTTAATGTTTATAATGAGTTATAATTTGTTAATTTAATTGTTAAGTTCGAGAAATGAGAGTTAGGTAGAAGAGAGATCAATAAATGAGTTAATGGTTATAATTTCTTAACTTATCTTCACTTAGTTTGCCACATTTTAGTGGGGCAACAAATAATAAATCATTGTAATTTCATATTATTATATTTAGGGATATTTAAGATCAATTTATATTTTACATAAATTGTGCTAAATTAGTTTCATTAACTATTTTTTTGCTGCAATTGGTAATATTTAATGTTTTATATTAGCAAAAATTGATTCCCCGGGGAGTGAAGAAATGAGTTCATCTGAGGAAGTGTCATGGATCTCCTGGTTCTGTGGTTTGAGAGGAAATGAATTTTTTTGTGAGGTATGTGTGTTCGATTTTGTGATGGAGTTCATTAATAATAAATTAATGCCTAGTGTATAAATATTTAAATAATTATTTTTTGTCTTATAATTAAGGTTGATGAAGATTATATTCAAGACAAGTTCAATCTCACTGGACTCAGTGAACAAGTTCCTCATTATCGTCAATCATTAGACATGATTTTAGATCTAGAACCTGGTAAGAACAAGTTGAAAGTTAAGTTTACTGACACGCTAATGAATAATTTTACTATGAACCTGTTCTGAAAAGAAAACTTGCCACCAACTAAGCGTAAGAAATGCAAAGTTTTTTCAAGGTCACCAGGAAACAAAACCAATTTTTTAATTTTCTTAAAATATTTTAAGAATAAAAAGGCATTTTTGTGATAAAATTCTATTTTGGAGAAGTGAGGGTGAAGTGATTGACAGTCCGTGATCGACACATTAGAAATTTTACAGAATTTCAAACAAATTCTAAGATAGAATTATACTTTAATGTTAATGCTAAGTAATAGTAATTATAACAATTATGATTATTTATAAAATATTTTTCTTTCAGAATTGCAGAGATGCCAACTTGCTCCGCTTTGTAAAATAGTATTTTCTAGTGGTAGCGAAATTTAAGTTACTTTTAGTTTAGTATTTTTCATTTTAAGTAATTTTCACACCACTAAATATCAGAAATTGTAAGTATCATCTGAAATGCAACGTTAAAGCATCCATCTGCTGGTTACTCTATTAAAATGTAGGCTACCACTGCTACCACTTTATTAAAACTATTCCAGAAAGCAGAGCAGTTGGCATCCCTGGAATTGTCTGAAGTTTTTTTCTACCAGCTTTCGATGATACTCTACTACTTGGAAAACTAGTCAGCTTTGCTCTTTCTCAAGAGTTGATTTTAATTTAAAATCAAAACCTAATATCACAGTCATTTACTACTCAAGCGTGTAATATAAATAGTTTATTTTTTAATTCACGTTCCATCATAGAGTGGTATTTAATTTGACAAAAGTCACAATATGATGAAATCGTACTTATTTCTTACACTTGTCTTCTTAAGCTGGTATTCAACTACCTAAGGAAAAGAGATGTACTAGTTTATTAATTTAAGGTCAATTTTAGTTAAATATTAAATAATGAACAAGATAGCCGAAAGCACAGCAGCAAATACCACACCTGATGTTTTCAGTTTTAAATTAAAGAGCCTCATCTTTTTATCATATATCACATTCAAATAATATTAAGTTGCTCAAAAAGAGATTAAATCACATTCTACCTTGCCTGTACCCAGTGTTCTTAATAATTTTTTGAGGGGGGCTCCCTGCCTTCCCTTTGATTCCAATAAATGTGCTCTTTTTGTAAAAATGAGCCGCCACCCATTAAAAACTCTATCTTTTTATTTAAAAAAAAAATTAATCATTGTTTAAATAATAGTTATGTATTGGAAAAATTATCTGTATTTATAGGTAAAATTCTGATTACTATTAAAACATTTACTTCATTAGGATTATTCTCACCAACTGGTTTAATTTTTTTGTGGGAAGGGAGGATATTAATAAATTGTTTGAGTGATTTTGAAACTAATTTCTTTCTTTAAAAAAAAGTGCACCTTTAAAAGTTAATTTTCTCATAATTTTTATTTTAAATTATTGAAAAAATCTTTTAAGCTGATTGTCAATTAATAATTTTTTGTTACTTTACTTTTTTTTGGAAAAGCAATATTGCACATAGATTGCCTTTTAGCATGCCTTTAACTATTTTCATAAGCTACAAATTTTTCTTTTCTTTGATAATGAGAGAGAATTACTTTTTGAAATATACTATTAAGATAGTATGAGAGGGTATTTTAAAAATTGTTGAGGATAATATTCGGTTATTACATAATGTTACAAATTTTGATAAATATTTAAGTGAGTGCCCATTCAAAACTCAGAGTCCCCTTTTCATGAAATGCCTTGTCATTTTTTATTCCAAGGGAGAACTCTGCAATACCAAAGTACTTATGCATAAGTATTATTTCAAAACTGAAATAATTTTAAAATAGGTGCATTGAACAGTGGTTTAAGGTCACAAGATCTCTTTACTAATGTACTTATTTCTAGTATTTGCCGGACTTATTTGATATGTAGTCCTCCCATCCAAAAGTAATTGTGTATTGATTTTAAAATTGAGGCATGTTATGGTTAAGTGCTGAATAATGTTCACCCCATCAGAATCGAATATACTATCCAATGGGTTCCACGGGTGCTCACAGGTTGGTGCTTTCAAGTCGCATTTTAATTTTAAATGCTTTATTTTCTTTATTTAGATAATCATGTTTCACATTCAAATAATATTTACTTCCATTAGCATCATAACAGAATACAATCTTTTTCTTGATACTTAAGTACTTAAACATAAATGATGTTATAAGATTGTAATAATTATGTAGTGAATGCAGTGACTGATCATTTAAGATTGCGTGATTCTTAAAAGAGTTATTTCTTGCACTTGTCAGTATCCATTAATATTCAGCCACCATTCCTCCACGCCAAAGAAAAGAGAGAGAAAAAAATCGTGTTCTAGTTTTAAAATTTAGTTACACTGAATAATTTATCTTTGACAGAACTTGTGATTTTTTTTTTTTTAATTTTTCATTTAATTTTTTTTTTTTTTTNTTTTTTTTTTTGCTCCTAAGGAAAATTTAATTTTACAAATTCTTGGTAATCCCATTGATTTAATTTTGCATATAGATGATGAACTGGAAGAAAATCCCAACCAGAGTGATTTAATTGAACAAGCTGCTGAAATGCTGTATGGCTTAATACATGCTCGGTATATTTTGACCAACCGTGGAATAGCTCTAATGGTAAATATGATTTATAGACATTTTTAAAATTAATAGTGATTCTCAATTTTCAAAGAAAAAACATTATTTTTCAATGCACGAATAATTTGTTATCTTATTTATACAATAAAACTTAATCTCGTACATAGTTGTTAATTATAATTTACGGCTATAAAGAAGCATTTTAATTTACCTGTCTATTATTTCTCAATATTCCTGTCTATTGAATTCTCAATATTTTAGATTAAGTTTTTCTTTATACTTTGGTTGGCAGCCAATTGCAGATCTTAAATAAAGAGGAAAAGAAACTTGCTCTGTCAATTATTGTATGCCTGTTTTTTAAGATGGAGTTGCAGCTTGGGCTACGATATATATAAATTAGTTATACATTCACAAATAAATTTTCTATTCAAAGGTTTTAGTGCCGGAAAATTAGGAATTCATGAAACCAAAACTATTGACAACAATGATTTTCAATTGAAAGTGTAATTCATAGAAACTTGCAGCTTTTTATGAATTCTAAACTTTTACTTAATCATTATCTAAACACTGAAATTGTCTGGATAACTTTTATCTTTGTTTTGAAAATAGGATCAGCAACTAACTACTCAAAGAGTTGGTATTGTTCTCACAATTATAGTTTGTTGCTACTTGTGAAGAAAAAGTGTTCATTTTCTTTTACTTGTAATACTTTTGTTTAACCTAGACCCTTTCTTTCTATAGAAACAAGCCATTCATCCAGTTTCTTTGATACACTGGTATTTTAAGTCAGTACTAATATATTTTTCTAACTATTGAAATTAAATTTTTTGTGTGGTGTTAAAGCAAAATAGACAATTTCCAGTTTGATGAAATTTGGATTGATATTGTTTTACTGTGAATGAAAAAGTTTTTCTAACATCCCAGTCAATTTTTTATTTAGAAGAATAGTGTCAGATGCATTTTCTTTTTCTTTCAGAAAATTCTTGTTACTTGATCTTTCCTGGTTAGTTATATTTTAAACAGTCCAGCTCTTAGTGATATTAAAATAAATTATCTGATTTTGTGTTCATACCTGGTAGATTTGTGTGTATATATGTAACCAAACTTCCATTTCAGATTGAGAAGCATCAAAATGGAGATTTTGGTACTTGCCCAAGAGTTTATTGTGAGAATCAGCCTATGCTTCCAATTGGTAATTTTTTATTAACTCTGTTTATTTCCTATCTTCAATAATAATATTTGTTATGCAGGACTCATGTGAGCATGGTGACATTGCAACACATTTGTTGCTGGTAATATTTGCAAAAATATTATGGGACAGGAAATATTAAAGAATTCTCTGAGTGTTTTTTTATAACTGGTAATCTACAATATTAGCTTTTGAAGAAAGTTGATAATTGAAAATGTTGCTGAAGTGCTGCACTCACTTTAAAAAATAATAAATATTTCGCAAATTATTATTTAAATATTAACTCTGTTTTATGTTGCACGTTTACATTTAAAAAATTTGATTTTTTTTCAGGAATTTTATGTAAGAAAATTATAGTTTATTTATTTTATGGTTTTTTTAAGGATTATCTGATGTACCAGGAGAATCTATGGTGAAACTATACTGTCCAAAATGCACTGATGTTTACAATCCTAAATCTTCACGTCATAATCAAACGGATGGTGCTTATTTTGGGACAGGATTTCCTCATATGCTGTACATGGTTCATCCAGACTACAGGCCTAAAAGACCTACAAATCAGTTTGTTCCAAGGTGATAAAAAAAAATTAACTATAGATCTTTAAGTAACCTTCTTTATTCTTTATCACTTTTTGGTAACAATTTCATTCAAATAAGTTGTTACCTAATTTAAAAGATTTGATGCTTATTTAAGCTTGCAACTTAAATACGCAAAATTTTTAAAAATTCTTAAATTTTTGTTAACTAAAAAGTTTTTTTGATGTTTAAACCTTAATCTAGGATATAAGATCTTAGTGCTAATATTTTGGACTTTTCTACTGTTTTCTGCACATATTAAAACTTTTATCAATGTTTACCAAAAAAAAAAAAATTAACAACCTGTTAAATTGTTTGCTTGAGCACATAATTTTCTGCATTTCAGACAAAATAAATCTTTTTACTCAAGAAATACTTAACTATCTGGTTTATACAAGATCTAAAACTACTTAGTTGATGTTCATTACTTCTTCAGTTTCAAGTTACTGCAAGAGTAAATTTGCAATTCTGAAATTAATGACAGTAATGTGTCACAATAAATGATAACAATAACATAATTAATAGTTTAATTAATTAATATGTATTAATAATTGAACTTATTTCTTTATTTATACATTCACTAATTTATTTGATTCTAGATTGTATGGTTTTAAAATTCATCCTTTGGCATATCAAATTCAGCAGCAAGCTAGTGCAAACTTTAAAGCTCCTGTTCGGGCAATTCCCTTCAATAACAACAAGCGATAGATTTTGGGAAGATTGGATTGTGTCAAGAACTTTATTTAATGCATTTGGTATATATGTAAACAAGAGATTTGATGAATCTGATTTCTGTTTAATATAGCTGAATGTAAAATTTGTTTTAGTAGGTTTTATTAAATAATTTCTTCTAAGAGTGTATGTTATAATTTTTCTTTGTGTTGCCTTGTTTTTTTCTTGTTTCCACTTCATCTTCACCTATGAATAAACTATGTATATAGGTAATATTTTTATTCAAAACATTATTTACTTGAATAATTAGATTCCAAATGTAAAAATTTCTACTCAGAAAAATTTTATCTATTTCTCAGTTAACAATTACCGTCCCCTCTACGAGCTAACTACTAACGATGGGCTAGTTTTGCTTATATATTGTGTAGAACTTGGAATATTTCTCATTTGAAATGAAAAATATACAGCGGTGATATATTTTTATTTGATGTTTTACTTTTTCGAATTATATCAAATATGATCACATTTTATCAAATATTTTATCTATCATTATCAAAAGTAGTAGTTTCTTTTACATAACTGTGGAAAATATATATATTTTTTTTAATATTATTATTACTGGCGGGGTTCCAATTACATTAATATCAACTAAAACTTTTCCCATTGAATAATGAAGATCAAGATCAGGTGCCTGCAGTTTGAAATTTTATGTGCTTGTGGTTTGACTGAAATTATTTTAAATTTATAAAAAGTATAAAATATGTTTAATAATGCAGTTTTCACAAGTTAAAGATACTATATTAAAAAGAAAGTTGACCTGAAAATATCCACTCACCAAGTAGTGAATCAACAAAAGAAAGTGGTGACTTAAATAAAAAAAAACTGGTCACTTTTCTCCATGTTTTTTCTTAATATTCCATGTATATATAATTGTTTAACAATAAAAGTTCATCAATGTAGTCTCTAAAAAAAGCAGAATTTTCATTAAAACATCCAATGGCTATTAAATGAAAAGGACTTGTTATCGGTCAACTGGCTCATTAAGTTTGAGGAAAAAGTGGCTATTAAGTCATTAGAGTAATCTTAATTTTACAGTCTAGAAGAAAGTATTATGAAATAACCACTTTGTTTATAATTTTCCATCATATATTTTATAAATTGTATATTAATTAAACAAAGCTTAAACTACTTTAATTGTGATCCAGGGTTCCCACGGTCCTTGAGAGTCCTTGAAAGTGCTTGAATTTTTTTGTGCTAAATTTAGGTCCTTGAAAGTGCTTGAAAAACGTCTTAGGTCCTTGAAAAACTTGATAGGTCCTTGAATTTGTCCAATACTGCCGGCGGCCCTTTTTATAAAACACCCGNGATTAAAGGATTTCACCATTAACACCTCATTACCATTAGTTATAGATTGTGCTGAAAATGATTTTGTGAATTAATATGTAAAACCAGTAGGGTTGTTTTTAAAAAAATATAAATTTTAGTCCATAATACATATACTCTCTTCTCTCTATATAGGCAAAGCATTTAGGTATTATATTTGAAATTAATTATTGCCACAACAAGCATTGTTGCTTCTAGTAAAATAGAAGAGAATAATTTTTAAAATTGGTCTTAGATTAAGGTCCTTGAAAATTTTGTTGAGGTCCTTGAAAAGTCCTGGAAAGTCCTTGAATTTCAATCTCATCATAGAGTGGGAACCCTGTGATCAGATATTGGTAATTTGGACTTCTCAAAGTAACTTGCTATGCCGTTCATTAATTTATTTTGGAAAGTCAAAAGTTTTGCCTTTATGTTCCTATTGTCAGTTTTACTACCTAAATTTTTTATTGTTAATACGATAGTTTTATTCTTATGCAGCAATTTTATCTAGTTTAGGTGAAACTTTGTATTGTTAGCATTCCATTATTCCAAGTTAACTTGACTATTTGATAAATCTGCACACTTTTTTCAAATGCTGTGTTTTTTCAATGAACCTTGACTAGAAAGAGTAGTAGTTGCTTTTATATTCTTCAATTTCATTAAGAAAAATAATTTGTACTAGTTTTTATACTAGTAGATATGAAATTTGTATTACAAAATTTCATATCACTTCTTTGTGTGTTCAGTTGAACCCCTCTATAGTGAACTGTCTGCAGACCCAACAATAAGTGTATTATACAGGATGGCTCACTATATCTGAAAATTATATTTTAGCATTACACTGTTGTTGGTAATAGTTCCATAGCGCATTATTCACTTATAAATTATTAACTGCTCAAATAATGGATAAATCCAATGTTAAATAGAAAAATAATTTTTTAAATTCTATGAAAAAAATCAGTTATTTTAAATTTGCTACAATTCAATTATAAGTTGAGTTCTCCAATTTTCATATCAACTGTTAGTAAAGCATCCACTATCTACTGAAGAAGAAAAAAAGGCATTCGGATATCTAATGTGATGGCATTTAGAAGTTGACGAAATTTCAAATTTTTTGTAAACCTGAGGGGGAGGGGTGAAAAGATTATTATGCTGATAAACAACTTGTTCACCATAATTTAAAAGCATATGCATAGTAAGATATGATATAATTATGAGAAATGCTATCACAACTCGTACCAATTTAAAGTTAAAAAAAGGAAAAAATATGCTGTCAACCTTAAACTAACTACCAATTTCTTAGATGGCCACTATAAATGTAATAAATAACATTAGTTTAAGAGAAGTTGAGAAAGAGCCACTTAAGAAATATCACTATATCCCAGATTTATTGTAGCTAGGTTTGACTGTATTATGAGAAATCATTACAATAATAAATTAAGGTTGGGCAAAATAGTCAAATGCCATATATTTTCTAGGACAAGGAATTTATTAATCTTCCTAACTTTCAGGGAAAATACAAAAGTTGTTTTTAAGATTTATAAAGTATTTTTACTTTAAGAAATACATTTTTTGTTCTAATAAATAGTTCTTATAACCCTTTATTATAATTTATTTTGTGCAAAATATATAAGGTTGTGGATTTGTTTACTTTTTGCATTCTTCTTAATTATTATTCTTTACCTGATTAAATGCAGTTTCTTATTACTTTAATTAATTTGTTATTGAAATTTCTAGTATTGTTAAAAAGTTTTATTTAGCAATTAATTTTGAATCAATTTGAATTTGAAAAATAAAAAATGGTAAGAGTGTAGAATGCTAAATTTTTTTTATCAGTAATTTATAACATTTTTGAAAATATTTATTACAGGATTCTTTTTTTATTATAATTGTCTCCTTTGCAATTATTTTTACCAACTTATTCCCTCTTAATTTTATAATAATGTTTCCAATTACTGTAGAGTCTCGATTGTATCTGCTCTGTCATCAAAAGTTTGAAAAACTTTTGTTAATTGATAAATTAACTGCTAAACAAAATAGTCTATGTACTTGTTTTTCAAGTGCATTATTTTCATTTGGTTTACTCTTTTCATTCCCACCTTCTCATTTTTGCTGCAGTCTTAAATTTGGGATGATGTGATTTTGTAACGTCATTTAGTTTAATTTTAAAAAAATCTGCCATTGTGAAGTACCTTGGATTCTATCTCTGCTGGTGTCTTAAGGCCACTCCACTTCAAAATCATAGGTATCAGCTTTTTATGGAAATAAAGACAATGTAGTCCATGGTTACAAAATTTTGTCTTAACCTTCATGATCTCCTTAGGGTTTTGACTCCTCTGACCTCAATTGGATTTTGCTGAAGTACTTCAATGTTAAAAGAGAGAACTTGCACAAAAAGGTAGCTAGGAGGTGCGTTAGTAGGGTAGGGGAATTTTTATGCATTATTTTTAAAAAACTATTCAGCTACTCTAAGTTAAAAAGTAGCTTAATTATAAGAAGCTGGCTGTAACTGAAATAATACTTCACGTTTTTCTATTTACTTAGACTGATGTTATTGTTTCTTGGTAAGTTTCTTGGTATTGTTTCTTGGAACTGTCTGCTGCTATGGTAACAAGCGAGAGCACATTTCTAATGGGGGGTGAAATGGAGGAAAGAATGTGTCGATTAGTTTACTCACGACGACCTACGCTAAGATTAAGACAAAACTATTCAGCCCATATCCCTATTCGAAGTTACTTTTCCTCGTAACGATAGCACCCACCACGACGGGTGTCTGGAGTTCTCCTGAAAGTCGCACTATAGTATGGTTTGAATTCCAAATTAAATTCATGTGCAGTTTGTTCTAGTTTTTACAACAGTGAAATTTACAAATTTTGTTAAATTTCAACCAAATTCAAATTTTGTAAAGATTGAAGAAACTTGAGTTTAACTCTTCTCGTAGAAAAAAAATTCCTTATCTTAAGGTTTATTATCTTTCAATATTGTTATTTAAAATGCAAGAAAATACGCGAAAGTTTAATTAATATTGCTCAACAAATAAAAAGGGATGTTTCCCAGACCGTCGCCAATAGCCCATTGTGCAGCTCTAGTGCGACGTAAATGAACTGCAACAAATATAAATTATAAGATACAATAAGCGTATATAAGAATGTCGTATTTGTTCCCGTTCATTATAAAGTTCAATTTTAATTTCGTTCCTTGCCTTTCTTGTATCTTCTTTCTTTCCTCCATGTAGATTTTTCCTTCTTAAAAGTGGCATAATTGAAATTGCCTCATAAATGCAAATGTATTGCATAATGTACTCAATACTACTTTATGCAATAAAGTTAACTCGATTAAACTGTGTTCTAGGTATGAGCTGTTAGTGACGTAAAAACAAAAGTTAAAAGAAACAAGATAAACGGAACTTAAAAATTAAGGATCCAGTGGCTCAAAAAGTAATGATTACAGCCGAAATTCCCCTTTTAATTTTGGGAGTTAATATACAAGTTATTGTCTTATATGTATTACGATATTAGATGGTAATTTATATATGTTACGTCTAATATACAAGTAATTGTCTAATATCTTAATTATTAACTCAAACATAAGTTGATAAATTAACACTCTCTTGGCAAGAGAGATTCTAAATGACAATAAAATTAATAATTTTGTTATTACTTTTAATCGCATTGAAGGGGCAATTTTCAGATTATCAAAGTATGAAGAATTACAGACTATATTAGAACTAGCAAGTTAATTTGATTTGTCTCTTAAAATAAATCTAATAGAGCGAAAGTAGATTAGCGCATTGCCGTTGAAGCCGATTCTCTCATTGTTCATCCATTTACGCATATGTGAGTAGTTCGTAGATCAACTTGCTTTTAAGGACCATTCTCACTGCATACAAAAAAATTCCGTATATCAGATCATGATGAATTTTTCGTGGGTAAAGTTATTAGGTTGTTCATTCGCAGATCCAAATTTGCATGCGTGAATTTTTCAAAAGTTTCATGCGCGTGTAAAACAAAAGCAATGAAATCTCCGCAATTGCATTAATTGCGTAATCGATAAATTTCGGCATCACTTAAAAACGTACTTGCGCTTTTCTCTTACGGCTGTACAGCTGAAGAATTTTTGCAATAAACATAAACATCAAGCATATTTATCTGAGTAAGTAACAAAATATTTCATGCAGAATCATAATGTTTATTAGAGATATGAATTTGTTTTAGATGATTAATTCATTTGCTTTTTGTTAAAGGCTGCCTCCTGGGCCATACTACTTTCAGGTGAAATTTAAAAAAAAAAATTATTACATAGCCTGATTGAAATCAAATATTTAAAAAATTAGAAGTACATTAAGTGAGTTTTAATACTTTTAGTTCAACGAAGAAAAAATAATAATTAATGATGAAAACGATTAAAAAATTTTAGCAGAATAGTTTCGTTTTCACAATAAATTATTTCCCTTTAAATTCCTGTTAATAAATTTTGCTCTTTTCAAAACACTATTTAATTTTTTTTCCTGCTTTATTTTATTTATATCCAATGAGTAATATTTCTAAAATTGTTTCCGATTTATTAGAAAATAACAAGAGAAAACTTGAGAGGGCTGTAGCTACGTAGTGGTTGAACTGAAAACCGTGCGTGAATGTGTTGTTTCTGTTTGCCAAAGATGTCCGAAATGACAATTGAATTTCGTATATTTACGTAATTTTTTTAAAGATTTTATTTTATTAAAAGAATGTTCATCGAAGAAACATTACTTTCAGTGTTAAATTTCTTTTCGTGTGCTGCATTGAAAATGTAAATATGTGTACATATTATCAGTGAGTCCTTATCAACAACTCCGAACTTTAAAATGAGAAGAAAATAAATAAAATATATTTTAATGGAAGACCAAGTACTTTAAAGGATTAAATATGTAGTATTCCATTGAAAGAAATAGATTATCATCGCGCAATAAATGTAAGTAGTTTTAATCTAATTTTAGGCTTATAGTTTAGATAATGCTTTAAATGTAATTATTTAAATTTCGTACAAAATTTTTATGCTTTTTAATGTTTTATATCATTTAAGTTTACGTAGAGGTAATATTATTTATATATTATTGTTTTATGCTGATTTTATTTACATATCCTGGATTCGAAGAAACGTAAACAAATGAACTGTCAGTGCAATAGTACCAAATAGTCTTGTTTATAATTCATTTTTTTTTTACATCTATTTGTTTATAACACATAATTATTTTTTATGTGTCAAATTTATTTTGGAAATATAACTTTAAATTGAATCTTATAATGGATTGTTTATTTTGGTACTTATCGATCGCCTCCATATAATCATGCTTGCTTAAAACGCTTTTGACAATTGTTAAAATTTAAATGTCAACTGATGAAAAAGATTCTTCTAATTTTTTCTTAGATAACATAAATAATCAGTAATTTATGTGCTCAATCTATTTACCTACGATAATACATGGTTAATTTATATTTTGCCAATTGCTCTTTATACGATTTTGTTAATTGATTTTTGATTTCTCTGAAATTCCTCATTTTTTCTTGAAATATAAAATTTTGAATCGAAAACGCATTTTCAAATGTGTCTTGGCAAACTTTTATAATTAGCAATTCACATTTCAATTTCAGTATTAAAATTATGTTTTTAAAAAGTGAATTAATTAAAAGTGAATACATGAGGCATATTTTAAGGGAATCCTGAAGGTAAAGGATTAGATTCGATATTCATGTGGTAATGGCATAAAAATAATAGATTTATTATTGTATTATTATCTATTGTTAACAGCAAATAGCATATTTGAATTAATTGACTTTTGTTTGTATTTGAGATAGAAATGCTAACACCTTTTAAAGTTTTCTGCAAAAGTGTTCTTTAATTTGAAGTATAATAATTCAATTTGTTTAAAAAAGTTCGGAAGCAAAATAAAATCAACTAATTAAAAAATGGAAAATCGATCACAATTGAATGGAAAATTATTTCTGATATGATAGTGAATTACAAAAAATATTTCATACCACAGTAAGAATTTTCTGCAAATGCAGTTACTTCTTTTTGTTGATGACTTAGAAAATTATTTATATAAAATTATAAGAATATATCAGTTATGTGATGTGCATTAGAACATTTGCGTTTGAAAAAAAAAATATTAATAAGGTTGACTCCTGTGTTTTTTCTAAGCATTCTTAGAAGGGTGCTAAGCTTTGTCTGTCCTTTGATCCCTATAAATGTGTTCTCCTTGCTCCTTTTTATGAAAATAAGGATCCATCCCTAAAACACTGCCTTTTTATTTTATTTTTTCAGAAAAAGGTTGTTTTCTTAGCCATTTGTATCATTAAAAAATCCATTACTATTTATTTAGTTATTCAGAGCTATTTAACTTTAATTTTTAACTATCCATTTTAATTTCATTTCTTACTTGTACAATTTTTATCGTGTTGTCTAATTAAACTGTTAAAATTCTTGTTCGGCTCCATAAATATCCACATATTTTATTTTCGAGGTTATAATGAGTTTTTTTTAGTAATTTTAAATGTTACCATTATTTTTTTTAAATATATGCCTTTAATTAATGTTTATTTTTTAAAAGAATTAAATGTTTATTATTTATTAAGAAAATACACCTTTAAATGTGTATTTTCTTATAATTTTTAGTTTAAAATAGTAAAAGGTTGTTTATGAATTAATCCTTTTTTTTTTAGTTTACATTGGTTTTTACCAGGGTTGGCAAGATTTTGCCGCAGGTGGAAAAAACCATGGTAAATACCGGTAAAANAATTAATCCTTTTTTTTTTTAGTTTACATTGGTTTTTACACATAGAAAATTTATAATTTTTTGGTTTGCCTTTAATTATTTTTCAAAAGCTTCAAATTTTTCTCTTGATTTCTCAATGAGTAAGAATGACTTTATGAAATATACACATAAAATAGTAAAAAGGGATAATTTAAAAATTGATGATCAAATTCAGTTATTACATAATTAACACTTTTTGATAAATTTTAAAAGAGGCAAGTGCACTTTCAAAACTCAAAGTGCCTTTTTCCGTGAGAAAGCACCCTGCCCTTTTTTATTCCTAGGGAGAACTCTGTGGTCTTTTATATTGGTATCTTAAATTATAAATAGCAATGCAGAGTACACAAAAATAGAGAGCAGAAGCTACAGCAACTAGATTCTGTCACAAAAATCAACAGCATTGTCTTTTTACAATACAACATTAACTATAACTTGAGACATTTTGATTGCTATGGAAGAAACACTTGTCAATCCTAGAAAACTAAACTATTAAAAATGATGAACTATTTATTAAAATTGCTAGAATTTTATGAAATTTGGCAATTTAAATTATCTCTGCTATTAGGAATACTATGAAAATTTAAGTTATGTGCTGATAAATTATAATAATTATTTTTTTAATCACATGACTTCATTCATTTTTATTTCATTGGTTGTATTGTCTACATGCGTTGTTTTTCTCTTATACAGGTGCCAAGTCTTGAAAAATATATCTATGACTGATAAGTGGATTACTTTTTTCGTGAAATGCAGCTGTAGGGCAACACAGTTCTTTATGTAAGTTACGTAACACATTATATTTTATCCCTCAAATAAATTTTTTTAGAATATTTAAAATTTTTATAGTTCCTGGTTTAAAAAAGTATTTTGATATGTGTTAAGAAATTTTTTTAATTTATGAAATATGAATTGTATGCTTTTTTGAGTATTGAAATGAAATCTTAATGTTTAAAAAAAAAAAAATTGTACCCACCTAAATTTTTAAAAAAAGAAATGGGAAATTTATTGCGGGAAGTCATATAAATTAAAAAGGTTTGCTTTATTTAATATTCTTTGAATAAAAATTGTTGCTAAAATGTTAGAAATGGAAAAACTAAACCTAATTTGCTTTGAAAAATCTTGAATAGATTATTTTAAGTATTACGAAGGTAATATAAGTTACATTGATAAAATAAAAAATTCAAAAGTGCTCGGAGTAACACTTTCCCATAAGGAATTTAAAATACTAAAAATAAGTAAATTAATTAATTAAAAAATAAAATAAATAAGAAATTTAAATAAAATAAATATAAACTTCTGTTTAGTTTCTCAAAAAAAAAAGGAAAAAAATTTGAATAAGCTTGTAATCTTACGCATTTTATGATATTTTTGATCGTGTTCAGATCTTTCTTCCTTTTCCATCTTTAATTTTAGGTAATTTTCAGTGATAATATCATTCAACTGCATAATACTTTTAACAAAAATGTGAGAAATACAAAAATCTATTTGCAATCGAAATAAGATACGGTTACGCATAGCAGAACTCTTTGCCTATGGCATTACTTTGCATGCTTTCACTATTAGCGTGTGGATAGTCATAAGAGTAGGAAGCACCTTAATTTCTGCCTTAATTTTCAAACTAATTGAAATTTTTTTTGTTCGCAAACTATATGGAACTGAAAAAGGCATAAAACACAGTGCCTAAAGTAAGCATAATGAAAAGTGTAAAAAAATATTTTTCACTATCTAAATGCGAATAATTGTATGGAAGGTGAAAATATTGTAATACATTCCCATACTACTGAGCAGAAGAAAACAGGGTACATTTTAGGTAGGAAATTGGTATCCTCCCCAGATTGCATATTCGAGTGTTGTAATCTTGAATAAGGTTTATTAACTTTTTGAACTTCAATAAATTTTTAATTTAAAATTTATGTCATTAAAGTTATGTGGTTAATAACTTTTGATTAATAGTTTTATACTGCAAAATAAAGTATATAATCTGAAATACTATAAATATATGTACTAGTAAAATAAATATCAAACATCAATTTATTTGGGAGAAAGAAGTAAAGATAATAAGCTTTTTTTTTCCCTAATCATCCAGTTCTTTTTACCATAAAGTTTACCTTGAGAAGAACTGCCTTTTGAGGCTATTTATTTAAAGTGAAACAATTTTAATAAATTTATTTTTAATATTATCTAATCTTATTTTTAATATTATCTAATCTTATTTTTAATTTTATCTTATCTAAAGCCCATTCTCTTGTCAGAAACTCTTGTTTAGTAAGTTCCAGTATGGCTAATTTTAGTTTATTTCAATAATGCTGTGATAAAATATTGCTGAAGCTTAATCAATGTTTGGGTTTTTAGATTTTATGATAGCTTACTAAGTATTTTATTCGCAAATAGTGTTATTTTGTTTTGCTGTTAGCCTGAACTTATGCTGTACAGTTACTATTAGACAGTACAGTTACTATTTTACTTTTTGTTACTGACTATTTGCATCTAGCAATTTTAGTTTGTTTGATACTGTTATGATATCTTTAACATACCAAGATTGATAAGATGTATTAATTAAACTTTAATAATTGAGATAGAGGTTTTTAAGATTTGAAGGGTTTCTTATCCTGCTACAGTAATTTGTTTTTTGTTACATCTGCTGGGGATATCATTGACTAAACTATTTAATTTCCTGGCCATTTTTCGAAGATTCTGTGTAAGTGTCCATTAAAAAGTTATCAAATAACTTCTTTTGAATTGTTGTTTAGTAAGTTAAAATCTATAAAAGATGATATTGTATCAGAATGATAAGATTATTGATGATATTGTATAGAAGATAAGAAAATGTAACAAGAAAATGTAACAGATAAAGCTTTCTGCTTTTCTGAAAATTTGATTTTTCCGACAAACTAAATTTCTTAATTATAATGTAACCTGAATTTTTATATGTTTATTACCAAATGGTTCTTCATAATTATAACTTTCTTTATAATCATTAGTTCTTTATAATCATTTTAATAAACCAAAAGCTGCTGGATTGTAGGGTTTTTAGGTGACTGTTGATTAAATTGTTCTTTAAACTGTTCATGATTGACTAATGATTGTGAAATCTCCAGACTATTTTTTAAAACTTCTTTTTAATTCAAAACTTTTCAGCTCCGTTATCAAAAAACATTTCTTGTGATTGAAAGTTTACAGAAAACGAATCTGGAGGTTAGATTAAAATTGTACCTATATTATTGTTAAATCTGATGTGTTAAAAATTTAGATTCTATTGTATTTAAAATTTTTCATTTGAACTGTCTATTACTGAAGAATATAATCCAAACTTAAATATGCTTCAAGCTGAAAATTTTCAAAATTATTACTTTGAAGTTTCCACTTTTTTTTATTATCTTATTTTCATTACATAATGGTATGTTTTGCTTAAAATACTCACAAAAAGTTAAAAAAAATATGCATCAAGCTCATTTTCCTTGTAAATTATATATATATATTTTTTTAAAATGTCGTAACTGTCCCATGTTCTCGACATGCATTTTTGAACTTTTTAAGTAGTTTACTATATTATGAAAGTGTTACAGAGATAAATGCATATATATTCTGATATAGTATGACTATATACTTGAATATGCATAATCAATTATAGAATAATTTGTATATTTTGTTCCACACATCATTTTCTACATGTCCCCACCTTTTGTGTAATTGTTGCCCCATGAAAAATGCCAAAAAACACTATAAATGCTTATAATTGAATAAAATATAAAATATTTCAGGTTACAAAGAACACTCATCTCAATAGAAAAGTGAAGTTTAATTGCTGTACAATTTCTTTTCAATCCAATAAGCTTAATTTCATCTTAGAAAATTTGGGGGTAAATCTATTGAATGTAATTATTGTTCCCATCATTTTTTCTTCTAAGAAATTACAAACAAGTAAAGCATTTTTGATGCATACAAAATGTAATAACTTACTTTGAAACATGGATAGTTAACTTAAAGATACTAAATGAATTTTAATCTATTTGGCAAAATTATCGTTTTGTAATTACTGTCCTTATCAGATATGCTCTTAAACGGAACAGTAATTACCTAAGAGTCTTTGTATCAGTGTTCTCCCTTAGTATTTTCAGAAGAGCATCCTGTCTCACTTGCCCTTTGATCCCTATAGATGTGCTTTCCTTTCCCTTTTTGTAAAAATAGTCTTTTTAACTTGCCTTTTAATTATTTTTCAAAGGCATTAAAATTTTTCTGTCATTTTGACAATCAGTGAGAATTACTTTGTGAAATATACAGATAAATAGTGTAAGAGGGTGGTTTAATAATTCTGTTTCAAATTAATGAAATATGTAATATTACATTTTTTGATAAGTTTTAACGTTGTAAGTGAGTGCTCTTTCAACAACTCAAACTGCCCTTTTCTGTGAGAAAGCACCCTGTCCTTTTTATTCCTAACGAGAACTCTGTATAATTACTTCACTATTTGAAAAACCTTTAAAGTAATTTTGTTATATTATTACATATCTAGTTCCTTTTTTGTGAGATTTAAAACAATGACAAAGAATAATATTTGACTATAAGAAAATTGTTAGTAAACATAAGAATACAAAATTTTTAAATTTAAGAGTAAATTTATGTTTATTATTAATATTATTGAGATTAAGTTAAAATAATCTGTTTACCGATAGTTATGAACACAGTATGTTTTGTGTTCCAACAATAGTTTTATTTCGAAAGTTAAAATATTAGCCTTGCAAAATAGAACTGAATAACTGAAAAAAAAATTTTTTTTAAATTTTAGCTAGATTTTAATAAATTTATTTTTTAAGCTTTTAATTGACATTTTTGTGTTATCTTTTTATTCTTATTAAGAGTTGAATAATTTAAAATATCTGCACAATTGCTTTAAGTTATAATTTTAACAACATTAATATCTGAATTTTGCAATTTTTTTTTGTTAGTTCTTATTTTAAAAAATTGTGGTTGAGTAAATAAGAGTAAGGTCACTTAAATTATTGATAAATTGAATAAATTTAGGCGGCAAACATACCAAGAATGAAACTTCGACCCTAATAAAGTCCTGCAGTGGACTGATCGTTAAGACATGGTTCCCAGCAGATCACCGAAGTCAAGCATCACTGGCTGTGGTCAGTGTGCGGGTGGGTGACCACTTGGATCAGCCTGCGTAGGGATCGAGGGTGTGCGGTATTGGTCCTCGTTAAACTGTGCTACCGTAAAGTGCTCGACTTCGTGCGCAGGTCGTCGGGCTACCGAAGCGGGGGTGCCATCCCCTCCGCAGAGGATCAAAATTGTGATGGCATGTCTTCGGATCATCCTCCGGGATGTTTCCCAGACCGTCGCCAATAGCCCATTGTGCAGCTGTAGTGCGACGTAAATTAGCAACAACAACAACATCGACCCGAATAAAAGTTCACTAAAATTTAAGTGAACTGTTAATTTAAAAAGTTTGGTCACAGCCTTAAGATGTACAAAAAAATAAAATTATATGTCATTTAAAAATGCCACAAACACCAATTTCTACTTTTTCTGAGCCATAAACAATTTAGATACCTATAAATTCGATTTTAAAATGGAAAACAAACAATATTATTCTAGAGCAAATGAAATGTGAAGAAAAAAAAAATATCTTGAAATTACTGTCCTTATACAGATTTTAAAAAAAATACTACCAAGAGTTATGGTTTTAAATTATTAATTGTTTGCTTACAAAACATGATCTTAAGGTGATACTAAGACGTTTTTGTGATGAAAAAGTAAAAATTCTTTACATTTCTTCAAAATAAAAGATTAAAATAGATTAAATAGAAAACAGACTTATATAAAATCTATTTTATTAAAAAAAATTTACATTTTTTTATTAAATATTTTTAAAACATTTTCTTTTATTTATTTATTAATTTTTGTTTCAGGTAAAAAATTAAATATATCCTTTCTTCATGCATTTTTAAAGTGTATAATTGAGTAGATAGTAATTACATTTTCCCATACAATTACAATTTAAAACTGTCACTAAATTTTTATCTTTAAAGTTTTTCATTCCTGTCATTTTGTAAACTTAAATGTTTGGTTTTATTGTAAAAATTGTCAACATTAAGTTAATTATGAGGCGGTTTTTTCCTAATTGTCTTTGGCACAAGTTGATATTTTGAGAAAATCACCCAGACATATATATTTTCTTTACTAAGACATGAACTAGTAAATCTTAAAATTTTTAAGTTACCAATAGAATTTTATGAAAAATAAAATTCGCCATTAAGAGAACAAGAAATATATTTATGAGACATTAGTTATGATTAAGGTCAGTAGTCAGATGCCCTAATCCACATGGGTAAGAGTGCTCATCTCAATTTAGCTGAAGTTTAAAAGTTTTACGTAGTGTGCCAGGTATGATCTAGTTGGTCATTAGTTCAAATATCAACTCCAATGGAAAATTTTCAGATTATTGCTAGGTTGGCAATGCTTCTTATTTTTCCCATCAAGATAAATGCAAAATTTCAGTTAGACATTTCCTCTTTTTTATTATGAATTTGTAGTAGTATGTTTTAATTTACTATATTTCAATAATTTAGATATTGTTTATAACTTCGTACAACCTGCCCCAACTATTTTTAGATATTGTTCCTTTCAAGAGATAAAAATATAAAAAAAAATAATTGTAAATCACATTAATATAACATAATAGACAAAAATGATGAAAAGAAAAAAGTAGAAAATTAAGCAGTCAGTTTTAAATATATCTAGTTAATAATAAAATTTTGAATGTTGAAATTTGTTTAATATACTTTTAAAAAAAATGTGTTATAAAATATAATTAAAGAGCTAAATTGATGTAGATTCTAAGTGATATTTCTGTGAATTAGCTTTAAAATTTATACATTGCTCTTTTCTGTTATTTCATCAGTGCAGTAACAAAAGATTAGCTCTGTTTTGGTGGTATTTTTCTGAAGATATAATATAGCCTTTTCCCCCCCGATTGTTTGCTGCCAAATGCTCTTATAATCTTATTCCTCTCTGAAAAAACTCAGACCTTTTATTAGTACCTTTTTCCACAGAGATCTGCTAAGTCAAGTGACAGCAAACTAAAAGTAGTTTGTGTTGTTAAGAAAGATTAAAGTATAAAATAAGGTCTTTAGCTGAAAAATTTTAATTTTTTTTAAAAAGACTTCAATTATGTTCTACTGGCACAGTTCTATCAGGGGTTCTGAAATAAAAAATGAGTGTGAACATGTGAAAAAGTATTTTTTTGAACTTTATTTGTAAATGATTCAACAAGCAACTAAATTAAATTGTGAAAAAATAATAATAAGGTATGTTAAATCAAATTCTTTTTGAAAACAATTATTTTATTTCTATAGTTCACCTAGTTTTTTATTTAAAAATTTTAATTATTTTTAATTTTTTTGATCTGGTAGAAAATAAATTATGTGAAAGTGAAGAATTTATTTCAAAATTTTGCAAATCATAAAATTTATTTATACTTTTTTGTATTGTATCCTAATGAATATAGGACTAAAACTATATTTCTTAGCCTATAGCTCAGGGATGGCGAACCTTTATGCACCAACGTGCCATTTTTTCTAAAAAATTGTTTAATTTGGTCATAGACGTGCCGTCAAACAATTTTGACTTCGTGATTATTGGGAAAATAATAACACTAAATACTATCAACTCAAAATTCTTTATTTACTATGAAAAAGAATACATTTCGCAATGTCTCAGTTACACGTAATTCAACTTAAAGTAACATCAGTGTGACATCACTGTTGTTGCAGATTAGATGACAAATAACTTATATTAGGTTGTAAGATGTTATTTTAAGCTGGTCTGTTAATTTTTTTTTGCTAGTTATTTATTGTTAGCTTGTTTTTTATGGTAATTAATTGTTTTTTGGCATTAATTGTAATTTTTTTTTGTTAATAATTGCTTATTTTTTTATGTTTGTTTTTGTGAATTTTAATTTAATTGATAAATTGCTTCACAGTGAACTTCGTGATCGGTGGAGTGCCCAAAATATTATGTGGCGTGCCATAAATGGCACGCGTGCCATTGGTTCGCCATCCCTGCTATAGCTTATTAAAGTAGAGCTTGGAATGAAAGAAAATATTTTGCTGCCTGCTATAAAAAGTTAATATTTTTAAACATGATTTATTTCCTCCTTGCAAAACCATTGCTTGCTAGTTGTTCGGTTGGCAAATAAATTAGTGAAGAAATTTGTGTTAAACAAAAATATTTAAGATTTTTCATATAACTTAATTTCAGGAGAGAAAACAATTTTTAATAATCATTTAATTATTTCCAGGTACGCCTCTGATCACAATGCGAACAGGGACCACCAGTTTACATGATGATACAGCTGGTTCTCCAAAACCCTCTGAAACTTCTTCTCAAGTTCATGGTGTAATTGAAAACCCCCTTTTTGAAAGGAGTAGTGATGTTACATCTCCTTCTGGTCCTCCCAGAATACTAAGAGAAATGTCTGAAAATCAGAGGGACCGCAGAAAAAGTTTTGTTCAGCGCAGTTTACAAAGATCTAAGTCTGTAAAAGAGTAAGTTATCTTGTCCAATTTTCAATAATTTAAAATAAAACATTTATGTTTCATTGATATATACATAAAATTAAAATCTAAATATGACTAAAATCACAATTCAAAATCCATAAGTTTAAATAAAAGATATTTGAACTCTGCAGAGGTCCACAAAAATGCAGGATCACTTTTTAGGAGCCTCCAGCTATGATTTTTAAGGTTCTGTGGTGGTTAGGATTTAAAGATACTTTTTTTTTTCTAAATCTTTAAATAAATTTTATACTATTTATGTGAATTTTGAGAGTATGAATATTATCAAGTGGAACAAAGATGAAGTTTTCTCACATGTTTTTACAATTATGACTTTGATTCGTTATGCGAATTCAGATACATTACATCAACATAAATCTGCCATTTTTTAAATGCTTCCATAGAACAGAGTTTGGATAAAAATATGCAAATGCGGGTTAGTTCTATCAAAAAAGTCTTCCAAGAAGGCCAATTTCTGTCAATGCTTGATCAAGGAGTTCCCTTGTCTTCTGGATTGGGTTCGAAATTACAAGGCTACGGAGTTGGACATTACTAGTCATAAACCCAAAATTAGGTTGGCTGTTCTACGACGGTTATAAATATGTTATGAAGACTGCATGTTAAAATACCACTTTTTACGTGCAGAACCGTCAGTGAGTTAATGGGGTTGCATATTTATCATAAATAAATTACTATATCAAATATTAAAAGTGAAAAAAAAAAGTGTCAAAGTGTTAATTTGTGGAAAAATTTTAGATAATGTGTTATATTCGTAATTATGGAGTAATTTTGTAACAAAAGTATAGAACATATAATTAAACATCAGCGATCAGTTGCTGATACTGGACATCACTGATTTATATTATTATGATCAGAATTCAAAAATAGTGGTGTTGGACCAATAGAACTCTGTTAATTCCGAGCCCTGTATTTAAGGTTTAGTAAGGTTTAAAAATCTGGAACAGTTGATGATAATTCAATAGTTTAATGTATTAAAGATAATGTTTTGATATATTTTTTTTTAAATCATCTATTTTCTAATATGTTTTGGATTTTGTGGAATTAATGCCATATATCTGCGTAGATTAAAAAAATACTACTAGATATGCAGATTGAAAAATATTTACATAAATTTTTTTCATGTAATTATTTTTTTTAAAGGTATGTGGCTAAGAGCACTGCTTCATTTTTTGGTCTTGATGAAGATACAGAACAGAATAGTTTTCAAAGATGGACGGAAAGGAGAAGAAGACTTCTCAGTAAAAGATGGGGTGAACTTAAGGTATAACTTACTTCCAAAAGAATTAGTTTTTATTGTTCACTAAATAAACAATTATAATTAAGAAATTTCTAACGAAACTATTCAGGGTGATATGTTTTGTTTCGTTTAATAGTTTTGCATTTCCATCTAAGCTACTCATTGTCATATATAAAATTTAATTATTTATTGTGCAAGCTTGAATAAAGTATATCAATAAAATTGCTCTTTAAATTCTTGAGAAAAGATCTCAGTTAATCTTTGAGTGGAGTGAATTCGAAGCTCATGCTTTAGTTTTTTTCCTATTAAGATATTATCTGTTTCTTTTACATTTAAAATTAAGAAGAAATCCAAAAAATATTTTTATAATTTTAATTATAAAAAGTTAAAATTATATTAATTACTTTATTTTAAACTAAGATAGTAATAGATTTAATAGTAATTTAAAAAGTTGTTAAATGTGAAATAAAAAAAATGTAACTGTGAAGGTACCTTCTAATAGGAATAGGAAATTATATTTTCTTATGATGGACATTTAATGAGGATATTTAAAAGTTTTTCTTTTTTTCTAAGTGTACATTTTTTAATAAAACTTACAAATTTTGATGCTCACAGTCTGAAGATGATACTCCACCTTTGGAAGAAATTTCATCTAGTCCTGCTGTGCCTCAACAAGCTCCAAGTCAACCTCAGCAAGTTGCAGCTTTAAGAATACCAGCAAGTTCAGATGGAGATACAGTTGATGCTGTACCTAAAAGAAGTGATAGCAAAGCCAATCGAAATTCTACTTTGTTTCAAAAACATAGAAGAAAAGAGCCTGCTCATAAAATTATGGTTGATGGTTTAGGACTTATATCAAATGTATGTAATAGGATCTTAATTTTTTCATTGTCTTCAAAGTTTTTTTTTTTAATTTTGATAATTTTATATAACTATAAAATTTATATAACAATAAAATTATTTAAAAATATATTGCTTATTTATACCTGTAAACACACTTAAATTCTGTGCTAAAAGAAAAATTTATTTTCCTGTTAACTACCTAAAATAGAATACAGCAAAACAATCTATTTATGGCTACTAAACCTTTTATTATAGCTGATAAATGAATTATTTTCTGTTAAAATTTGTTTATTTTTAAAATAACTGTTTCTTATAACATTAACTTATTATCTTAACACAAGATTTTTAATTAAAAACTAACATAGTATTCTAAGTTTAGTTTAGAAGTAATATTTTTATTGCATTTTAAAATTGTTAAAATTAGTTTCATTTTATAAATAACTTGAGTTTCCCTACAGCTAAACAAATTATTAAAAACGAAGTTGAAATTGTCTTTCAGTTTTTTATTATTATCTAAATTTTGTTAATTATCATTCAGTTTCATTTATATTTTCCCCAATAATATTGTTTATTGTAATTGTTACTTTTTAAGCAATATGTTTTCCTCATTAAGTAAACAAGTATATTGTTTCTTATACAGTGAAATCTCTCGGGAGCGACCACTCTCTGTTCCACAGTAAAATGGTCGTTAATGGAGGTTGGTAGTTCTTAGGGATTGCCTCTATTGAATTCAAAATTTTTTCGAAGGTGCATGATTTTTCCCAAGAGATTTTTATTTTACTAAGTGTAATTTTCTTGATGCGGAAATGCCCCTTGTGCTAATGTCATGAAAAGCGGATCGATGAATGAAATATATCTTCAATAAAAATTACCTTTAGCGATATAATTATGTGTAAAAATAAATTTATTAATTATGAATGATGGAACTATTTTAAATAAATAAAGAATTATGTTTTTTGTTTAAGTTTCATTAAATTTTTTATCATAAAAATTAGTTAGCTTTTAAAACATAAGTAGAATTTTTTTTTAGATGCTTAGTTTTTTTTAAAAATAAATCATCGATATCATCGTTTGTAGAGCATTCTGATTGAAACATGAGGTTGTCGATTTCTTTCAGAAATCGTCAAAAAGAGCTTTCTAAATAAGAGCCATTCGCAAATATTTTGAATACATTTAAATCTACTTATTTGTTTTGTTAATATTTTTTGTCTTGATATTTTTCCATGTTTCCTTATTTGGTGCGTAGGTTTGTGCGGTCGTTAGGGAGGTTTTGTTGGTCCCTTTTGAACATTTTCTTCAACACAAAATCTATCGGAAAAATTCCATGATTCCCAAAATTGGTTGTAAATAGAGAAGGTCGTTACTCGAAGGTGGTCTTTCTTGAAGGTTTCACTGTATAAGATTAATATGACTTATGTTATTACTATTTGATCTTTTTTAATCACAGACATTTTACTCAGTTTTATTAAACTTTGCTTTGAAATTTTCACTTTTAGACAATTGTCAGGAGGTGTTCTACACGAAATTTTTGGCCTATTCGTTCAAGCCATGCTGGAAGTGATTATTCAGCTACAAATGTGGATGGCGCTTTTAATGATGAACAACAAGATATCGGGCTTCCATCGCAGCAGGTATAGTTTTAGAAATAATTCATGTTTCAGATATAAGCTGTAAGTTTCTATTTAAAAAAAAATTTTGTTATTATAAATTTTTTATTGAAGGTATTCAGAACTTTAAAATTGGCAAATTAATGTAATATTTTGTTTTAAACTTGTTTAATGCTTAAGATTTAATTTTGAATAAAAAATAAATTAAATTTCATGTACAATCAGTTCAGTTATAATATCTAGTTAATCAATTGCACCCTCTTTTCTAAAATGAACTGAAACTGTTCCCTCTTCCAAAAAAGATACTAACATTTTAGAGCACTGGCTATTTTCCTTTTCAGACTATGACAAAACCATGTCCATTTGTAACACTTTAAGACAAGTTAATTGGTAGAATCGCCAATCATAACACTTTTACTGTACGTTATATGACCTGACATATTGCATTTTAATGCTGTATTGTTAAAAGTTACTTAACAATTTGGCAAGACTCAGCCCAGAAAAACCTGGCAAATTTTTCCTGGCCCCACTTGGGGGAAAAAGAAGATTTTTAATGCTCACCAATTTGGTTTTTTCACGTTTTATCATTTCTAGTCAAAATTATATGAAGTAAAACAAATATCAGTAATCTGGTTTTTGACAAAAAAATGTACTATAATTGGAAAAATATATTGCTAAATTATAATACATTGCCTATCTATAAAACAATTTGTTTGTACTATGCATGCTCATTACATTTAATGCATAATTTATTTAGATTGTAAACCCCTCAAAAACCTTTAAGGTTTCTTAAAATACATCAACGTTTATATTGTATGAATATGATATTTTTACACAAAGAATGCTGAAATAAATTTTTCAGTAAAAAAATTATCTGTAATGAGTATGAAATCAAAAAATCTCTATTTTATTTTAGATTTCTATTATATATTTTACCTGTTTCCATCTACTGTACTTTTTGTAACAAAAATCTGTGTAAAAGAATAAAGTTTAGAGTATTGAGCCCCTAATTTGGCAGAAAATTATGATTCAAACCAGTTGGAAGCCAAAATATCTAATGACAGCTGGACCAGAAAGAATATTTTCTAATTTTTTTATGAATTCAGTTCAAACTGTGAAATTGTTTAGGGACTGAAAAGCAGAAAAACTTTCTGATTGTGTGTATATATTTCAATAAAAAGAAATAAGAGACTCTATTTTAAATTTTTAGTTAAATGAAATTATCATCACATTTGAGATTAAATTTATAGCCTATGTCTCATCGAGCTTACATTTTAATATTTGTGAATTTTTTTTTGTTTAATAATATTTTGTTTGGTAAATATTTTGTTAATTACAAGAGAAAAATTAAATTATATAATGAACATATAATGAAGTTATTTATTAATGGAATATAAATGCAGATTATATAGTAGAGCAAAAAATATAATAAAGTTGAATGTTGATAATTTTTTTTGTACATTGTAAGACATTTAACAAATTTACACAATTATTAACAAAAATACTGACACTAAACATACCATTTGCTACAAAGAGCTATGTGCATTTCATTTCACGAATGTATACAAGGTGTTTAGAGATTCCATTCATTAATTTTACAAATTAAGCAAATTATGCGTTAAGCATTTAACCAGATTATGTGTTTATTTACTAATCTAAATTTTATCACTTAACATATGACCTGACGTAACATATTATGCTTTACATTTTACAAAAAATCATTTCAGTAACTTTATCTCTATGCAATTCATTATGCATTTAAAAAGTTGAAAAGTGACTGAAATAGATTTGTCATAAGTATTTATTTAATTAATCCATTTGGTAATAATCAAGCAGTATTTTGCAGTCTATTCTACATCTTATTCTTATATTTAGTACATATAAGCATGTGAAATATATTTGAAAAACCTGCTTATCTCTGGCAAAATCGTGTCTTTTAATAAAAATACTTATTCCCAGGCAACTTTTTTTTATTTATATATCTATATATTATGAAAAACCCACATGGGCTTTGTTTTTTCTTAGGTTTTGCGAAACCTGCAATGGGGAGATGGAGTCTCTTTATGCTTCAAAATTAATCTACCCTTAATCAAGAATTTAAAAACAAAAATATCAATAGCAATGTTATGTTATCAACTTATGAAAAATAAAAGCAAAATAATAAACATTTCTAGCTAATTAAATTCATCCTTACAATCATTATATGTTTCTTGAAATTAAAATAATATCTATTTTGAACTGTTTTTAAAATTCAAGTTTAAAACGTAAATTTGCATATATAATAGTTAGTATTTTATCATATGCAAAATTTCATAGTATCTCAATTTTAATTAACGTAATGCTGACTCTAACAGAACATATTTCGATTTCAAGCACTTTAACTTTTTAAATAACTTAAAATTATTTAAATTTTATATTTATTTATGTTGGATTTATTCAAATTAGAACATATTTTCAGTTGTCATAGTACAACAATATTTTATTTTTTGTACCTGAGCAATTTTGTTCTATATCTTTATACAGTTATAATACACAGTTAAGTTTAATGAAATTTATTTAAGTCTTATTTTTAATGATAGTTGTTTTATAATAAATATTTTGATAAAAGAAACTGTAGAAAACACTAATTTATGAAATAAATTTGTATTTTAAATGTAATTCAGTTTTAACAGTTATTCTCTTAAATTTGCACTCATAACTGACTTGAAAACACAAAATGAATAATATTCATTGAGGGTGTTTTTTGAATTTGATAAAAAAAATGCATTTATTTTAAATTAAAATGCGAATAAAAATAAATCTACAACAAATTAAATTTGAAATTAATAATAGTATGTGAAAAAAAGGTTGTTGACAAACTGAATCTTCAATTTGAGTGTCACACCTTTTTTTTCTTCTTCTTGTCCCTAACTCTATTCGCTGATTATTTGTTATTATAACCGTTATATTTTTTATTATAAAGGCATCACAGAAATTCTTGGAAATTTTATATTTTAAACCATTTGACCCAGAGTCAGACAAGCAAGTTATAATATCCAACATCCTTTAAAATCATATCTCATATTGTCCCTTAAAAGTGATCTTCATAGCCTTCAAAATCTGACTAGAGAATGCACACCAATTTAACTTCGTTAACATTTTCCCATAATGAAAAACAAGGAACTATCCATGTTAGTAAATAATAGAAATATCAGGGTGAGAAGTTATTGTATAAGTTTTTGCCCCTAACCCTAGAGTATTGCTCCTTTGAGGAGGGACAATTATTATTATTATTTTTAGATGACAAAGGAGAGGTTTATAGTGTGGTGAAATAAATAAAGTGTTCGTTTGTACCTAATAAAAGAGTTACAAAATCGAAAGATAAAAAAAATGCTGTGAAAATGCTTTAAAAAATTTGTAGTTAGAGAAAATAATCAAATAACGAAATAAAAAATCTGGATGGGTGTGTTTAAACCTCTTTCTTGTTTATGTCCATATAAAAGAGTTTATGTTGTTAGACTAATTATTCTTCCTTTATTTAGTTTTTTACAGATACTAGTCAACTTGTCGATGATGTATTTTTTGAGCAACAACCACCCAACTCAGTTGATGCACAAAGTGAAAAACTCTTAGCTGCCAGATTGTATATGCCTCAAACGACAGGAACACCTACTATGGATACAGTAGATGCTGGAAGGTATGAAAATTTATTTTTACTCTTAATTAATAAACATTTTTCAAACAATTTTCATTCCAGCTCAAGTACTGTGGTAAAAAAAACAAACAACTCTAATCACTGAAGTTTTTTTTTTGCCGTAAGATTAATTAAAAAAAAAATTTAAATTACTGAATTAATGACAGAAATGAATGACTAATATAATTTATTCATGTTCGATCATTTAGTAAAAAGATGTAGAAATGCTATGTTTAGGTTAAAGTATTTGTCAAAAACAAGGCTAGTTTTGTTTTATGTTTAAAGGATGCACAACCTGCGACCAGCCATCTGTTGACCTGTGGATGACAGCATTTGAACATGATGAAAAAATTACTATTTTGAAAAGTAACAAAAAAAAAAAAAAAAAAAACAATGGATAATTTTGCATGGCACGTTTAAGTCACCACTTTTGGACCCTCAATTTGAGCAAATTCCATAGTAAATCTATGTAGTGTTTTTATTGTTTTTTATACATAATTCCACGTGGTTTTAAAAAAATCCTATTTTTTTAATATTATTATAATATGTGAATTTCTCTTGTATATATGTGTGTGATGATTTGAAAACATTAACATTTTAATTTTGGTATATAGTTTGTGGTTGCATTTAACAATGGTTACAGGATCATTGATATTAACACTTTGTTGACTGGCAATTTTACACAGAAAACTATGTCATGTCACAGGCTATTATTTTGTAATTGAATTTGGAAGTAAAGTAAAACTTTCTACATGATGCACAAACTTTTATAATATTCTATATCATCCTGAGTTTCATAAATTGAAATAGATAATGCAAGTGCAATGATTTCAACTGTTCCTCAGTCAACAACATTTGGGCGTGAAAATATGAAGTAATTTGTCACTGGTCAACAACGTTTGAGCGTGAAGGGATATATTAACTGGTCACCCATCAACAATCTGTTAAAATAAGATTTTATTTAGAAAAGAGCTTAAAGGTTTGAGAGATAAAACTTTACATGATGTTTGCTTTACTGAGAAGAAAGCATTCGACTCACTTTCCTCTGCTACTGAAGGCCATGTCATCAAATTTTCTAAGCTAATATCAGCACTGTTCCACTCTTTGTGGGAGAAGCTTTAACTGATAGCTCATTTGATATAAGCTCAATTTATCAATTAGATTTATTGTATTAAATTCCTTTGTCATTACATGTATATATATTGTATTTTTCTTAATAATTACTTTATTCTCTTTTAGAACTAGTAGTCCTGCTTGGTCTCAGGCTCCTCCTCAAATTGAACTTCCTAGTTCCAATATAGGAATGAAAAGAATTTGGAACAAAGTTAGTATATATATATATTTTTTTTAATGCTCAAACTATACTCAAAATGGAAAAATTAGAAAGATTCTATACTATTTTTAATATAAATTTTTTTTATTGCTTTAAGTGTATTTTATGTGTCTATATGTCTCCAATCTATTTTAGCTTCTGGGCCAAGAGTTTCAAAACTTTGATCGAAGACAATATGGAATGGGTGTCATAGGAAAATCGTTACACAGAAAGATCAGGCAGGACAGAATCACTTCTGATGTGAAACAACAATTAGAAGATATTGATGATCATAGGTAAATTAACCTTATTATTTATTCTATTTAATTGACAAACAATTTTAGTTACTCTTGCATTATATGAGTCTGTTTTAATTTTTTTGTTATGTTTTAATTTAGTTGAAATACTGAAGTTATGCTTACTTATCGCAAAATTTAATTTGAACATGTTATTCTATTATGTGCTTGTTATATGCTTATGACTAATATATTTAATTCAGTTGTTATTGTTTAAATTATTCAGTGTTTAAAATTACAATCAAAAAGGAAAGAGAAGTATATGTGTCACGTAATCCCTTTCTAATTATGTACTCAGTGACCTAACAACTTTTTGAAATTTTATGTTACTATTCATTAAATTGTTTTTAGATAAATTAAAAAACAATTTAAATAATTTTGTAATTTTTTATTAATATTTTGCAGACCTTTCTTTACATATTGGGTTACAACTGTCCAGATTCTGGTTTTAGTCATCTCACTTGCAGTTTATGGATTTGGCCCATTTGGTGTGCGAAAAACTCAACGTTCTGGAGAGGTATATAAATATTTAAAAATTCAATGTTTGAATTATGATTATTTTTTGCTACTTATTAGTAATATTTATCTATACTAAAAATTGTCTCCATGGTGCATAGCGTTTTTAAAAAGTGCTTAAAGGCGCTTATTTTCGATTTTCGTTTTTTAAAAGCCCTTAAAGGTGCTTTTTTCATTGGGTGTTTTTAAGAAGTCCTTAATTTTCCCCTTTCGAAAATGATTTTTTTTCTTTACCATATTTATGTTCGCTATGAACTTACAGCGTACTGTAAGTTCATAGCGTATGAAAGAGCCAATCATTTTACAGGTTTAATGAAAAATCCCTTGATCATTTTATCGTGGCTAATATAATCAAGAAAAGAGTTCTTTGTCAAAAACTAGTTATTTTATCTTGATCATGTAAAGTCTTTGAAAATCATTTTGCATTTTGTTAATGTATATAGTGTTTAAAAATATTTTTTGATTGCTTAAAATGTACTTAAATGGTGCTTATTTTTTGTTGAAAGGTTTGACTACACACCCTGATCTCTCTAAAAATTCTATATAATGTTAATTTAGAAATTATCTATCTACCATTTTAAATATTAATTTGTTGACCTAATTTCTTTTGATTCTAATGGTTTAATGTTCTGATTATAAGTTAAATTCAGTTGTACACTATTTTCTATGCTACAATATTTCCATTTTTTTTCATTCAGTCTGTTTAAAATTAGCTTTTTTACTTTCTTTTTAATTTTTTAGCATAGAAAAATTAAAATATTTATCGACTTCATAGTTATTTTTGGTCTATAGGTATAATTATGAGCAATTAATGGATCCACTGTTGCAATAATGATTAAAGAATAAAAAGTTCAGTGAAGTAGTGCTGCAAATTCATAAATTTTTTTTAAATTGTACTTCACATAGTCATATTTATAAAAAGTAGAAATATTCAGATTAAGTTTTTGTTCCTAAGATATATAAAATCCTGGATTTTCTTATAAGTTATCTTTTCTTAATAGGTAATGGTTACCAGTCTTCATTTGCAACAAGTAGACTATTTTGAGCCAGATAATTTTTGGATTGGACCAAGATCAGTAAGCATATTTTTTATCTCTTATGCAGAATATAACTTGCTTCTTAAAAATGCCTGGATTGGAGGTTTTTTATTTATTTTTTCACGAGTTATTTTAAGTAAAACAATTTCTATCAGATTTTTGTTTGCTTCTAAGAAAACTATTTTTGATGTTCTAAATTAATTGTATAAAGCTCTCTTTATTTTGGTAATCAGAGTAAAATATTTATGATGCGTAGTAAAATTGAATAGAATTATTTGTTATATACTCTTAAATGCTTACTTTTTTTTTATTCAAGTTTTATTTTCTGGTTTAAAATGAATTTTCTATCTTTTGCAGGCTGATCTGGTGCATTTAGGGGCCAAATTTACACCATGCATGCGAAGGGACAAAAATATTTTTGACTCAATCGTACGAGACAGGGAACAAGAAAGAGACACTGCTTGCTGTGTTCGGAATGACCAATCTGGTTGTGTACAAACTTCTCGGGATAAATGCTCTGTAAGTTGTTGATTTTAATTTACACACCATTTATAAATTGTATTTGAACATTATTTATTTAAACCATTAATTGTTAAACTATTGATTAAAAATATTTTCAAATTGTTTGTCTATGCTCATTAAAGGAAGAAAAAAAAACATTTTGTATTGTAACAAAGCATGCTGGTCTACTTGATTTGATAATAAAGAGAGTGTAAAATATCTGAAGAAATAGAGGACTATGTGTTTCAAATGTTCACTGATTAATCGAAATTAATTTTAATTTTTTTGTAAAGCAAATTCACTTCTGTGTTCTTATGCCTATTACAGCATGACACTTAATATTTTTAGAAGATTTAAAGCATCATATATGTTGAAAAGTTTTATCTAATTTTGTAATAGGGTAGGAAAAATAATATACCTTTAAAATTGATTTTTTTCCTGCATTTTCAAATATTAAAGTTAATAAGATGTCATGCTGTGTTTACTTGTGTTTTAAGTAAATCATTAAGTATTTATTATGGTATGTACTGATCTACTGTTTTTCATATAACGAGGAAAGAGGTGTAAATATATACAATTAGTTTATACAATACTTTTTAAGTGCTAAAACTTTTTAAATATTTTTAAGAAAACATGATCTAAATGTTGAATCAACATATGTTTTAGCCTCTTTTAACATGGGCTCTAATATATAATAATAAATTCAGAATTTTTTTAAATCGGTATAATTTTCTAAATTTCATGGCATGTTTTTGCTTAGTTATTTGTTGTTTTTAATCTCACCCTTTAAATCGTGATATTACTTATGTGAATGTTGTTGATTTCATATTGAAACATATAAGTAATTATTTTATTTATTAGATTTTTGAAATTGTTTTTACAAATTTTACACATTCTCAACGTGTGTTCTATCTCAAATATTTGTCTTTAACTTGATTTCTTTAAACTGTTCTCAATGTCTTATGTTATATTAAGCACATTAAATATTATGTCTAAGAAGCAATTTATGCTTTTCAATTTTCAGATGTAATTTTTATCATTGTTCATAATTAATAAAAATATTTTATTTACCTGCTTCTTAAGTTGGCTCAAGGACTTCATTCAGGGGTATGCATTGACTTTTTACTTTGCATGAATATGTTATGTATTGCTTATTTATTTATTCATATAAATATATATATTAGCTTTTTATTAATAACTGGTGCATTATTAATTAGGGCTATCAAACATCAACTGTCTTTTTAAATGTATCCCACTTTCAGAATGTTGCATGATTACATTCAAATATGTTAACTGCTATGTAAAATACTCAGAAAGTTATATTATTTAGTTTTTAATAATTAACGTCTGTGCATAACATAGCTTTATTATATCTATTTGATATTTATCTAATTCTTAAATATATACTTAATTTTGTTTCTAATTCGAATATTTATCCTCATATTGAATATTAATTCGATAATGTATCCTGCTAAAATAATGTTTAACCTTTTTATTTATGTATTTTAAAATATATTTTTAACTACAATGCAGTGAATGTTTTAGTAAATGATTGATTTTTTCTATAGGAGTTGATATCATCTTGGAAGAAATGGGATACTATGCAACCTGGTCCTCCTAGATGGATGGGGATCCCTAACTCTATAGCAAAAGATCATTTAGGCACTCATAAAAGGCTTTCGGGCTCTGTGTGTGGACAGGACCCAAGGTATGCCTAAGCATTTTCTTATCTGTCATAATTACACATGGTTTATATCTTATTGAATTTTAGTAATAGCTTTTAACTAGTATCAAAACATATCTAAGTAAGGTATGCTTCTCTGTTGTGGTTTTATTTAGTATAAGTTTCTTGATGTGTGATATATGTTTTATGTGTAAAACTCTCAATGCAGGTACACGTGTGGCTATAAATGTAGATATACACCTAAATCAATGTAGATACATATATAGCAATGTTATTTTCCTTAATGGTTATAACTTCAAAATTCAAATTAAGTTTTTACTGAACATTTTAGCCATAAATATATATTTGATGCTCTGATTTACCGTAGACAATGAATAGGTATGTGCAAATAGCATTAAGGAAGATAATCAAAAAAGTTTTTAATGAAAAATTTTCATTCCTTAAAAACGTTAAAATTCAGATTTTTAGCATTGCATATTATAATTCTCTATATTTTTAAATTTAGTATTTAGTAAGGAGTTTTTAATCAACTTTTTTAAAGATTTAATATTTTAACATAGATGTTTGTTTTTATATTCCTTTCGGAATTTTTTATTTGCTTTAATTTAAGCAATTTGAGGCAAATTATAGTTTTAAAACTTAAAAAATTAGTTTTGCAAAAAATATTGTAAAAAATATCTTATTTTCAATTTGATAGTTTTACCAAAAACATTTTTTTACTAGTAAATTGTATTTTACTGCTGATGTAAGAAGTTAAAAGTTCAGGCATGAAGGTTAATAACTATAGCGATTAATAAAATAATAACTATGAGTGGTAAAACCTTTCTGAAACATGGCTGCTTAATTGTCAATTCTCTTCACTTGATTTAAAAAAAAGAAAGACTTTCTGCCATCAATACCATCTACTGGGTCTTACAAATACAAGTTCTAAATTTCTCCAATATCTTCTGCTATAAAGTTAATACAAAACTTTTTTTTCAGTTGTAATTTTGCTGAGTTTTTCTTGAAGAATTATAATATTTATTTGGAAGTATCTTTTTCAAGATTAATGTCATTTATTTTGATTTTGTGAGCATTAATGTTTTTTTTTTTCATTGTAGGTATTGCAATGAGCCTGCATCAGTATTTCCTTATGAATGGCCAGATGATATCACTAAATGGCCAGTATGTATTTCCAACTCATTTTTTGTTTTGTTGTATTCATATTGTTTACGATTTCGTAAGTGGTCTTTAATATCACTTAATTTTTTGATGGAATTTTAAAAAAACTGAAGGAAAAGAATTTTTTTAGAGTCATATTTGAAAAAAATGATGAATGATAAATTTGAGATAAAATAATTTTCAGCATTGCAATATAATTTACTCCTTTTTAACCTATTTATCTCCAATATTATGTAATGAAATATCTATCTTTTTAAAAAAAAGTTATTAGAGTAAAAAAGTAAAATAAATAAATAAATACAAAAATTTCTTTTTAAAATTATTTTAAGTTTTAACAATTAGGCTTTATTGCTAATTTTTATCGTTTCTATTTAACAATTTTACATGAAGAAAATATTGTGTCTGCTTTAGAGTGATAAATAGTTGGAGACTTATTTCAGTTCAAGCTTTTGTGAGGTCACAAATGTTATAAAAGTGAATTGTCAGTATCTTTCTGAATGTTTGTTAAATTAAATTGAAATTTTTTGATTTGCCTTAAATTGCATAGGTTAAAATTATTTACATTAAAAACTCAGATTTTATACAAAATTTGTGAGCCAGAGCTTTCATTATAAATTTTTTATTTTATAAAACATTCCACAAATATTCTAATTTATAATTAAAAACTTTGTGTGAAGTTTCTTAAGAAATGTTTTGATCTCCATAAATATAAATTGCCATTAATATAAATCTCTGCAAATTTTAAAAATATGAAATACTTTCAGATATGTAGGGCTGTAGTTCCAGGTCAAGTTGCTGAACCTCACATGTCATGTGAAATAGTAGGTAGGCCTTGTTGTATTGGCATCTATGGTCAATGCCACATCACTACGAAAGAGTACTGTGATTTTGTAAAGGGATTCTTTCATGAAGAGGCAGCTCTCTGTTCACAGGTAATTTATATGTTACAATTTCAACATCCTAAAAGATTTCTATTTTTATTATTTGAACTTTTGAGAAAATTATTAGCTCGAAATTCCTTTTTGCAAAAGGAGAAAAAAAAATAGTTCAAAATATTTTTAATACTATTTTCAATCATTTTAATACTATTTTCAATCATACTATTTTCAATCATCTTTCATATGTGCCATACAGCAAACTTTTTATCTACTCTATTTCCTACAGTACAATGGTACATGCGAATCAAAAGTGTAAAAATGTTGCAAATAAGAAATATGCATACCTATATAAACTGGGTTTGCATCTAAATGTACATTAACACTTTATATTTATTTGTACTTGAATCACCATTAAATGTTCATTAATGTTATAAATCACTTATTGTTATCAAAATCACTCAAGGTCAAGCTTTTCTCCATTCTTTTGTATGTAAAACTATTGCTTTCTGCTATCATTACATACTTTAATGTTATCAGGGTTTTTACTATTTATTGCCTTGTATTAAAGTAATTTTATTAATTGGAACCTTTTTCTTGCTTTGTTTCACACAATACAAGTTGTACAGTGTATGTCTGCACCCATTTGGATGATTTCAAAACATGTTAGCTTATAATTATAAAAGCTATAATTCTCTATTATTGAAAATAGGATTAGCAACTTATAATATACTTTTAATTATTGAAAGCAACATCCTTCAAATTACAAATTTTAAACATATACAGTCAAACCTTGCTAACTCAAACTAAGTTTTGCAAATTTTTTCAATGCCTGAAATAAAAATGTTCGATTCGTTTAATGTTTAAGAAACTTTTTTTTATAATTACAAAAAGACATTTATTTTACTCTTCCCTTGATAACTTGAGTTCAGTAGATATTGAATCAAAGAAGAATCCTTATACGTAGAAAACTCCCAAAAAATAGAAACTATTCAAAAATATGATCAGAAAATGACCTGCATAATGTTTAAAAAAAAGGGAATATTGGTGATTTAATGGTAATACTAAATTTCTATTGATTTTCCAAAGGGGGAGATAATTCTTATTTATTGTTTCCTTATTATCTGTCTTCAGACTGTAGCAGTGCATTTGCTGTGATCATTCATAACCATCATTAAATTCGCGTATTAAAGTGGAAAAGCAAATTATTTCTTAGAAAAAGGTTAAATAAAATAAAGGAAATTTCTAGAGTTTGATATTTCAGGTTGAATGAATACTACAACAAATCTAAAATATAAAGCAATCGAGAAGTATTGTTTGCCATTGTTATTTCAAGAAAATATGTTGAAAGTCTGGTACTTCTCTTAAGCAAACAACAATCAAATCTTTTTATAAATAATAATTTCTACTAAGTGTATATTTGTTTATAAAAAAAAGTTAGAAAAAGGGATTTTTCTTCATTGTATTTGAACACTATTCTGTCGATTTTGTAAAAATAATTTTTCATACATATATATGTGTGAGAGTGTGTTATCTAACTTTATGAATGTACAAATAAATCTTTTTGCTTATGAGTTCCATATCATACGATTCCTGCCATATTTTTATTAAAAAAAATCATTACTATAAGGCATCTTACATTTTCCCTAAAGATAACATTGCATGTTATCCTATTTTATTACATGAAAATATTTTTTTAATTATAATGACTTGAAAATTTAATTTATTTCCAAATCTAATTTATAATTGTGATATAAAGTTAGTTTATAGTTATAATAATTATGAAGTTATTTGCTTGCTATAAAAAATTATTCCTGGAGTAAAATTAGATATTTATATTAATCTTAATTAGGTATCTTGCCTCGATGACATTTGTGGTATGATCCCTTTTCATAATCCTGATGTGCCTGACCAATTCTATAGAATCTGGACTTCCCTTTTCCTACATGCAGGGTAACATTTCTGTCTCATTAACCTCATCTCTTCTTGATTTTCTTTATATTAGATTTTTTTGCAAAGTTATTATGCATTTCATAGCCATAAAAGTACATTTTAATCAGTGGTATTATGACACTTCTCTCAATATTTTTTATAGTAATTAAAGGAGAAATTTATTATGATGTACAACTAATATATTTTCTTTCATTTTACCAGCATCCTACACCTGCTGATAACTGTGATAATACAATATTTCATAATGACCGATTTAGAAAAGCTAATAGGGGCTTTAAGAATTAGCATCATATATATAATGTCTGGTGTGGGAGGAAACCTTGCAAGTGCGATTTTTGTGCCATACAGAGCTGAGGTGTGTATCACAATATTATTTATATTTTTCTGTTTTGAATATTGATATGGATTCTTAATGTAAATTTCTCACTACATAAATGTGACGTAATTTGACGTCTTGTCTTTATTACATGTTTTTTATTTGCTATTTTAAAATACTTTTCATGGTTATTCATTTAGTAATTTTTTTGGTCAAATCATGATTTGAATAAATTAAATATATTTAGGAAAATTCTTAGTTGGATTAAAATTTTTTCTTTTCATTAAATTTATTTTAGGGGTTATTAGGGAGCAAATTTATTAATCAATATTTAAAGAATTTGTTTGGTTTGTACTATACATTTCTTTTGGTTGAAGAATGAGTCTTATCTTTTGTACACTGCTAGGAGAGCCACAAACTTTTTGGTTAGTTATTGAAAGGTTACTCTGATTCTCCCAGGTTATGAATAAGCTTTGTTTATGTAAGCACAGAGAATAAGAATAGAAAATAAAGTCTGTAATACTTTGCTTGTAATATTATTTTTTTTTAAAAGCAATAATTTTTATTATTTTGTTACTGGTTCTGAAATATTCATAAGATTCATTTTGTTTAATATACTTTTATATTTTTCAGGTTGGCCCAGCTGGTTCTCAGTTTGGACTTTTGGCATGTCTGTTTGTTGAAGTAATTCATTGTTGGAAAATGCTAAAGCATCCAGGCATGGCTCTCCTTCGACTGGGTGGTGTGGCTTTAGTTCTTTTTCTTGTGGGCCTTTTACCGTGGATTGATAACTACGCTCATATATTCGGATTTTTATTTGGTTTTCTACTCTCTTATGCTTTGTTACCTTTTGTATCCTTCGGGACATATGACAAAGCAACTAAAGTTGTGCTGATATGGGTGTGTCTCTTTGTCGTCATCATCATTTGTGTCGTTCTGCTTATTTTCTTTTATGTGCATCCTATATATGAGTGTTCATTCTGTAAATATCTTAACTGTATACCTTTGACTGCCGATTTCTGTGAAAACCAAGACATTGTATTTAAAAGACCAGAATACTGACATCTGTATATTATGAAAGACATATATTGTTTTACTAGTCATTCAGTGCTGGTGAAAACTGTGGCAATGCTGTTTTTTAAACATATTTAAAAATAATCCGGTTGAAGTGCTCTAATTTTTGTTTTGATTTCAAAATTAAGGGCATGTGAACTTGTGTCGACAAGCCTACTTCAACGGACAAGCATTTTTACTGCTGTGATGTAACCTTAATGAGGTGTTTAAAGACAATTTTTTGTCAATTTATACTTAATTTTCGAGAATAACAATTGTAATATTTTATTAAAAATCTAGTAAAAACTGCTGTGTGTTTTACTGTCATCTCCCTAATTATGTTAAAAAGTGCAATTAAAATATTGTGTACAAGTTTTTTAAGTAGTTTTAATTTTTAATAAGATTCAAAAATTTGTGTCGTCATTTTTTAAAAAATGCTTATGTAGTATGTAAGTAATTCTGAGGAAAGAAACAGTTTCAATTTATACTCTCTTCATTTTGTTTAGTTCTTAAATTTATTTTTTTCTTCAAAATACAAAATAATGCTAATCTCAAATGGACAATTATGCAGTATGATTTTTTTCTTTGTAAAAATAACAAAGTTTCAATGCATTGTCTCAGATTTTGAATTCTGTAGAAGTATTTTAATTTGTTTCCACATTCTATAAGCAGGGTTGAGATTTTTTCTCTTTTTAGCGGATTCCCGCCTTTTTCGCTTTTGTCTATCGAATTTCAGCCTTTTGATCCAAAACTCTGATTCTCTAAAAGTTTTTTTTAAAAAATAAATATTCCGCTTTTTCTAAAAATTCAGCCGTTGAAATAAAATAAATATATCTATTTCCGATTTGATATATAGATATAATATATCAAAAGATGTATAGAAAATTCAAACTAGGTAGCTGCCAACCCTTCCGTATATATACTTATTTTAGCTATTAGCTTTTACTGGCAGAGAGGAAGATTTTTCTCATTTTTATCCATTCGCTAGATAGCTGGTATTTTCGTGATCCAGACCGTTGTATTTTAATATCAAACATCAATTTTCTTATTTACCTGATTTAAAAGTTGCTATTCTTATTCACTCGATTTCAATATCGTTCATTACAATTCTTATTTACGTTAAATCCAGTATCGCGATTTGTATTGAGGCCTTTTTAAAATTCTATGTAACGATTCGTATTCACACGAGTTCATCCGATGTCGTGATTCGCCTTTGCGGTTGTAATATCCAACATCTATTTTCGTACTTACACGTGATTTAAAAATTAGGCTTTGGATTCGTATTCACACCATTTAGAAATTATGCATCATAATTCGTATTTAAGCTATCTGAAAATTACGCATCATGATTTTATTTTCACATTTTTGAAATCCAATATAGAGTTTCATTCACGTGTTTTCAGTATCGGGATTTATATTCACACGATCTTAAAATCCAAGATTGCTATTTGTATTCACGCGATTTTAAAGTCCTTTATCGCAATTCTTGTAAAAAGTAACTTTTTTTCTTGAATTAGTTACTATAAATGTGACAGTTTTTCTATCTACAATTATTGCTATATATAGGCATTACAACGTCAGTGATCTGGATAAGAATATGTAACTGATATTTTTGCTATAAATCACGTAAGATTAACTCGCGTGGAAATTCAGCTTTTGGGCAATCTCATTCCTGTATAAGTAAATAATTGAAAATTCTCTTTGTTATTCTGTTATACAACATCCTAGTAATTCCTAAATTAAATTTTTTGTATGCTTTTTTTTTATTAAATATTTAAATTGAAATTTTTATTTTATGAAGCTACTAAGACTTTACCAAATTTTAAGTTGGAAGTTTTTCGGTAATTATGGATTCATTTGCAGTTCTTTCTATTATTCTAATTTTGAACACACACAATTAGGCTTTTTATAATAATACAAAGCATTTTGAAATATTCTGTAACAATACAACGAACATAATATTAATCTAATTAAACTGAGTATAAAGTATTCTTTTAATTAGGAAACAAATATAAGTTCTAGAATTACCACTCTATTCCACCAATATGGCATAGACTGATGTGAGTATGTGTCAGTTGCAGTTAACTGATTTAATTAAGTTACTTATTGGAAACAATGTAAAAAGGATTCTGGTAAAGGTACGCAGTTTATCGATTTAAATTAGAGGAGCAGGTGGTAATAGTCTTTGAACCACTCTCTTCTAAAGAAAATCGCAATGTTTAATAATGTCTTTATCAGTAACGGTTACAAATAAACTTACTAAAAAAAAGCAATTGAGAGACCTTGTAAAAGAACAGGGTAAGTCCAAATTTCCCAAATAAAAATTTTGAATAGTTTGATCACAAACAATAAAGCTGTTTGAACTAGCACAGGAACCCAGCCGAAATGTAACATCAGTTCTTTTATGTTTGGTAAACAGAGTGAGAAAAAATCATCCTATTGTATTTGCTTAGTATTTTTCTCTTACCAACAATTTTAGAATCCATACTGAATTTACTCTTGCACCAGGCCCCTTAAGTAAGATATTTCTTTTTCCCTTTTTTGCCTCTTCGATTTCATCTACCATAGCAAATGAATGTTTTTTAGCGACAAAGTTTTGTCCTTTTGGACCTTAATGATCTTACTTGATAGACCAATTCCAAGTTATGTATAAAACAATATTTTTTATTTTTTGTACGAGTTTGGCCTTTAACTTTTAAACTCTTTCTTTAAAATTGTTTTAATAAAAATATTTTTTCTTTAAAAAAAAACTGTCATATCTACCAAAATAATGTTATTCCATACATTTACATTGCTCATATATTATAAAATTATTATTACAGTACAGAACCCGTTATCCGGAATTCAGAAAACCGGAAAACCAAAAAACCGGNAAATTAACATTACATCTAACAAACTTGATAAATAGTTCTTTTTGAAGTAAATTTTAAATTTTACAAATGATTTTTACAATGCTCCTAATGCTTTGTACAAATATTTAATTTGCTACAAATTTTCATTCTCATTTACATATTTTACTTTATCAATTAAATTTTAATTTTTTTTTCATAGTTGAACTAAATTAAATTTTGATGTTCTATATGATTTACTTCTAAATAAGATTTCAGGTTGATTACAATTCGCTGTTGCCTAAAAACTTATCTTCAGATGTGAATAAAAATCACCCACCATTCAACAATGACTAAGCACCTACCTCTTAAAAAGATTCATGTTAACTGAACTAACTAACTTAACTAAAACTTGTCTCTTTTAAAGGACCCGCAAGAAGTTTTGTGCTCAGAGCCCTGCATGAGACATTATTTGCATACTGCATGCGACAAAATTTCATAGTTGTAAATATTTTAGCAGCCTTTTATTCCCCCCCCCCCCATTTAAATGGAACACATAACAGAGCTCCAAAGAAACGCAAGAAGTTACCTAAGTTATTGCCTAAGACAGTCTTAGGCAAGCTAAAACACTGATTAACCTAAATTAAGATACAAGAACAAAAATGGCAATGACTCTCCCAGTAATAAGCCAATCCCAATGAAATTTGAATTTATTGTCAAATAAGAGTTGCTCACAGAACTGCAATTTGCAAATTAGTGGCTTAGAAATAAAATCGCGCTAATAAGCATAAAATTGTATGTCTGATCAAAAGCCTATAAATTTAGCTGAGTTCTTAAAATTAGAAACTTGCGATAACCAATTTATAACAATGACCTCCAGGCATAATTTGTCCAAAGAACTGTGATTGGCGATCGAAATGGGCTGCAGGTGGCGTAGAGCAGAACTCTTTTCCTATGGCAACACTTCACATGCTTTCCCCATTAGCGTGTGGAAAGTCATAGAGGAAGGAAGTACGTTAGTTTCTCTCTTGATTTTTATATAGATTAAAATCTTTTAAGTTGAAAAACTATATGGAACTGAAAACTACATTAAACATAGTTCTAGAGAAAAGTATCACGGAAATTTTAAGAAATATTTTTATTAAATAAAAAGGAAAAATATTAAGAAAAGGGAAAATATCGTAGTACATTCCTATACAACTGAAAAGAGGAGGAGAGGGATGGGAGAAGGGCTAAAGGCATGAAACCGGTCTCTCCCCAGATGGCGTATTCGAGTGTTGCGATCGCGAATGGAGATCTTGTGGAAGACTCGAATCAAGACAGAGTTAAAAGTAGCCAAATGTGAGTTCTGTGGCTTATAGACTTTAGTAACAATTTCTAACTACAGGTTCAGCACCGATGACCGATATCTATCGTTATGTGCTCGAAGAAATAGATCCTCTCTTAGTGTAGCCATCGGAAAATAGGTGTCAACGTCTTCTGTGCGTAAATGCAGGGTCCGATCAAGACAAACTCAGGCCCAAGGCCCACCAAATTTTCTGGGCTTATATCAAATTATTTTGAAATTAAATTACTGAAGAGTAGTCCTAATAATAAGAAAAGAATCTATTGAACTGCATGATTCAAGAGAAACATTCTAAAATATTTTGAAAGCAGACGATTGAAGGTTATCTTTCTAAGATAAAGTTTATGCATCTATAAATTAACGCAAAATATAATACAACGAAACAATGTTATGTCGAAATAAATAGTTTGGTGACTATAGTTATAAACAATTGAAATCGGTGATTTTAGCTAAAAGTGACTGATTAGCTGAATTATTTTTTATTGTAAGCTGTAACAATTTTTTATTTAGTACCTAAACCAACTCATAGCTAGCCCACCTTTCATAAGACTTTTTACTAATTTTTGAGGCCTCTCAGAAATTGTGGGCCCTAGGCCCATGCCTATTGGGTCTAGGCTATAATCAGGCCCTGCATAAATCTCTTCACAAAAGCGGTCTGCTTTCGTCTTGGCATAGAAAAGAGTGAAGTGGGAGCAGCTACATATTCACAGGATGGCTGAACAATGGAGGGCTGTTCTCTTCACAGATGAGTCCAGGCTCAGCCTCCAAAGCGATAATAGGATTATTTGATAAGGAGAGAACCTGGATGACTATTATCATCCGTCAAAATCAGTGAAAGAGATGCATACCGAGGAGACTCTGTGTGGAGTGGTATCTCTTGGATACCACCCCCACAGATAAAGATGGTTGTATCTTTAGGAAGCTTTAATAAGATGTGATGCGTAGCTGTTTTCAATCCACCACTTCAGACTATTACCACACTTTCAACTACTTTTCAAGAACAATGACTCTCACTTCCAACGGAACTGGCAGACCGCATAATTTAAAGCATCACGCATCGCTGTATGTGCCATATTGTTGCTGGAGGTGATCGTACTACATACTGAAGGTACTTTTTTATATTTAAAGATGGCACATATGATTTGTTTATTTCAATCATATGTTAATTTATGTAATACCATAATCGTCTGGTCATTATTATGTGCACTATAATGTGTGCCAATTTGCTAAATTCTATGAGTAACTTTTTGAGTTATGGTTCATTTTGTGATTTTTCCTTAATTTCTAATAACCATTGTTCAAATTTGTCGCGAATCAAGAAGTGCTCCATCAGTGACACAGATCAGGAAAATAATCAAAATTTATCAATTATTAAATTATCAGTACCCTCTTTCAGTTTCAATCATTTGATTACTTAGTAGGTTTATGGAAATCGAATCCATCTACTAAGACTTCTTTTTTATTTACTGTGCGTGATAAAATTTTTTTGCCACTTAATATTTTTATGTTCGGATTCTGTAACTTTTTCTTTGCTGACGATACGGCAATATGTTATTTAAACTCGTACTCACAATTAAAAAAGCATGGGAAAGAATTAAACATGGAACCAGTGTTCTTCCCAGATGACGTTATGATCGCTAAGATGCACAAATCAGATATCGCCCAGGAATAAATCATAAAGTATTCTGATAATAGTTGCAACTGTAACGTTTAGCATTTGTTTGTAAATAAATAAAAAATTTACTTTGGCCATGCCTTTGCTCTCGTGTAGAGTTCCACTATTAAAATGGTAAGGAAATAAATTCTTTCTTTATTTTTTGAGTTGGATGAACCCAATTATCTATAATGAGTTCACACAATGGTTTTAATTCTTTTCCGATTTATTACTATTTTTCTTTTCATTTTTTCTGCTCTAGTATGGCACCAAATCTCAATTTTATTCTTGGAGACACTTTTTGTAACAGTTACAACTTGAAAGTATGGAAGTTGGGAGAAGTATAAATATAGAAGTAAACCTGTTCACAAATATTGTTGACACATTTTTATAATTAATAAATTTCTTAGATTCCTGTTGCTGATTGGAAAGTCATGGAATATTGGATTAAATGTTGATTTAAAATTCGCATGGGATGGAGGTTATATTAAATTTTGTTCTTAGTCTGCTGGGAAGATTTTTCTATTGGAATATGCGGCTGAATTATCTCGATGTCTTGGCAATTTCTGGGCAGTTCCCCAAAGGGTGACGTAGCATTTTCATCTGGAAGAAAACAATTATATGTAAAGACGAAATACGTTTCATAAATAATATGGAAATCTGTTTATTTTGTTTGTGTAAACAGTGAAATTTATATTTATTTAATTATTTTCGTTATTAGAAAGTAGATTAGATACTATTTCCGTATCACTGTCGAATCAGTCAAATGCAATTGTCGAGGCACTAAATGAATTTTGAACTTGAAAATTATTTAATATTAGACATGTAGAGGTTGGCCTGGAGTGTGCCTATAAGTTATACCCTTTAAGTTGATCTCCTTCTGTGATTTTTTTTCTAGTTTCTTGTGAGCCTCTGTCTAGAAGTTGCCAAGACTGAGATTATTCTGTTGCAGATTATGATATGGTATAATCTTCTGAAACATAATTTTGTCTTCGACTCTACTCAGAGATATTTCTGTATCATGATCTGTCATGCCAAACGGATTTTAAACTTGCAAATTTAGAAAAAGAAAAAAGAAACATGCATGTTTGTGGCTATAAGTTATATCCTTTGAGTTGGACCCTTCTGTGAATTTTTATTTTCTCTCAGGGATTATTTTAACCTAGATTATGATATCGCAATATTATAAAAGTGCTTTCATTGTAATAAATAATTTGTTCATTATTCAAAATTTAATATCCTTTTGGGGAAAAAAAGATCTTTTATCATTGTTCTTATTTCCTTAATATATTATCTTACTTCCTTAATATTTATCTAATTGGTTCTCATCAATGTGATCCAAATATCACAATCCTGCTTCTTGTTGTAGCTATGTTAGTGATAGTAAATGTGTTACATATTGTTTTATTTCTCCCAAAAGTTGTTTAGAAGCAATAAATTTCTATAAAACTTTTATTTTTACAATAATGATAGAAATTTGTATACAGTTTATCTAGAATCAGTATCAGAAATTTGATTTCTATATTTTTCAACTAGTGTAATATTTACTAGTGTAATACTTCAATTAATGAAATATTTACTAAAAGCTCAAAGTTCTTTTTCAATTTTGGAGTCTCTGGAAACTCTCTGGAAAATATTTTTAATTGATAAAAGTATACAAATGACTGTTGTAAGACTTGATCTTAGTAATAATTAAACACATGAATAGAAATAATATTTTATTCTTTTTTGGATAATTGGTGTGAAAATAAATTTGTTAATTTGTTGTTAAAATTGTTGTCTGGTTTGTTAAATTCTGTTTCTGTTGTCAAATGTTATGTAGTTAAAATTTTTGTTTTTCAGTTATTTAAGACTTTCATTTCCTCACATTTCAACGAGAAACAGTTGCAATGATCTTCTTTCTGGCTTAGTAAGAAGAGGATTAGTGAAGCAAATTTTCCCAACCAATAGGTATTATAAATATTATGAAAAATTAAAGCATTTTTCATTTTGCAGTGACCTTACTTAATATTTATTCCTTACTTAATATTTTCTCTAGCAATTTTGACTTAATTAAAATTCTTTTGCTCTGATTTAATCTTAATAAGTATTAAAAACAACTTAGATTATCGATTTCTAAAGCCTTTGAATAAAATGGCTTGGATTTCTTTTCTTTTTTTTTGCTGAATAAATTATAAACATTTGTTGCCTTGTGTGTACTTCAAGCATATTAAACTTTTTAGAAAGGTTTTGTTAAAAAATGTTTTTATCTATTAACCCTATTGAAAATATTATAATACCTAGTTAAATTAATTTCACCCTTAATATTTTTTAAACTACTAATTTACTTTTCACATTTTAATTAAACTTCAGTTACCTTTTTTTAATTTACTGAGGGGTCTTAAAATTTATATTTTGATTAGCAGAATTTTCAATTAAAAATTTAATGTCTTTTAATAATTTGTAAAAGTTTTTGCAACCTCAATGCAATGTTATCTCAATCTTAATTCCGATAATGTGACCAAGTTGAATTATATAATATGACCACCAAATGGTTTAAAATTGTTTATGTATATTCTGACCCACTATTTTTGTTTGATAAAACATTTAACAAAATAGATATAGTTTATTTCATTGAATAGTCAAGGCATTCAGTCTATTATTTAGTTTGTTTACTTCAGAATTCTCTTTCAATCCTTTTGTGGTAACTACATTCTCTCTTGATAAAGAGGGTTAACCAGTGAGTGGTTATCAAGGACATTGAGTGATCTTGGGCATTCAAAACTTAACTTAGCAACTTTTAGCTTTTATTTGGACTCTTTTACTCTCTTCCTCTTTGCTATGACTTTTAATTTCCTTTTTTACAATCATGTAGTGTTGTTTTATTTGTTTTTCACAGCAGAAATTCCTTTTAACTGAACTATGTGTGTTTGAGAAGGGGGAAAGGGTGAAGTCTAGAAATTAAATTGCCATTGAGTAACAATAACATCAACTGTATAATAGGGAACTGTCTGTTGGAAGGGAAAGAAAGGGTTGAATGATAGGGAAGGGGGGGGGAGGGCTCAGATAATCAGCATTCTACTTGTATGTAAAACTATATATTACCATTTAGTGTTTAACTATGATTTTAGAATGATGCATAAACATAGCTAACTTTTATTTATTCATTGGCATATGCTTTAGTATGATACACTCTTTAGTAACAATATTTTTCACCCCAGATATAGATATACAATTAAAATTATTTTATTTTAATATTTTATAGCATAGCTGATATTCCAGGCTCTTATAGTGCTTATGCTGGATTTGATGCTACATCTGACAGTTTACACATTGGTAATCTCCTAGTTATAGTTTCTCTTCTCCATTGGCAAAGAGCTGGTCACAAAACTATCTTAGTAGTAAGCATATTATTTTAGTGTGTATTTATTAAAATCAAATTAACAGTTCTTTAGTAATGATTTGTTTTGAGGAGTAGAAAGAAAACATGAATTTTATTTGGTTGAAGAATTGAAATTTATATGAAATCAATGGAGTTACATATTTAAGATGTCAGTAGCTAACCGACTTTGCACTACTTTCATATTTTTGTATAAAAATATTCACTTTAAGAACTATTTTTAGATGCTACGTGTACGTCTGACAGTTATTGTTTATTATTTTAAGCAAAACATGTTTATATTTGTAATACATATTTGTTTTTCAAAATAATAAAGTTACCTCAAATAATAAAATTATTTTCTGATTGCTTTTCAATCAATTCTTTCTTCAATAGAATTTGAACAATGATATGAACCAAAAATATATGTTTTTGACAAACTTGTTATGTTTGTACACTAAGTTACTAATGTATTGTTTCTAAATTTGCTATACTTGTGTAATTTTCTAATATAGTTTAAAATGTTGATATAATTTAAAAATATTTATAAGTTAATGTGATGTGAAATTTAATCTATAAAATAAATTGTTATTTAATTTCTTTTGCTAATAATTTAAGTTAAAACAAAAGTAACTAAGTTTAAATATGCCTGTTTTTTTATTTTTTGAGTCAGGGTTTTGAAAAATTGCTATTAAACTGCTTTTATATTAAAAATTATATTATATCAATAATGTATCATTGGTTATTTTTAAATGTTAAAAATATGCATTTTTTTAAAAACTACTTTTAAAATAATAACTTTGAGTTAAAAATTAAACTTTAAATACTTGGAGATTTTTAGATTATAACTTAAAGATGTTTTTTCCATTTTTCTGTTATATAGATCGGGGATGCAACTGCAGAAATTGGTGATCCTAGTGAACACAAAGAAGACAGGAAAATACTCTCCAAAGATGTAATTAAGGCCAACTGTGATGCAATTGAGAGTAATGTTCTAAAGATATTTGATAATCATGAAAGATATTTATATCCAAGGGCTAAAAGGAAAACTAAATTAGGAGAGTTGATGTAAGTTCATTGAATTGTATTAACATTTCCATGTATAAATTTTAAACTTTCCACTTCAACAGAATTTATAAAATAATGAGTAAAGACTTATTAAGAAGTCTACATCAAATGTGGCACATCAAATAAAAACATTTTGCTACTGGCCAGTTGTACTATTTTTAACAGTGGTCACTATTTAAAACATATGGTCATTTGTTCAAAAATTGAAAACTTTAAACAACTAAAAATGCTGTTGATATTAATAATGTAAGGCATTTCGTTTGGAGCATTTTTCAAAATATGGTAAACATTATAAGGTTTATTTATAAAATGAAGAAAATTTTAAGAAACAAGTGAGAAATATAGTAATTTTAAAAATATTTTGTTGCTGTCTTGTCTCTTTTAGTACTAAATATTTCTGCAAATAGAAGATAGTTGACATAATATAATTAAAAGTTATTAAACATTCATAATTCCATATTTAGGTATTACAAAAATTCTTTATAGCAGACATCCCCCATGGCAGAATCACAGCAACATGTCTGTTAGATAAATAAATACTAAAAGTTTTTTTAAAATTGTATTTTGATCAATTGTAATAAAGTTTAGATCTTCAGTTTTGTGAAACCCGTTTTTTGTGACGTAGCCCTCTCATGCATTCAACTTATGTTTTTGATATCAGGAACTGCGAGTGTTTGGCCGTTTTTTTTTCTCATTTGCTGTTGATTGATCAGGCGTAACCTTTTTCATTCCTTATCTGTCGTAGGAGAGAACTTACGCTTCTGTTGAAAATAGTTAAATTTATTCTTACTATTCTGTGCTGTTTTGTTACTCTGTTCATCAAAATGCAATGTGTCTGCATATTTCAAGTTAAATATATTTTTAAATAAATAGTTTACCATGGAAACTTTGTTTCTGTTTTAATGAAAGTTAATATTTAGTTACACTGATATTCTTGTGATTATTTCGGCAAAATTTTTGCAGAATGTTATCGTTACAGAGTTTTTGCAGAAAGAATTTTCTTTTTGGAAATAAAAAAAATTTAGATTTTCTTTACTGCAAAATTGTTTTTGCAAAGTTATATCTAAAAAAATGCTTATCTCATGCATCGGAGGGGGAAGAAATGTTCGTTATTTTCCTATTCTCATTTGAAGATAAAAAAAATTAATAATGACTTATAGATAATAAATTGTGTCCATACCATTGTGATATAGATAATAAAATAAAATTGTGTCCATACAAAATAAGAATTTGCATCCTACAATTTATGATGCATAGTATTCATTTTTGGTTAATTTTTAACACATGAATTGTTGATATTGATATAATCTAGTTTTAACTGACATTAATTCAAATTGGAAGAAGAAATTCTACTGGTATTTATAAAACGTAACTTATTCTGTTTGAAACTTAAATAAAAAAGGAATAAAATTTCTCTCTTGTTGTTTTACTAATGGTCGCTTAATAAAATATTGAAATGTGCCTAGTTATGAAACTTTACCCTGCATAAGTTGTCTATTTATAAGGTGCATCTCTTCAAATTTGGATAACTCTAGTTCGTATTTGATTTAAAGTTTATATCTTGTGTATTATTTAAATCCTGTAAATGTTTCAAAAATTTCATTTTATAATTTTTATTACATTTTTAAGATAATTTTTTCTTTAAAGTTATAAAACATTTTAGAATAAAATTTATCCTAACGAATGTTTTTAACTATTCTTTTTCAAATGTTTTGTAATAATAACTTTGAGAACTATTATTCTGAAGGCATAATAAACAAATGTCTCTCTCACCTGAACTAAAATTGCGTAAACTTATCATTTTTAAGAGCAATACATCAGATCAGTCATTTAATATACAAAATAATTTTTAATGTCTTTTAAATATATGCTTTAAGAATGAATTTTTTTTCATCTTCCAGATTCATATTAATATTTCTTATATTTTCCAGTTTATTTAGAAACAGTGAGTGGTATGGTAACAAAAGCGTTGTAGACTTTTTTACTCAAGCTGGAAGGCAGATTAGAGTTGGAGATATGCTGTCAAGAACAAGGTATCTAAAAATTTAAGCATTTCTGTAATGATTTTAAGTAGCAAGATTTGTGTTCTTTACTCTAACCGAGAACCATCTGTAACATCGTTGTGCATCTTTGAAGTATTATTATTTCTGCAGTTGTGCAGGAATGGAAAAAAAAATAGTGATAAATAAATTAAATTATTTAAATGAAAGCTTTATAATATAAATAATATGTTAACTGTAAACAATTTTGTGTAAAGATTATTATAAAAGCAGATATAACTTTTTTGACTGTTTCATAATTTTAAAACTGTTTATCTGTTACTGTGTTAAAGTTTTCATAATATAATAGCGTAAAAACATAACAAAGTAAAGTTTTTATAATAGCGTAATATTTTAAGATATCTTTTTAATGAAAGAACATTTCTTTTTAATTCTCTTCTTTATTTTGAATAAAAGAATCAAAAATATATTAATAATAAGGAATTACTAAGTAAGTAAATATTGTTAATAAGAGGTAAAAGAAAAATTATTTTACAGATAAAATATACTTAAATTAATTTTATGCTGATCAATTTTTTAACCAAATCTGGATCTCTTTTGTTTGTTAATTAAGGAACCATAGCATTTAATTTTCTGGAAATAAAAATGCCCCCACAACGAGAAACAGCTGGCCAATGTGTCTGACTGCAAAGCCATTCATTGCGGGTTCAAATCCCACTTAAGACATGGATGTTTCTCTCAGTCTTGTCTTCAGTTGTGTGACTGTGACTCACCCTATAATTGGATTTGTGGCAAGGTGGCATGGGTAATGTTACGTGCCTCCTTGACTTAGGTCTGCAGATGCCCATCGGTTAACGTTAATTAAGCAATGCTTTTGGCATCTACTGAGGTCGAGAACGAAAAGTACATTGCCTGCTGTTAGAACAAAAATGATGCAAAACAGTTTTAGGCTGTTATTTTTTTGTTTCATAGAGATATATAAATTATGATTTTGCTTTTGAGTATGCAACTACACATCCTATTCAATTTGCTTTAAGTATTTTACTTTTTTCATTTTTTTAAAAAAAAAGTTTTAATTCTTTATTCTAAATTACCTACAAGTAATTTTTCAAATTTTAAAATATTCTCAAAAGTTTGATAAATTAGATTCCGTAAAATAAAAACTTTCTTTGAAAAAACTATAAGTTTTAAATATTCTCAGAAATTAGAATATTTTTATAAAGCTGATTTTTTGAATTGCCATTGTTGATTTATTGCTTTTGTTTAGTTTATGATGAAATGTATTTATAACAAAGGAATGATATTTAATTAGGGCTCTTTTATCTATAATTTTAGTTTTAATTTCTTCGCAATATTTTGCTGTTTATATTGCATCGTAATTTAATGCTTTCATTAAAACAATTTCTGATTTAGTTATAAAAAAACTACAATTCTAGTTAAACTTTTTTATTTTTAGTGTGAAATCTAGAATGGAAAGTAAAGCGGGTATAAATTTTACTGAGTTTAGCTACCAAGTTTTTCAGTCATATGATTGGCTACATTTGTTTCAAGAGCATAATTGTAAATATCAAGTAAGAAATCAATTTTTTTTCATTTCTTTGAAAAAATTAATAATTTAATTTAAGGACTTCATTTTTATGTTTCAATAAAAATAGTTCAGGTGATTATTTTTATCAAACGGTATGTATTTTATGCTAAATAAATGGAAATAACCTTTGTACAATATATGTATTTTCTGTTTTTTTATTATTTACTGTTCTTTATTCTTTTCTTTTACTTGCTTAGTTTGGTGGCAATGATCAGTTAGGAAACATTACTTCTGGATACAATCTCATATCTGGTTGTCATTATCAACAAGTGTATGGTATACATTCCTAATTTTCTTTTGTTGTGTTTGATTTTTATTATTGCATGGAATAAATAGTGTATGAAATCAGATATTGTAACTTGTACCTATTTTCAGTTTTTGTATTTTTGTTGATGTATCATCATTTTCTGGACTCTAATTTAATATTATATTAATAGTTTTTAAGTTATAAATATTTTTAAATATAATAGTTTTTAAGTTATAAACATTTATATTTAAGTTAAATAGTTTTGAGTGTTATAAACATTTCAAGAGTTTTTCACTTTAATTATGAAGCAATTGAATCAATCCATTTTCAAATTCAAGTTTGTTAGAGTACATTCAATTTATGAACTTTGTGACATTTAACTGTAGATTTAATCCATTTTTGTCTTCCTGTTTTGTTTTTTAAATTTCTGTCTTACCTTATCCTGGCTTCCTGTCATATTTTTAAATATAGTTTTTAGGGATCACTTTTTGACTTGATTTTTCAGTATTTTGATTCTTGAATGTTTAAAAATAAAAATAAGATCTGAGGCAAATGTAGATCTTAATTTTTCTGCAGCCTTTAATTTTTTGCACATTTTAAATTAATTATTGAAGTTTTTTCTGTAATGTATCATTCTTTCAATTTTTTTTTAATATTAAGATCAAGCTTTCAGTTAGATATTCTATCTATTAAATAATATGTTAAATAAGAAAAATAATTATTTGTAATTGTGTATCCTACATGCTATTTTTTGTTTCAATGACACAAAACTATAGAGGTTAGGGAAAATGTTTAACACATGCATACATAATCCATGTGCAAAAATAAATGTAAATGAAAAGCTATGGAACTATGTAGCAGTGTGTTTTTGCAGATTAGCAACTATATGAAACAGTTAAACTGTGAGTATGTGTAGGCTATCCAGATGACTATCTCATGAACAATTTCTAAGTCTCCAATTTCTACTTAAAATATTCATGACATGAAATCAAAGCAACGCTACTTAAGGTTGAGATAACTAATGTGGAACGGTGAAATGGTCATTTTGTCTAAGCGAATCCACCAGCGGCTATAGGCAGGCAGTATTTGTATACAGTATGGGACTCCTAATCCGACAGGACCTAAAATTCGGCACTTAATCCAATCTAATTTTTTTTTTAAATAAATTTTTATTGATAAGACCAAAAAATGAAACATCATTTATATTCTCTTTTTATTTGGAATTTTATTCTGTTGAAGTAAATAACTTTATTTTATCTTTTGAAAATAAAAAAAGCAAGAAAAAAAATAAATATGTGTCAAACAAAACATCTGTTCCTAAAGCAGTTTAAAACAAAGTGAAAAATAAAAACACTTACCTTTCCAATGAACAAAATAAGGAAATGCAAGTTGGGAGAAACTGATCAATCAATCTTGACATCTGTGTTTGTCCCCACATTTCCCTCTCCTGTTTGACCACAAATTGGCTACACTCAGTTGACATTGAAACTACCATGTGGGGTACAAAATGAATTCTATCACTTTTGCATTTTTTTTATTCGATTTATTTATTCTTTATTTTGCAACTTTTTTTTTATTAGTTATTGGGTGTTAATTTTTTTTTTGTTAGTTGTTAGCTTGTTTTTTTTATCGTTATTAGTTGTTTGCTAGTTTTTTATCGTTATTAGTTGTTAGCTTGTTTTTCGTAGTTATTCATTGTTAGTTTCTTAGCATTAATTGTTTTTTTTTTGTACTTCCTTGTTAGCTTATTTTTTTTTCTTTTTCTGTGAGGTGAGCATCTTTCGTTAAAACAAAATGTTATCTAAGAGTAAAAACGAGAACAATGATCTCGCTAGAAACGATTATTTCTTCTTTGGAGGATTCAGATTATTTCTTCTTCAATTATTTCAACTTTGGATTATTTCTCCTTGATTATATTATATAGATTTATTATTTTAATTAATAAAATTTCTTAAGATGGGACAATTTTAAATTCATCCCTGATAATCTACGATCAAAACATGAATTTCTGAAATTAACTGTATAATTGAATTATAATATATGTTCGTCATATTGGAATTTCCTAAAGAGATCCGAAATTTGGCAAATTCCGAAATATGGAATTTCGTTGGTCCCGTGAGAGCCGGATTTGGGGTCCTGTACTGTATATAGTATGCCTTTTGAGTTGTGCAAAGAAGCAGAAAACTACATAATTTATAATTGTTTGCATCATTGCATAATTTTTATTTTTTGTCTAAATGTCTTCATTTGCCTGATAAATGTGTACTTAGTCTTTTTCTCATGCGACTTCAGCTTTTTCAATTTTAAGACAATTCCTCCTACCCTGACCATCCCTTCTTTTCACAACTAGCATTTGATTTTAAATCTTAAACAAATGGTTCAACCATATTTCAGCTTCTGTACCAGCTTCACTTTAATAAATTTTAGCAATTACTTTGATGTTGAAAAATAAAAAATAAATAGAAGGTAGTAAAAATTTTACAATAACAATAAATTTTTTTTATTAAAACAGGATAAGAAATGAAATATTTTTTTTAAAAAATGAGTTTTATTGTTTTATTTATTTTTTAGGCCATTTGCAATCAGTCTGAATACTTTTAACATGTTATCAGACCCTTGTCGCATAATTTTTAAAATATTTTTGCATAAATTTCTTGTTCTCTCTCTATATATATATATATGTATGCATGTATGCTTTTTACGCATCAATAAATAGTTTTAAAATTTTCGAGTTTTATTTAAGCTTTAAATTTCAAAATAAATGGCAGACTTTTGTATTACTTGTTAGGAATATAAGCCAGATGTTTATTTAGTTATTAAATTTAGATATCAATTTATGTTTCTTTTTAATTGGTTTTAGTTTTGATAAGTTTAGATATTTTTAGATAGTTATATTATTGGTTTGTTTAAATTAGGAGCATTGCTGCCACTTATCCAATCTGAGACTGGCGACAAATTTGGAAAAAGTGCAGGGAATGCTGTTTGTTTATCATCTCATCGCACTTCTCCTTTTGACTTCTATCAGGTATTTAATTTAATATTCATGTTTTACAGCTAGGGAGGGAACAACGCAATAGAAGCAGATAAAAAAGAAAGATTCTTCAATGATTGCAATGAATTTAACTTAATACATTTCTTTTTAATCTTATTATACACATTTTAATCTTCACACATTGTACATTGTACACATTTTAATCTTCATTTTATTATATTACAAATAGAAAAAGTAAAAAAAAAGTAGAGATTATACAATAGAATGCTTATAAATTATTTTTTAAATTATCATAACTTGCTGTAAGTTAAAAAAAATCATCGTTTGTTTTGATTTTTTAAAACTGCATGAATGTAGTTTCTATTGCTCGTAGGATTTTTTAAAAAATAAATTTTTTCGGGAAATGGCTGTGTCTTTAAAAAAAAAATTAAGAAAAGACAAAATAATTAACACTTTCATGGATTACTTAAAACCTGTCTAATCAATTATAAAATCCCTATATGTACATTGTGTCAAAATTTAAATGAAACTTATTAAAAAAATTTCTAATTAGATTTACAGTAAGTACGAGAAACAGTTTTGAGCAAATTGCGAATAAGTTTTTGTGATCAATAATCCATATAAGTATATGAAATTTTCAAACTAACTGCAATGCATCAACACCAGGTCCATAACATGTTTCTTCATCATTTTCGGTTGTCTTAAGTGCTAGTTTAGCTCTTTTTCTTGCAAATTTACCCTCATGTGACACCTCATAAATTTTTAAAGTAGCAGCAGAAATTCTGCAGTCATTTTCATTTTGAGCATGTTCTTTGGCTGCTGGACCTACACTCATTTCTAGTTGTTTCAAAACTACCAATAATCCTTTGCAACCTTCATTTAAAATTATTACAGTTGTACTAGTCAAAATTTTAACTATTTATATTCGAATTGCTATTAATTCTTTTTTTAACAATAATTTAAACAAATTATTGCTATAAAATAGTTAAAATGATAGTATTAAGGATAGGAGTGAGCAAATTCATTAATCAACTTAGAGCGCAATTTCGCTTGTTCATGCATGTCACAGCGCATCTCAAGATGAACGTCGTGTTCGGCAAATTATTATGTAATTTTTATATTTTTTTGAAAACCAGTTCAATATTTTGGTACAATAATCTTAATTTTATAAACTTGAAAAATGCATCTAATTTTTTTTTTCTTCAATTATCTTCAATTATTTATTTATTAATTTTTTTTTATTTTTTTATTTATTATTTTTTTTTCTTCAATTATCGCGAGTCCCGCAGTGGACTGATCGTTAAGACACGGTTCCCAGCAGATCACCGAAGTCAAGCATCACTGACTACGGTCAGTGTGCGGGTGGGTGACCACTTGGATCAGTCTGCGTAGGGACCGAGGGTGTGCGGTATTGGTCCTCGTTAAACTGTGCTACCGTAAAGTGCTCGACTTCGCGCGCAGGTCGTCGGGCTACCGAAGCGGGGGTGCCATCCCCTCCGCAGAGGATCAAAATTGTGATGGCATGTCTTCGGATCATCCTTCGGGATGTTTCCCAGACCGTCGCCAATAGCCCAATGTGCAGCTCTAGTGCGACGTAAATTAACAACAACAACAACTTCAATTATCGCAAACTTTACTGTGTTGTTCTCCCTTAATTTGTTTTAATAAATTTCAATGGAGGAGCTATAAGCACCTCATATTTGCTAATCTGATTTAAGTAAACATCTAATCTTATCCTATTGTAAAGACTGATGTATCGTACACAATAATAATCATACTGAATAACTTTTGATCTGATGATAGGCTCTTCACGTACTAGTACTCAATCTTAATGTCTTGAGGGGGTCACCCCCTTGAATTGAATGTAAATGAATTATTTTTCATATATTTCTGTTATAATTTTTTATATTACACTTCGAAACATATGTATTTTGCTATTTTGTTTCAGTTTTTTATGAGGCTTCCCGATACGGAAATAAATTACTATCTAAAGCTGTTCACTTTTCTAGAGTTAGAAGAAATTGAAAATATTTATCAGAAACATATTGTGAGTATTTATGTAGTTTACTTTGTTATTTATTTAATGTTATGCATATTTTTCCCCATGAAGCTTATTTTTATGAATTTTTGGAGTAATCTTCGAAGAAAATTCTACACACTGAAATATTTTAGTAGAAAAAAATCTAATACATTCACATGTTTTTCTTTCTTTCTTTTTTTTTAAACTTAAACATTAAAGTTTATATTTTAGGAATATTTTTATCTGCATTGATTTTTTTTCTATCTTAAATGTTTTCTTTTTAAAAAAATTTTTTTTTCAAATGAGTTTTTATTAATTAAATTTTACATTTAAAATTTACTTCGTATTAGTAAAATAGAGTACTTATTAATAAAAATTTTCTTTAAAGGATACAGGAAATCACACTGCTGTACACAGGTAAATTCAGTATTAGGATTTCTTAATTATGAACTGATATGTGTATACCAGTTATTAAAATTCTCTGCATTCAAATTTGATGTGTAAAGACAAAGTATTTAAAAACTAAAATCATATCTAGTTAAACTGGTCAAGCTTTAAAATGAATCATAACTTTAGAAAAAGATGTAATCATCTTGAATATTTATCCGTGATCAGTATTAATGCTTTTTAACTAGTTATGTGTGTTTGACGAGTATACACATTAGAGCAAATCTCTATTGTATAAGTATGACGTATATACTCCTTGTGTAAAGTAAAAAAATTAGTATTGAATATCAAAATTTTAGATTCCAATAAAATATAATTAAAAAGAATATTATTTGGTAGTATATTTTCTTTATATTGCCAATAGGACTGCTAAATATTTTATATTACAGAGTGGTGGGGATCTCTCGTCCTGAAATCTACTGTTTTTAATTGTAAACTATTCATCACTCTTTTCTTTGTCTTGGGTTAGAAAAAATAGTCCACTATATATATGTTATAATTGTTAAAAAAGAATCTTAGTTGTAAGTTTTTAGTAACATTCATAATGGGACCATTTGCTCTGCATTGAACGTTTGTATACATCATTGCTTGATTATAATTCCACATCCTGCAGCAGAATTCTAAATTTAAAGTATGTGTTTAGCTGGTTTAAGAAAAAAAAACATGGTGTATTAGTCATTAAAAGGAAATAGTGGCTGCTACTATTTATTGCAATTTGTCCCCATACAAGCAAAATAAGCTGAAAGAAGTTCTAAAATAGCTAAATAAAACCTGTATAAATTAAAAAGAAGACTAGCTAGCTAGTAATTTTTAAAGGGAGAAAAATGAATGAGCTCATCAATTCAAATTACCACTTGGGAATAGTTTTGGCAATCTAATGCAATAAAGAGTTTACTAACAAAATAAACAAAAAGTACACTGTAAACATTTTCCATGTGTACTGGCAAACTTACCGAAAATTCCATATGTTCCTTAGCAGTCAGAGAAAGGATTCCATTTTCTCCATGTGTAGAAAATTATTTAAATGTAGTTTTTTTATTCTTTTTAATGAATTAATAATTTTTCTTTCTTTTTATTTATTTATTTCTTTAGCACCTATTTACACCATTTTATTATTTACTTTGAATTTTAAAGGTTTAAGTATTTTTAAAATGTGAATTTTAAAAATACAGTTGAACCCCGCTATAGTGAACCGTCGACGGACTCAGTAATGTGTCCACTATAACCGATGGTTCACTATATCCAAATTTTTTGAAGAATATTTTTTGCATAAGACAGTTGAATGATTGAAAATTGGCTTTNTGAATTTTAAAAATACAGTTGAACATTAAAAATATAGAATACATTAAAAATATTGAATACATTAAAAATATAGTGAACCGTCGACGAACTCAGTAATGTGTCCACTATAACCGATGGTTCACTATATCCAAATTTTTTGAAGAATATTTTTTGCTTAAGACAGTTGAATGATTGAAAATTGGGTTTGCAATTTTACATAAGTCATTTAAAAAATTATTAACTAATTAACAGATATTAAAGCAAAAATTGATGAAAAAAGTACTTAAGGTTTTTAAAATTTTTTAAAGTACCTTGGTTTTTGAGATTTACCTATGACAGTTAGTTTTCGCTTTTCCGAGCCATTCTTGTTAGCACAAACAAGAACTGTTATTCTCACTTTGGAGAGTTTCCCAGTAGTGCTTTTTTCTCCTTTAAATTTTAACATCTGATTGGGAATCAATTTGTAAAATAGTCCATCTTCATCAGCATTAGAAATGTCTTTCTCTTCATAATTCTGTATAATACTGGGCCACACTTCAGTTTTCCACTTTTCCACATCCATTGCATTCGCTTCTTCTTCAATAATCTTTCCTGAAGAAATCATATTCTGATTTTTGAATCTATCCAGCCATCCATTGGGGCACGCAAAATCCCTTTCCTCTAATTTTTCAGCAAACTCATTCGCTTTAATTTGAAGCATAGGTCCGGTCACAGGAAGAATACTATCCCGCTGAGTGGTGAACCATTTTAACAAAGCTTCTCCTACGTTTTCTCTTTCAGCTCCAGGCAGGTTTTTCGATGAAACCATATTTTTGTTGTATGCGGCAAGAATTGGACTTCGATTTTTCAAAATGTTTGAAACTATAGATTTTGACAAGGAAACTTCCTTACACAGTGCCGATTGATTGGTTCCATCTTTGTCCTCTATCAAAACGCTTTTCTCTTTAGAGAATTTGCCATTTTCACTGTTTTTGAAATAAAAATCTTGTCTCAAATAGATAAATTGTTCCCCTTCTTGATTGTCAAGGGGTGATTTTGAAAAGAATATGGTTTGAACAGATAAGAAAATTCCAAAATTTCAGCAGGTGGCCAAGTTAACTAGTTGTAGAGCAAGCTTGGGGAAAAGAGACAAAGCGAGGCTTGTCAGGGAAGGGGGAGTATAAGATTCTGTTTGACATTTATTACAGTATAGTTAAAAGTGATAAGCATAAAGAAGTGAAATATGACGCATTTTATAGGAATGCATTCATTTTCAGTCCCAGCACCTACAAGTTTAAATATGGAGGACTAAAAAAGATATTTCAAGAAATGAAATTTGAGTCCACTATAACAGAGTTTCCAAGTTCTAAGCTGTTCACTATAAGCGTTAAAAATAACATTATTTAAATAGGAGTATGGAGCGTGACCGCTAAAAAAGTTGACTACATTCGAGTGTTCACTATATCCCAGGTTCACTATACTAAACTGTACTAAAAACTTAAAATTTTCTTAACGTAGTTCCAGGGGTCTGTCTAGGTTTTTCTGAAAAGTACCTATTTTGTGAAAATTTAGACATAATTTGTGAAAAATTAAAAATTATATTTAAAAATCAACACAAAAACATGGTAAAAATATAGATTTATCGTTTCTTTAGGGATGCAAAAATAAAATTTTAAGAAAAAGAATTTTGTGAAACTACCGTTTTTTCTAAAGTTGAATTTGTGAAACTACCGTTCCACCTAACATTGAATTTGTGAAGGTACCGTTAAACGGTAGTAAATTCGGCCTGGAAAGACCCCTGATTTCAATGAACAAATTAAACAAAAAATATCCAGAAAAGTTATTTGCTTAATTTATAGTATAAAATATAATTCAATTCCTTTTTTATGTGTTTTTGTTCTGATGTCCTTAAGTGCACTGGGTGGCAATTTTTTGGATAATTTTAATCCTGTCACTAGTTTAAATTGATGTTTTGATCTAAACTTTATCATAGATTTAGTTTCTATTGTGTTTTGTAAAGAATTTTAATGTTGAAAAATAGATTGTGCTTTAATTGTTATGTTTTTAGATACAGTTTTTTAGTTCTGACTAGACAGATAACCATAGTTTAAAATTGCAACCATCTGATCTATGTATTTGGTTTACTATTGCATTTGAGGTAGAATAATTTAGTTAAAAGCCAAAAAGTCATTCAAGTATGCCAAAAATTGCTATATTTTTGAGAAAAAAAACTGTATTTCATTAAAAAGGGGATTTTATAAGGCCTAGAGAGGTGCTTAAAAACTATTTCAGTTTTCTTTTTCACAAGTTGTTTCGAAACTTTTATTGGTTATGTATTGTTTTTGAGTTTGTGTTTACTTTATCATTATGTTCTATATGAAGCTACTTTTTTCAGAAAGTGTTTTAAAATTAAATTTTATTTTTAAATATTTATATATTTCTGACTCTTATAAATATCAATTATTTCTTCTAGAATCATCCTGATTCTCAGAGTGCACAGAAACGTTTGGCTGAAGAAGCGACATTGCTTGTACATGGAGGTGAATCATTTATAACTTTGTAATTTTAATACTGAATGTACTGTGTGATAAAAGCAAATATTACACACACACACAAAAAAAAATTCCTGCAAGTAACAATCAGATTTTTTTTCTACTAAGGCAGTATCTTGATTGTTACACAAAATTTTATTCTGTTGATTAAGCTTTAGTTTAATATCAGATTAAAAAATATGCTTTTTGTAATAAATATATCTTCTTTCAAATATTAGGGGCAGGGTCGGGTTTTTGACGTCAAAAAGTGGTTTTTGACATGACAAGGGTATAATACTGGTTTAAACCGTCAAAAACCCGTCAAAAATGTCAAAAACTGAAGTTTGCCAAGAAAATATATAAACTTCAAAACTACCAACAGTTGCCATGCATTATATTGAAATTTAATTATACTATAGGTAATCAGCAGGTTTTAAAATATTTTTTAATTAAAATTAAGGTAAAATAACAGATTTAAAATCTCAGAAATTTATATTCAAATGCATGTGCAGAAAAATTTTGCACAAAAATTTTTTAAATATTTATATTTTAAAAAAAAAAATTTTTTTTTTGATACTTAAGAAAATTAAAAGTTTATTACTATGCATTTTTGACATATAAGGAACATATAACTAATATTTATAAGGAACTTACAAGTTATGTTGTATAAATACAAACTTGATATAAGATACAAGTGTATAAAAAATTTTTTTTAATGTTATACCGAATATCTTTATTATCCAGTATGTTAATTTGAATTTAAAAGTAGTTATATTTGTGAATAATGATAAATATAATTCATATTGTTTATTATATTTATTTATAATTATTACACTTATCATTTTAAAACAATTTTTATCTCTTAATTTTTTTTTCTCCACTTGTATTAAGAATACAAATAATGCATATCTTGAAAGCAAGAAGTAATTATTCAACAGCTGAATATTTAGATATTCAACAAAACTATATAGTATTCAGCAAAATGAAATTCACAAGTATTTGGATAAACTAAATTTTCAGCATAGTAAATGAATAGGCTGAATATACTGTAAATCGACACTAACTACTCTGTGTATTTAACAGAAAGCACTTAAATTTGTATTGTCTTATGTTAAAAAGATTATTAAGAAGATTTAAAAGAATATTAAAAAGATTTTTCTTTAAAAGATGTCTAATGTACAAAACTGCTAATGTTTATCTTTAAAAATGTCTAATTTTTAGTATAATCTATACTATACACTAAATTTGGTTATAAATAAATTTCTTAATAATATCACTGCAGATTTTCAATAACACATGAAAATGAATACATAATATTACAAAAGATGTGAGTTTTCAAAAGTACAAGATTTTGGTTACTATTCAAAATATAAGTGTTTCTTCAAAATTTTAAATTTATTTTTTCTAGAACATATTTAGAAACACTATCCTTTATGTGAAATTTAATTTTATGCATTAATTAAATTTCACATATAAATATAGGTTTTTGACATTTTCGACATTTTTGACAGTGAGGTTTTTGACGTGACGGTTTAAACCATGGTTTAAACTGTCAAAAACTGTCACATGTCAAAAACCTGCCAACCCTGATTAGGGGTACTAGTTTTTTTTAATATTTTTTTATATGCTACTGACTTTTGTTAGTTTTAGAAATTGACGTTGATACTATGACAATTATACCTTTTAAAGGATTGCCTATGTTATATTATATAACTTATCAATTTTTTAATACAAATTGAAGAGGGTTTATTTCAAGCTATGCTATTTTGTTTAACATGAAAGGAAATGGCATGTTTTCAATTCATGTTCTATGTGCAAATAATTAGTTACAGAATATAACACTAATTAACGTTTATTTGTCTAGGGTTGAAGGAAAAATGTTAAATACTAAAAAATTGCCACTCTGCCAATTATTTTCTACTGTGCACTTTTCAAAATGTATAAAAAAATATGAATTGCTACTTTAAACATGTCTATCAGGGAAAACAGAGATCACATACTGGTAATTTAGGTGTGAAAAATTGCTTACTTAACTAGAATTCGTGTGTTCTTTTTTTTTTTTTTTGTACAAAATAAATTTTTTCCCACCAAGTTTAAAAAAACTTGCTGCAGGATGAGACTGAAAAAACTGATCGCTTTCTTTATTTGCTAATCATTCAGTTCACAGAGGTTCCATCTCTCCTTTGAATAGTTTATTCCAGTAAACATGAGCAGGTTGTAATAAAGGAGTCAAATTGCTTGAAATGACAGCAAAATCATCTGTTTCTTTTTAAATGAGGTTTGGCACCATCCAGTACAAAAAAAAGGATCTGGATTTAAAAAAGGAATGCAGGCATTCACCCCAAACTTTCTGCTTATAAATATTAATGATATCACTGTTCATAAGGCCTTTCATAGTTGCATTTACCATTACCTTCTTTGGAAATTCACCTTCAAGAATGTTCTTTAATCCTTTAAAAATAATCAGGCCGGATTTGCACACCATTTGCTTCAGCTTTCAAAACTATAGTGTAGCACAATTTTTATTTTTTTGTTTTACAGAATACAACTTTAATACCTTTAAAGTAAAAAGTTCTGTGTGGGTTGGTCAAACTATAAAGGTGCCCCCCCATATTACCTATGTAATTAATATCCATGTCTTTGGATGTTTGATCAAAGAAAATATTGCACAATTTCCTCACATTTTATAGAATCTTTTGACCAACACTTGTCACAGATCTAGAAACAATATTATGTTGGTTTAAAAATCTTTCCAAACAACCATTTGTGTTTTAAAATATTCTTTAATGTCACTGCATTTATTTCATCTCTGCAAACTTTTCAAAATTTATTCTGTTCGCATTTTTTTTCTTTAACCATTAAGAAACCTCAGTACTTTTCTCTCTTCTTGAATCCAGTCAACCATAATGTTTTCAATTTCAGGTATCTTTACTCAGTTTTTTTTTTTTGGGACTGCAATTTTTTTTCCCACTTCAATAGATCTTTCTGTGGAACACTAAAATTTTTTTTATCCAGTCTTGTACACAAAACATTGGTGAATATAAGTATTTTGCTGTTGTACTTAACAGTGCAAATCAGCTCATTAAGTTAGTTTAAAGTTTCCAGCTTAAAAACAAATTTCTAGCATCAAAATCTTTTGGGCTTTATAGCTGCCATTTTTAGCATTTTCATGGACATGTTTTAAGAAAGCATTTATGAATAAATAAAAAATAGAAATTTCACTATTTTGGTAAAATTCAAAGAGGAAATGTTGTTTAGTTATTCTTAACAAGAGAGGGTCAGCTGAAAAAAGAAAACAGGGTTGTATTTTCCTTCCCCTCCTCAAAGTGAATTTATGACCTTGAGGAAGAAAAGAAAAAAAAAATACCATTTCTCTGATCTTTTTTTTCCCTATTGGGATTTGTTTTGTTATTTTAACTGAACAGGTAACTTTTTTGTTGTTGAAAAATGTACCCCAAATTATCCAGCATATTGAAAAATTCAAATTTCCGGGCATTCCAATCAACCTTATTTATTTCTGGTGTTCTCGCTGATGTGAGGTAATGTAGTAAGTTTCATTAATTTACCCATCTTTAAACTTTCTTATCAATAAGGGGAAAAGCATTTATTTAGATTTTGTTGTTTACATTCTTTTAAGATTTTTTTATGATATAGATCATATGAGTTACACTCCTTCTACTACCTTTATCAATTAAACCCCAATTGTATTTAGTTGCAAAGTTTTATTTTAATGATTTATCATAAGTTATTAAGTTTTTTTTTAATGAAAAATTAGTGCTTGAGCTTTTATCTATCATAATCAATCGAAATTAATATGCTATATCTATTTTTTTTTAGGAGAAGGCCTTGAGTTTGCCAAAAATGCTACAAATATATTATTTCATTCTGATATAACTGCCTTATGTCAATTAAAAGCCGAAGAAGTTAACCAAGTTTTTCCCCAATCTTCAGTGTCTAAAATTCTCTTTGAGCCTGGTACTACTATATATGATTTAACAATGAAAATTGGCTGTTTTTTAAAGAAAGGTAAGATTTTTTTTTTCAATAGCTAGCATTCAACTGTTGAATATTAGGTTAACTGCTAAAATTAAGTATAAAATATTAAGCAAAGTTATAAAATATTAAGCAAAATTAAGTATAAAATCACCATGTTTGCTTACTTCATCGAAGCTTAACAGAAATTGTGGTCTGTTTTTTTGAAAAACCAGCATTTTTAATCGCATGGGGGACACTATTTTAATATACTATTTTCCTTTTATATTTAAAGGGAGCTTCTGGAAACATTGTTTATAAAAATTGAAGTTGAATAAAGAAATTTAAGTTCTGCTGCTTTTTTTAATTATTATTATTAAAGTTCATTCTTTATCTATATACATTGGAGTGGTTTTAAGTGATCCCAAATAGGTAACATTGAAAATAAAATTCACAAAATTCACAGTAACGCCAATAATCGAAGAAAACAAGTTGAAAAAAACTAAATTTATTTCTTCGAATTCTTAAACTAATAATTTTTAATCTCTTATAGAAGGATACATTTTTTTAATGATATTATTTAAATTGCTAATTTTGAAATTTTTACTATAATTATTAATTCCTTATTTAAAAATTGAACATAGAATTTTTTTTACAGAAGATTACATAATTGTTGTTAGCTTTGTCTATGACGGTTACTAAGTTTCTAAATACAAGATTAGTTTTAAAAAAATTAGTTGAATTGTTATAGCTATTTATAATTCTCTTATTATCAAGAATTAAGTTCATAAGGCAATGATAAACAGGCCATTTCCATTTTGTAAATATACTTAAACATAAAGAGAATCAATTGGGAATCTTTAGACAAAAGCTCTTGAGATAATTTAAAAATCATTCTAGAATTTTAATTTTATTCTACATTAATATCTAAGTTACTAATAGTTTAATAATAAGAGGTCTAAATTTTGTGCCCTTTAACATTAAATTTTCTATAATATTTAAATTACCAGTGATGATATGTTTAGGATATTTATCAACCAATTCAAAATATTTCTCTTGACACTGACTTAAAAACTTAATTTTTCTTAGAATTTTTTTCTTCTTTCGTTCATTGTATTTGTGTAGATTTCTTCCTATATTCAACTTACCTAACATCTGAAAAATGAAAATCTGTATTAACGATCATTTTTAAAGCAATGTTTTAGTTTACCCTTATTTTTGAGACTTTTTATTTAAAAATTATTGATTGCATGAGTTATTATTTGCGGTAAAATTTTATTTTTTCCTCAAGAGGATGCAAATCGAATAATCAAGGGTGGAGGAGTATATCTGAATTTTGAAAGAGTTACTTCTCCTGATTATATAATAGTTCCAGATTTGCACATTCTGTCGAATGGAATATCTTTAATAAGAATAGGTAAGTAAGTTGTATAATAAGTCTTGATTTTCTTTTTTATTTAGTGTAATTACTATATGTTCTATTTTTGTCTATATATGTTTTAGGAAAGAAGAATTATTATGTTGTATGCTGGAAATAGGTATGCCTATGGAATTACAAATGGAAGTTGTTTGTATGTATTAAGTTATTGAATAATAAATTTAAATACAACTAACAGTTTTTTTAATACTATTTTAAAGTTATTTTTTTACATATATTTTTATCTATTTTTTCTATTCATGAGGCAGAGTAAAAATTTAAAACACATTTACTCCTAATATTTCACAAAACATTGTTTAATAAAATAAATACAATATTTCTCAAATAAATTGAAAGGAGGCATACACACATCATTTGATTCCTTCGCATTGATACTTGTAGAATGCTGATGTTTATTATATGTTTTTATGAATTAGGAGGTTGTAATAAAAAATCATTCAGTACACTTTTTTTTTATTATAAATTTGTTAAAACAGTTGAAAAGTTATCAAAAATTTTATTGAGGTAGATCAATTGAAATTCTTCGAGACTATGCTTTTGATCAAAATGTCATGATCTCTTTAGCTCAAATAAAAAATAAAAAAAAACAAATAAATATAGTAACGTAATGAATGTTTTTAAATTTTCAATTAGTATTTTTTAAAAAATATTAATAACAGTAAAATTGTTTTAAGTTTATCTTAAATTCCATTTTCCTCACTTTTTGCCCAACTCTCTCTTGGTATTTAAAAGTTTCTTTGTCCAGAATAAAATCCAGAAGTTTTATACAGATAATTGTTTTTATAAATATGTACAAACATAAACAAAAGATTGCTTTCTTTCCATTTGTATGAATTTCACACCTTTCAATGACAAAATGCAGATATACAGTTTTATACAGATAATTGCTTTTATGAATATGTACGAATTTCACACCTTTCAATGACAATATGCTGATATACAGTTTAATACAGATAATTGTTTTGCAAAATGCAGCTTTATACAGATAATTGTTTTTATGAATATGTACAAACATAAACAAAATATTGCTTTCTTTCCATTTGTATGAATTTCCCACCTTTCAATGACAAAATGCAGATTTTTTTCATTATTTGATAAGAACTAAGTGCTGAAAATTTTTGTGGAATAGTGCCAGTTGCTTTTGTGATAGTGCAGTTGTTATATTCTGATCAATTTATCATTTTGGGAAAACAAGTTGCTTGAAATTTTTTCTTGAGATGTGATGAATGATCTATTAAAGACTGTTTTGCACATTGATTAAACAGTTGAATATACGATGACCTACTTCACATCTGATTGTTTTTCAAATAAGAACCTGCTGCTTGTAACGGTAATGCTTTTTCTGAATATAATCAGCTCTTTAGTGGGAAAAAATGCAGTTTTGTTTTTAATTTATAAACAACTGTCAATCCACTTATTTATTTTTTTAAAAATCATGGCAGTGGATTCGGTTGTTTAATTCTTCAACTCCAGAATTTTCTGAGAGGTGACTGACTAGTGCACACTGAATCTGTCGGGGTCACAGAGTCCTCCAAGTTCCTGTAGCAAATTAATACCTCTAGGGGTACTGGATCGGAGATTGATTGTGCTCTGGTTCAGGTAAAAATTACGATCTGTGGATGGTCTGCAAATTTTTCCTCCATGTAAAATGGATTACGAGGTATGTGTGTCGCAGAAGTCGAATTCTTTGCCATAGATGGCGCCATATAAAAGCAATAAGCACGCCCCTCTGCCTTAAAATAGGCTTGTTAGTATTGACAAAAAGTGGCTTAAGACAACAACAAAGTAAATGAACAATATTTTAATTTTTAAATACTTTTATTGCTGAGTTTCACTTTTAATGTACACATCTAAATGAAATATACAAAACAATTTACAAAATCACTTTTGTACTTGTCAACAAATTCAAAGTTTCACTTATAAAATTTGTTCCTTTGATGAAAAAACGTAACATAGTAAGACTGAAATTCATAAATAATTAAAATAGTTGACAATTAACAATATATTTACACACATGAGTAATAAGCAAATATTTGACACCAGGAAAATTACTTAGATGTAAAGATATGTTTATAAAAAGAAAAAAATCATGAAAAGTTAGTAAATCAAGTATCTCAGCGAGATCTCCAACTCTGAGGCCAAAGTTTCATCACAAAACAACGTATAAAACGATATATTTTTCTAGGAAGTATACAAACCTGAAAGTCTGACATAAAACGACCCCAATGCCTTAAATAATCTGTAAACAAGTAGTTAAGGCATATTTAATTATGATCTGATTATGCATAGTAAAGCACTGTTTAAATGTTTCTCATCTAAAAGTTTATTGCACTTGTCATTTTAATATGGCTCTAATTCATTTTTAGTTATGTAGTTTAATGCAAAGTACATTCATTTACAAGAAATAAAATTTTGATAATGCATGATTCATTGTCTAGCAAGGCACTTTTTAATTATTTTTTATTTTATTGATACTTAATTTAAAAGAAAGAGGTCATACGAAATCAATATTTTACAAATTTTTTAATTGCTCTGGCGGTGTTAAAAAGTTAATGTCTTTTATTTTTAGTATCTTTTATGTGTGACACACAGATATTAAATTGTGCAGTATAGTAACCATTCCTTTTCTTACTCCCTGTCATTCAAAAATCTTCCCAATCAGTTTTAGAAATAATGAAAAAAAATAATTACTTGACTTCAACAGGTTTCATGTACCCCCTCAAAAAAAAGAAAAAGGTAAATTACTCTGAATAATTTTTGATTTAATAATGAACGGATCTTTGTGTAATAGGACTCAATCTTAATGGTTCGAGGGGATACCTTCAAATAAGCTAATTAATTGGTGTAGACAATATTTTAAGTTACAAAATTAGGCACAAAAACGTGAATTCTCTGAATAAACATACCTCTTTTTCAAACTGTAGGAAAGAATTTTGTCACGTAATCCGGTAACAACTGCACTAATGTTATCTTTCTTGTTGCACATGCCTACATTATGTTGAATTATTAAGATTCTCATGGAATGTAGCTAATAGAAATCACTGTAATCGAATAACAAGAAAAAAAAATTTCTTCAAAAGAAGATTTGTTCGGTAGAAAAAAGTCTTTACCAAAACAAAAAATTTCACGCCGAATTAACGATTTTATTGCATTTGGCGAGGTGGCGAACGCCTAGCACAGGTCTGGTTTTCAGACCTTCAAAATTTAGTAGCCACAATCTGGTAAATATGACTCTGGTAAATATGGTTAGGAGAGTGGTCTAAAAAATTGAACCCCTTAATGTTAATTTTTCTTTTTGCGTATTTTGCCATAAGTTAAATTTTTGCATAGAATGAATTTTAAAATTCATTTATTCATAGATAATTCCATTAAAAAAATACTTTTTCATAATTATTTACTTTAATAATAGTCGTAAAAATTTCAAACTGTAAGGTATACCAAATTTGAACGAAATCGATCGAATAGTACCTCAGAAAACGAATTATAGATATAAAACTGCATTAAAATTCTCGATTTCTCAAGAACTATTTGACCATTTCATTCAAACTTTCTATTTTGCTTTATAAAATTAAATTTTTTAAAATGACGAAAAATGTGTATACCTTACAATACAATTCAAAATTTTCATGACTATTATTAAATAAAATAATAAAAAAATTTTTTTTTTGCATGGAATTATCTGTAAGTAAATTTTAAAATTTTGGGCAAAAGTGTTTAGATTTACTTAAAAAAAATTTCCAAATATTGCGAACTATGCAAAAAGTAAAATTAATGTTAAGTGGTCGATGCTAACTTTGGACCAAACTATTGAAACCATATATTCCAAATTGAGTTTACCCCCTTTATTTTGAGGGTCAAAAATCCAAATCAGTAAAAAACAGATGTTTATTCTGAGAAAGAACGTTTTACTGTCTGAATTCGTAATTTAAAGTATTGTCCATACCAATAAATTATCATATTTAAGGTCACCCTCTCGAAACTTGAAAATTCAATTATTAGATCAAAAGTTATTCAAATTTATTATAATTTTTTTGCATGTACATGGCAATAAAACTTTTTAATAAAAAATAGGAAATATTAAATTTTGCAGAAGCAAAATTTCACTAGGCACTAGGCTTAATAAGTAGTTATTATAATACTCAAATATATCAATTACATATAAAAGCAATACTTAGTTCAAAAAACTTAAGAAACACAATGTAAAATTTTTTTAATAGAGTTATATAGCCAACACCATATATCTTTGAAGAAAAAAAAACTAACCCTGATTAAAAGCCAAAAAAAATAAAAATAATAAAAATAACTGATATCTTATATTAGGTTAACATGAAGTTCAATTTTTAAAAATTATCAGCTTATAGTATAATTCAATTCAGTAGTACTACTATTTTATAAACGTCATACTAGAGCTGCACAATGGGCTATTGGTAAAGAGCTGGGAAACATTTCTGAGCAGGATCTAAAGAAATGCTATTACAATTTTGATCCTCTGCAGAGGGAATGGTGTCTCCGCTTTGATAATCTTCTGCTTGCGAAGTTGTGCACTTTGATGAAAACCAATACTGTATACCCTCTGCCCCTTCGCTGGGTGATCAAAGTTGCACACTGACCCCTACCAGAGATGTGTGATTTCGGTATTCTACTGGAAACAGTGTCTTTACAATCAGTCGACTGTGGGACATTATTCAATTCAGTTTTGCGTATTAATACAATTGAATTACAAATTTGTTTATATTTAAGAAATTTTTTTAAATAAGCTATTGTTAAACAAAGAGTGTTTATACCAAATTAATATTTTAATAAATTGAACAATGTTGAAGCAGAAATTTAAGAAGAAATAATTAAAAAATTTATTGTCCAGATCTGTTGTAAGATTTTTCAGGTTTTGGCTAAAAATAGCATTATTTTTTGATGATACTTTGACCTTTTATCCCCCCCTAAACCGAAATTCCTGAATTCTAAATTTTCTAGACTCCCATGAAATCCTGTTTTAATGATAGTAGTAGTACTAAGAACAATTTGCAAATCTCAAAGTTTTTTAAATATATAAAATGTAAACAAATGACATTGATTTTAAAACCATCTCTATACTCTCAATAGGATCGTTAGTTATGACATTTCCACAATGATTTTTTTTGTTGGTTTCTTAAACACATAAACCATGCTTTACTGTAAATATATGTAAAGACTGGAGGGGAAAAAAACAGATCCCTAAAAAAAATTTTTAAGACCAGGCTTTAGGAACTAGCTAATTAATAGGCTAACTAATCAGTGGAAAATTTTTTGGTAATAAAATTAAACGCAAGTACATACCTTTTGGAAATAAATATAATTTTTTAAATAAAATATTTTGTATTGTTAATTTAATAAGGATAAAACAATTTAAACATAAAGGCTTACTAATGTTTTTATCATTTTAAAAGAGAAATGAAAATTTAAAAATTTGCCATTATTTTTGGTATTAAAAAGCTATTTGTTCAATTTTTAATACTGATTAAAAACTTGTACGTCTTATAATTCAAAATATTTTATAGCATAATGTTATCTTTGGATAAAGAGTTTTGTTTTCTAGTTCCAGCGATATGATAAAATAAGCAAACATAAGCATTAAGGGCAATCTTGTATAGCAACAGACATTTCCGTATAGATACTATTAACATTTTCTCATATTTTGTATAAATATAGACTATTGCTCAACACTATGAACTTTATATTAAACAAAGTATAGCTGTATTAGTCATGCCTACAGAAATTCTGGCGCCTGACACTAACGCTTGTTGGCACTTGTTTATCATATTTTTTTTTTAAAGTGGAAGCTTGTAGAATTTTTCACTAGCAATCATTTATTTTTTAAAAAAAACAACAACTACAGATTACTTTTTTCAAGTGATTTCAAACCAATCTGCATTGACTATGGTCTCAGGATATCTCAGTTTAAACTTAACATTCTTTTTTATTTATTTTTGCGTATACATCACTCATAATAGACTTTTAAACACTAATAAGCTACATAAGTAAATAAGTTACAGCAGCATATCTTATGGCAATTACTGAAGCACAGTTTTGATGGTAATAATAGTTTATTTACATCGTAATAGAACTGCACAACGTGTGACGATATGAAAAATATCCCTGAGGATTATCTGAAGACACGCCTGAATAAGGAATGGCTACCCTGCGACCTGTGCTAAAAGTCAAGCACTTTAGTTAGCACATTAGTAAAACAGTTTAATGAGGAGCTGTAAGTTTCTTCAAACATTTGTAGGCTGATAAAATTGGCCACCCGCCCGTTCACCAACATCAGCCAGTGATACTTGACTTCTGTGATCTACTGGAACTGTGTCTTATGGTCAGTCCACCGTGGGACATTTTTGGTTGTCAAATATAGTAACAAGTTTACTTAAATTTTGTAAATCTTCCAATTTATTATAAATTTTTTTTTTCTTTCAGTTTAAAGTTTTTTCAAATTGTTGAAACATTTTGATTAAAAAAGAGCAGTGCAACTAAATATAAAACCATAAATAATTTTTTAAAAATTATTATTTTTAAATTATTTTTTAGGAACATATTTTTAAGAGTTTTCTTTGTAGTAAACATTAATTAATTTTAGCACCAGCGTATATAAAGTGTTTCACATGCCATTACATTATATATAAAATACTTTTAAAAAAAATTCCTGCAATTTTCTATTTAAGTAAATAAATACTAAATAAAACTCAATGTTTGGAAGCCAAATTGTTTAAAATTTTTGTTCACGTTCTATTATTATTAATAAAGAAATTGCTTTACTTAGTTTCATTTGATTGTGATCTCAAAAGTCAACAATGATGTATAAATACATAATTTTTCATACTCTTTATTGGCATTATTTCTTTTGGCACATTGAAAAACTTACTACATTTTTTTTAATGTGATATTAAATTTTAAGGCAGAATCATACTAAAGTATTTTAACCATGCTCTAAAATATGAACTTATTTAAACCCAAAAATAATTATAAGTAAAAAACATACATGATGATACTATTAAAAATATTATTAACAAAGGATATAGAAAAGTCCAAGGTGGGTGTCCGCCATTAATGTAGAGAACATAAGAGTAGCCATCTTTAGAAACTCCATGTACAGAATAATACAAAGGCAAGTAGTTATGAAGAGTGAAGTTGCGTTTTTCATAAAACTGAATTGCAACTGTATTTGAAGTAAGGACATGTAAGTAGAGAGCTTTACAACTGTTGTTACCATCAGGATTTTTCGTAAGAAAGTCAACCAGACTATTTAATAGCAGGGTTGCTAAAAATAAGGATCATAGGTGTAAACAAGTTTTTTTTTAAAGAATCACAGTGAAAAATCTTTATAGCATAAATCATGAAATGTCAGGTTTTTAGTTAAATATAGAATTTATGTTATTTTTAGATCATTAAATTTACAGACTAAACATAGCAATGCATATCTGGAACAGATCAATATTAAAACTTATCTACAATATCTGATATCCGGGCATCCATTTACTGGAATCCTCAATTCTTAGGATCAATCACTCTCTTACTTTTCAAAAATAAATAAATTAATAATAATAATATTAATTTTTTCAATCCGTTCAACAATCATATGCATAATTTTTTTCCATCCACTTGTTGCTTTTAGGATAACTAAATCTTTAACTAGAAAAATAAACTTCAGTGAAAGGAATAAATTGTGAATATTAATAAAGTTTATATATTTTTAAAAACATCTACAAACAGGCTTTGTTTTGGTTTAAATTATAAACGTTTTCATTAAAAAAATATATATATTAAATTCTATTCCTTGTTTAATAACGTTTACTTTCTTCTTTTTATTAAATAGGATTGCATACCTGCCAACTCTTCCGGATTTTCCGGAAGATTTTATTTTCATATTTAAAGTGGTAGCAATACTCAGGTTATTCCAATTAACTTTTTGAATTATAATGATAATTACAAATGAGTTTGACCACCACTACATATAAATAATTACAATAAATATATCAAAGCATAATAATCTTTGCTCAAGCGAATTTCAACGGGATCAAAATATAAATATATTTTTGAGTCAGATTGTTTTTCGTTTATTGTTTTACAACCACTCTGAAAATCCATTCTCGGAAAGAGTGAAAGTTGGCAGGTATGGGATTGATTTTAAATTCCAATCAGAAGCTTGTTTTTTAATATTATTAGTATTTTCATTGCCAACTCTGCAAATAATAAAAATGTGCCTTTATGCATAAAAGACAAAGTTCAGCTTATCAGCTGCGTACTTTAAAAAAAAAAAAAACATTTTAAGGACATTAATTTTTTTCTACTAAATATTTTGTTATTTAAACAGAATTTGACTAATAGTAAGAATATAGACGTAATTATCATTTATTTATTGTTATTTTATGACATAATGGATGTTTTGATCTTTGTTTACCTTAAAGACTTATTATCCGGAAAAATCTATTTTCCTTAATTGTCAAAATCCCGACAGTTATGGAAGCGAGACTTTCCACTTTAAACATACAAAAAATATGCACTTAATTATTTACAGAAAAATAAATTAAATTATCACAAGCATTACAATTAAAAACCAATAATAATAACGAAGAATAATCAGTTAGAAAATGTAAGGAGATAAAAATGTACGGTTTAATATATACTGCTTAGAAAAATAGCGAATTAAAAAAAAAAAAAAATAGAGAGTTTCTCAACAAATGGTTGTTTTGCTCACTAATAAAAACTATACAATGTATTCAAAATTACAACCTTTAGCACCAACAAGTCTGAATGCAAAATCAACATGAGTCTCAGTAGGAATGGTTTGGTATACAGAAGAAAGCAAAAACATTATTTTATAGTTTACATTAGTCAAAACAAATTAACACTTTAGAATTTAGAAAATATAAGAAATATTTTTTTTTTAAAAAAAGAATGCAAAACCATACATCTATCTCCTTATCTTATTAGTTAATTAATTTTCATCAAGTCAGTTGTTTTGGGTCAGTTATTATTCTTTTTTGTGGACACTTACCAATGCCATTTCTTCTGAAACCTTGGACAACTCCTAACGTAAGAATATAAGCTACTTTAGTATTTTTGGCAAAATGTGAGGAGAGTAAACCCTGATCCTAGAAATATTTAAAAATATTTTTTAAAATCACCACATCAAAGTTATGGAGAATTAACATTAGACCAACTGTATACAGTCAAAATTATTAGAAAACAATAGAAAGTTATTTTTCAAAATATCAACAAAAAAAATTTTTTTTATCAAAGATTTACTACATTTTAAAACAATATTAACACATTTATGATTTTTATATATCTAAATGATTCTGTAAAAAAAAATTTTTAAAGATAAATTTAACTTTAAATGTCTGGCAGTTAAGCAGATGGGCAAATTTGGGAGAACATTTTTCTCCAAAGCATTGCTTTTCAATTTAATAATGCAGAGGAATCAGTGCTGTAATACTGAAAATGCAGCTTAAAATACAATCTAAGTGTGTTGCTGTCTAAGGATTAAAAAAAGATACAGATTAAGTACATATGTTTTATAAGGTCTTAAAATACAATAATAAAAAATATATATAATAGTTGTAGAAAAGTAAATGATAGATGAAAACTATCATCTAACTACCAGTCACTTTTCTACTGCTCTTATATTTTTGTATAAATATTACTTTAAATATTTTTTGCATATAAATAAAAAAATTTTACTGGGTCACATAAGGCACAAAATGAGTGCTATTTTAGTTAGGACAAATACAAATTATGGAGGATTGTAAATACATTATACATGAGCAAAGTAATTTTGAGTTGGATCAATCAGGAAAGAGATTTTTTAATAAACGAAGAGGATTTAAAGACATGAGATAGTGAGTAGAAAGCTAAACAATTGACAAAACCTTAAAAAAAAAGTTCTAACTTGCAGCAAACTGTTAAGTAGGCTTCTCATAGCAAGTGGTAAAAAGTTGAACTATCTCTTGGGTTGTTTTTTCATGAAAGGAAGAGAACCTTACATTAAGAAATTTCGCTTACAAGGTATTGTTTCCAATGTAGTTTTTTATGTTGAATCTAATAAGACTAATTTTCAAACAATGGGATTAAAAGTAATAAGGGTTTAATGCATAAAAAGAACACCTTTGTGCTTCTACTTATTTGTATTAACATTCATTATCTAACATTGCTATCCGTACAAATGAAGAATTATTTTCAGTGTATTTTTCACATGTTCAATCAAATGAGATTTAAACACCAGTCAATTAAAGTCATTCAGTAATTTAAAATATTTTTATGCAAAAAAGTACTATTTTCTGGTTGCACTTATTTCCAAATTTGATATTTCTTTTTGCTATCGCTTTCCTGTTTTACTTTTTTTTAAAACTTTGAATCAAATACGGCAGAACACTTGATAATAAGACTAACAGTGTAGAAGTCACTCAAGTTTTGTGTACAAAAATTACAACTTCTTTAATTTTTGTATCTGAAGTTACTATCCAGACAAGAAAAGTACTGTTTTAAATATGGTTTCTTATGTTTATCAAATGCTACCAAAAACGAATCTAAAACACTTAGTTCAGAAGTATCAAACATTTTGTTGCATAAAGGCTTCGAATCGTACCTTGTATGATAAAAAGTGTTTTGACTTATATACTATTTCTCCTATTCATTGAGATTTACTTCATTCAATTTATGATACTCAATGAAAAAAATATCTTACTTATCTTAATAAAAGTCAAATTTTAGACTCTTTACAGATAAAAATTCCTTTGTAACTTCTAATTAGTCTAAAAAACTCACGTTTTGTTACATTCAATTCAGCATAACAAAATATCCAGAAATCAATACTTCAAGCAAATCACTTATCTAAATAAAAATATAAGATGCCTACAAAGTATAAAACACAAGCAACTCAATTTCTTAGTAGCTGGATCATACTATAGGTTGAAAATGGCATCACTATATGCAGGAAGGGAGATATGGTACATTGGCTGACATTTGCTTGACTTAGGTGACAAAGTTTGTTTTCACAATTAACAAGTTAGCTTTTAATTTACTTTTTATATCTATTTAATAAACTTATTATTAATTTTATTACAGTCTCAAGATATGTAACTACATTAATTATCAAATGTGTTTATTAGCCTAATATTTTAAAAACTCAAATTTAAAAAAATGGCTGTTTAATAGAAAATAATAATGCAGTTAACTGAATTTAAAATGAAGCACTGATGGCAAGAAAAATGGTAATAGTACTACTGGGGTTAAGGGCTTATAAGTCAAGATAGGTAATTAATACAAATACTGCGACTATAGACAGTATTTTGTTATATTACAAATGTTTATAATGTATAAGGCATACAACTAAACAAATATTCGTTTAAATTAAATTGGGCAAAATAATAAAAATACTATTCAAATTTGTGATAATTTCTAATTGAATCAAAGTCAAGTAAATTAAAACTTAATACTGATATTGTAGAAACATTTACAAGAATGAAATAAGTCAAGAGCACATGTCAAAACTGGAAACACATGCGAGAACACTTGTGCTGCCAAAGTCATGCAAACTCAAATATATACGAAGCGAATACACATTATCTCCCTTCCCACATTGAGTGATGCCACTTTTGATTAATATTGTGATTCTGCCATATAGGAAATTAATCACTTGTCTCAAAACTTTACTTTTTTTAAAGACCCATATATTTTTTGAACTATTAGTCCTATCTACTTAAGTATAATTTCCTTGATTGAGTGTAAAAAACTACAAAGGATACAATATCTCATATGTTTAGATGACAGTACGCAACCCTCTCTCTCCCCCCCACCCACCAAAACACCTAACTGCAAATTCATGCAATTTTTTATAGAATCTTATAATGGACAACTTAATAGTCCAGTTTGATTTTTTTTTTGGATGTCCAGTTTGATTTTTATTTTTTTTTGGATGTCCAGTTTAATCCTTATTTTTTTATGGTGCGATCAAAACGCCTGCAAATGTTTATGTTCATGTTGGATACTCACTGTTTTCAACTGCGGGTGGCAATTGTTCTGTCGTTCAAAATATTTATGCTACTATTTATATAGCACCAGATGGCATTATTTAAAATATAGTTTTCAAGTAATGTAATCATCAGTTTGACAGCTTGCAATATAAAACACATAATGATATTAAAGTTATTGTTGTTTTGCTAAATATAAGTTGCCTGCATCTCAGTACTATTCAAATGAATGTGTGTTATCAATACAAGTGGAGTATGTATAGGGCAAAAATATTCATTTTTATATACATATTTTGTTTATGAATAGTCATTTGATAAGTTGTGTGAAAAAATGTTTTGAAATTGGAGCACTTTGAAATTAAAATATGTTCAAAAATTTTACAAAGTTACTGAATGATAAAACTTAAAAGTTTTAACAATGGCTAAGAGCATAAAAGAATCAGCTACTATTTTGAAAAAGGATAATTTTCTGAGGTGATAACGTATTTTTTAAAACGAGAATTAACAATTTACTATTAGGTAAAACAGAAGCTCAATATTATGTTGGTGGAATAAAATTTATCTATATTTCAGGTTTTCTTAAACTTGAAAATAACATCAATTATATATAACTTTTTTGTCAACTACAAAAACAAAGATTTTAATTCTGAGCTAACTAATATTGTGGCAATGACACATCTTGCAAAATAAATACATGAATCCTACCTCTTTATTGCATTTTGTTTGTGCCTTAATTTCAGCAACAACTAGACCAATTATTTGTACTCTGTATACAGCAGCTAAAGAATAAAACTTGGAGCTGGATGTTATGTCTTTATACCAACTGTCAGGATATCTAAAAACAATTTTCTTTTAGGTAATTACATTACATGACATAAGAAAATAAATTATTAAAAACACTGAGTTTTATAAACAATAAATAAATAAAAAAATCTTACCTTATTATTGTGGGTCGAATAAAAAAAACAGTTCTCAATACGCAAATCACACATACCTAATTAAGTATGCGAAATTTGTGAATTTTTTTTATAATTGACTCAATATCAGTTTCTTTATAAAACATAAATAATAAACGTATATTTATTGGGGTGAAACAAGTATTTACGTACCACCGCACAGTGGCATGAACTCAGCGCAGTTTATAAGTCATATGCATATGTGCGGTTGTCCAAATGTCACGTGTGACGAGCATTGACGTTACAAATGCAAATATCATACGCAGTTTCAGCTATCTTTGCAAACTGTGTTGAATATTTGAAGTGTCATTATTAAAACTTTTATAGTTTTGGATAATTAGTTATTGTTTCGATAAAACAATTAGTTTAGTTTAGATATCAATTTCAATTATCAATGCACAAAAAAGAAGGTAAGCATTAATAATATGGATTAGTACAGCCCGCGACAAAACTATAGCACACTTTGTATTTTTTTACAAAAATTACAAAATTGACCAATTTTGACGAAAATTAAAATTGACCAATTTTAAACCCAATATAGTGTACCTTGCAAAAAAACACCAGGCACACCCATCTCATTGATCAAGAAGCAGTAAATCTTTATTTACTTTACTTATTATATCTACTTATGCATAGTTACTTATTATTTAATAATAACGTATTTCAATATTAATATATTTTTCATAAAACTATTGTTACACAATGTACTATTACTTTAATAAATGTTTAAAATCATAAAATAAATGTACAAACACAGTATCTAATAGAGTTTTATTTTAATTAACAGAAAATTATTTTTGTGGGGGTCGATGGAGATTTCGAAAAATTATATAGGGGTCAGTGATCAAAAAAGTTTGGCGATCCCTAGTCTAAGCTAAGAACTCCTCCCGTCACATAGTCTGAGGCAGTCGTGCTATGAAAACAAGAATGGCCCATTTTAGGGAGGGTAGCTTCACTCAAGGACTATCACAATAGAAGAGATCCCCTTTCTCTCACCGACCCGACCCGAAACCACTCCAAAACAGTGACCCCGCACCCCTACTTGAAATAGTCATACCTCGTAACCATAGTCACTGCCACAGGTCCAGGCGAATGTCTGGGGGAGTTCTTATTTAAGACAAACTATATGTGTGGCATTAGAATGTAAAATTAATGAAAATGTAAAAAAACATTTTACCATCCTTTTGGTAAAAACCTTTGTCAATACTTAATAATACAAACTATTCTATTGACAAAAAACAAATCTGATACCAAAGAAGGTTTATGGTTAAAAACATGCAGAATTTCAACTGACTGTAAGGCATTATAAGTTAAAAACAAAAACCTTTCCCATCCCTCACATACACGGATAATAAATATTAAAAAAAAAAAATTTTATACTCACTCTATCGGAAACCATTCTGTGCAGAGTTTTTTTACTTCTGGCACATCTTCAGGGTTTAGAAATCTCAGCTGAACATTACTGTCATTACACAGGGGAACTTGTTTGCTCATTAGCTATCCCATCCTCGTCTACCAACAACTTTTAGCAGGGATATCTGTGATTAAAGAATTAAGCAAAATTACATATTTTATTAAAAGCAATATGAGGAAGGGAAAAATATGAAAAATAACAATTTATACATTTAGAACCAATGCATTATGGAAAAATGCTCTCCAGTTCATTGATTGCAGTACTGGTAGATCTTTTACCACCTCAAATTTGGTCTGGCTTTTCTTCGACTGCCTGTTGGTCTGATCTTGAATATGTTTTTAGTGATGCAACATATAGACCTTTTTCAGCTGTTTTAGTATTCTTGGTAATTAATTGCACACAATCATAAAATAATTGTCTGAGCAAAACTATATTTGTGATATGACCAGTGACTTTATCTGATGATGAACAAAATTTCCAGCAATAATAAACATTTGAAAAGAAGAGAAGAAAAATATCAAACAAAAATAGCTTTGTATAACTGTACATGAAATAGCCTTGTTATTTTTGTTTGAATATATGGTTGTTGTTGTTGTTAATTTACGTCGCACTAGAGCTGCACAATGGGCTATTGGCGACGGTCTGGGAAACATCCCGGAGGATGATCCGAAGACATGCCATCACAATTTTGATCCTCTGCGGAGGGGATGGCACCCCCACTTCGGTAGCCCGACGACCTGCGCGCGAAGTCGAGCACTTTACGGTAGCACAGTTTAACGAGGACCAATACCGCACACCCTCGGTCCCTACGCAGACTGATCCAAGTGGTCACCCACCTGCACACTGACCGTAGCCAGTGATGCTTGGCTTCGGTGATCTGCTGGGAACCGTGTCTTAACGATCAGTCCACTGCGGGACTTGAATATATGGAGATAAGTTAATTGCTTTTACACCATATGTTATTTGTTACTATATATCAAAAGCACACATTAAAAATAAGTTGAGAACATAATATTCAAAACTAATAATTTTTTTTAAAATGTTAGTTTACGCACAGACATATACGAGAAATTAAAAAAATTTGGCGATTACTTTGGTGCAGGTACCAATATTGAAATCTTTCATTAACGAAAGGAAAAAAATAAATAAATATTAATTAACCAACCTTCAAATCTAATCTAAAATTTTGAACAATACATAATTAGGTTCTTATCAGTTTGCTAAAAGCATAAGAAATTATTAATATAATACCAGTAATACCTATTACTACACCATCACAGCAAGATATACGTATCTCTGACAGAATAATCACCAAGTCTTGGCAACTTCCGGCGAAACTTTGGCAAATGTTTTTGCGCAACCATATATGGATAGGCTCCCATAACTATTTTGTATCAATGAACAAAATCATTAGAATTTAAATACATTTTAGGCAGATTCTTCTTCTTTTCATCTAAGAAAGCTGGTATCTCCTTTATTGTAATTTCTTGATGCTGACTATCCACAGAATTTTATTCTCACTTTTTAAAAATTATAAAATATATTGCACTTCTTTAAATATTTTCTAAAAATAGAGACAATTAAAATTGTAAAAAGCCAAGATCCCTAGAAGGGCTATGTTAAAGTGTGTCTAAGCTTCGACAATTGAAATTCATACAGACTAAATCTCTCCCTCAATGGTCCTGGACACATGAGTTAGAAATGTAAATAAGGTAGACTGTTTCTTTAAAAAGAAAAATACATTAGAAGTTATCTGTTATTTATACGTACTGAGTGTCAATTCCAATGAACAATATTAAAAAATAAAAAAAATTTAATCGAAGAATTTAAAAAAAAAAAAATCCCAGCTTTACCATACATATTTATTAAATGAATACTAAATAGATAAGGGATTAAATGCTTTATACATAGACAAGAGTTTGATATTTTTAGTAATCAATATAAAACATTTATTTCTTTTTAATGCAATTTATTAAATGAAAGTTAATTTGTGATCCTCCCTTTTGTAATATGAGATAATATATTCAACTTTATTACAAAGACGATAAAATAATGCTGTTAGATAAATTAATAATGATTTTAAAAATGCAACGTCTTATGTAAGATCATTTCATTAATAATATAATTAAAATAATTCCGTTTTAGAATGCTTCACTTACCCCTTTCGCTGATTTTCTAGCAGACATGTAAACAACTGTAACTTTCATCCTGTTGATGCCATTTTCATTATAAAGTTAAAAGAAAAATCAATAAATTTCAATCATAATTTAAGAGATATAACTCATAAAATAATAATATTTAATTTCTGAAAAATATTCTTCCTCAATAGATTCTTACCAATGCTTTTCCAATTTCTTTAGATTTCGAGAAAAACGGAAAAACTCTCCCAGTTTTCGACTCTGTTCAATCAGTTATTTTCCTCATTTTTTTTTATGTTCTTTGAACAAAGACTTAGGTAAAACATTTACGAACCAATACGTTTTCAGTGTTTTCGATCGTTGAGATAGCTTTGAGTTTAAACATATTTATTCATTAAAATACTTAGCGTAGCAGAAATTGTAAGGAAAGTTTTATTTTGATTCTTTGCCCCGGAAATAAATTATTTTGAGAAATGAAGCATGTAATTTTACTAACTGTTAAACAGTTTATCAAATAAGGAATTATTTTACTGGAAATTTATAGCGATGAAATAAGTTGCTTTTTATGAAATCTTACGTAATAGTTTGTTTTCTTTTTTTTTTACACGTGCTTGACCTTAAGTTTTCTCTAAGCTGTGTTGATATAAATTCCATGTAGAAAAATAATGAAAGAGAATGCCGTCCATCGAAGAAAAAGCGATATCCAAGCAAGTGAATTACATTAAAAATAAGCTTAAAGGGGTCCGGGAAGCAACTGAAAGTGTTGTGTCATTATTACACAATCGTTTAAATGTAGTAAGTAATTCGACGTTAAAATTTTTTATTTCCTAATCAATGATAATGTGATGCAAAAATGTATACTTAGACTAAAATTTATTTATTGTTCAAGTAAATTTAGGGGGGGGGATCTGTCGAGTCGCCAAGGTGGCCAATAGATTTAAACTTACTAATTTAAGAAGAAATAAACGTGTAGATGGTGGCTACGAGTTATACCTTTCGATTTGGTTCCTTTTTTTATTAGTTTTTCGCCGGTCGCTGCCCGGAAATTGCCAAGACTTGTCGATTATTCCACCACAGAAAATCTCTAAATTGGTACGAAAATATTCAAAGTCTAAGTTTCATGGTGATCAAAATATCGAAGTGATATTCATCTTCGGTATCTGCACCTAAAAAATGGCCAAGTTTCAGCAATTTTCAGGCAATAGCTCACAAGAAGTTTAAAAAAAAATCACAGAAAAAGATCAACTCAAAGGGTCATTAATTACTAGCAAGCTTCAAATAATAAATAAATGAAATAAGAAAAATGTTGGGATTTACATTTTCTATCCACCTTTATTTTAAGCAATCTAGCCTTCAAGATTTACCTTTCTTATTTTAAGGAAACTTTTAAGAGTATGCTACCTATACTATATAGGAGAAACTTTTCATGGAACCTTTTTATAGGAGAAACAAATCACAAACCAATAAGTTTAAATGCTAAAAAATATTTACGAAACGCAAAAAAATTATTGTAGGATTATTTCCTCACTGCATAATCTTGCTTAATTTGTTTGTATTTTGATTTTGAGTAATTTTTCTTTTTTGACATTTGAATTTTTATGGTTTATTTTTCTTGAACTTGAACTCTTTTTTCCTGTGCTTTAACTCTCAAATCGTTTGTCCCAGCTTTTTCCAAACTTTTACACGAAAGCTTTCCTGTGAATAGTGCATATCAGGGAAATTTTAATGCAAATTTACCCATGGGCTCAAAGTTTGGGTGGTTAAATTACTCATATGTATCAAGGAGAATTTTCTATGAAGGATTTCTCCTTTGGTTCAAGATGGTCTAGGTTGGATACGTGATTTTTTATAATTAACTCTACATTTGGTTTCCTACATGTCTTAGCTTAAATGTATGAGACTAAATATTGTTAATAAATTGTCTGGTGATCTGTTAAAAAATCACAATATTATTTTCAGTTACATGAACTAATAAAATATATTAAAATATAAAAATAATAATAGTTATAATAGCACTGCTATTAAATAGACTTTTTTACATTTTGTAAACAGAAAAGACTAAAGGCTCTTGTTGCTTGCATAAAAAAATTAATACTCCTGTCCCATCTTGATTTATAGCGACAACTTTTTTTTATAGATGCATTGATTACTGATGGGATGATCCAAAATGCAAATTTACTGTCATCTCAATTTTGATTAAAATTTTTTTTAAAAACTAGCAAAATTCCTAACAAAAGCATATTTTGATGAGTTTTAAAAAACATATAGAAGATATTCCTAGAACTTTTTCTTTCAACCATTTACTTTGATTTATTCATTTAAAATCCTTTAAAAAAACTTGAAAGAAAGTTTTAAAAAATAAGTGTTTGGTCTAGTAAAAATTAATCACAATTCTCTTACGACATTCCTCGACACCAACTTAAAGTCTACCTAGCTTCAGATCCATAGTTAATAGCCTGTTTTTGAAGTAAATATGCGAATTGTTAACTTACCACATTGCCACCATCATGCCGTTGATCATGAAATTTTGGACTAGACTCCTTGGCCTCCATGACCCTTTTGGCTTAAAATGAATGCTTTACTTTTTAATGTTGTTGGATGTAATGTTTTTTTTTTTTTTGAAACAGTATCAGAAAAAATATTGCAAAAGTCAACTATAAACCAGTTAAGTTTTACTTGCCAAGGAGTTTGACAGGTTAATCCTTTACATCATTGTGGTAATATCTTATTACAGTCTATGTATGAAAGCAAATTAAATCCTCAGTTTTACTATATTTCGTGGCTCTTGCTAGAAATTTTTTTTAGTAAGAATTGTAAAATAAAAATGATGTTACATGTGCAGTGCGCAAAAGAAATAATAATGAAAGAACCACCCGGAATGACTTTTGATCTAATGATCCGATCTTAATGTTTTAGGATTCAATCTTAAAGCTTTGTGAGGAAGTTGACCTAAAACATGCTAATTAATTAGTGCAGACGACATTCTAAGTTACAAAATCGGACACAAAAATGTACTTTCTCTGAATGAACACATTATTTTTACGATGGATTTGGATTTTTGACCACAATCTGGGAGATATGGTCTCAATAATTTGGTCAGGAAAGTGGTCTAAAGTTTGAGCCCCCTAATGGTAATTTTACTTTTTGCGTATTTCACCATAGCTTGAAAAAAATTTTATATTTTTTAGCCAGAGATAATTTCATGAAAAAATAACTTTTAGTGAGCATTTACTATTTTTTATAAGTATATTTCATTACAGTCGAAAAAAGTTTGAATTGTAAGGCATGCAATTTTTTACATAATTTTAAAGTATGTATTTTTACGTGACAAAATACAAAATTTGAGCAAAATCGAGTGTATAGTTCCTGAGAAATTAAATTTTAAAAGTATGAATTTTTCAAAATATGATTTCTCAGAAACTATTCGACCGATTTTGCTTTCGACCAACTTAATAATTGTAAACCTTTTCAACTATTATGAAACAAAAACAAAAAATATTTGCTAAAAGTTATATTTTGTAAGGAAATATCTCTGGTTTTCACAAATTTTATAATTGTGTGCAAAAATGCTTAAATTTACTTAGAAAGTTTTTGAGATTTGTCAAATTACGCAAAAAAATTTAACATTAAGGAGTTCCAACTTTGGGCCGTTTTCCTCACCGAACTATTGGGACCATTTTTCCCAGATGGGGACTAACCCCCTATATTTTGGTGATCAGAGGTTCAAGTCTGTCGAATAAAAAGTATGTTTATTCAGAGGAAGTACATTTTAGTGTCAGATTTTATAACTTAAAATATCCTCTGAACTTAATAAATGAACATATTTGAGGTCACCCCTTTGAACCATTAAAATTGAATCCTAGAGCGAGAAGATCCTAATGTCCTTTTTTTATTTTGCACACTGTACAATATAATGCTTATATATTTCTAGCTATTTTAAATTATTGACAGATTTAATATTGAGTTATCTAACTTTCTTTTGACAGTTTGATGATCGAATTGAAGAGTTGGTTGGATGTGAAGTGGAACATTTTACTACATTGTATCGTAGGTTAAATAATGATTTTGAAAACTTTCAAGAAAGGTTGATTTATATAGAAACTTATATTGAATCATCTCCAGATTGCCAAATTATTTCTAAAAAGGTATGTCAATTGTTCTGATTTTTATTTTTTAGCATTTATATGTTTTATTCATAATTTTTTTAATTTTATTTTGCTGCTCTTATTCACATTTTATTAATTTTATTCTCAATACTCCAGTCAAAAGATGTTTGGGAGGTATTTTTCCCAGAAGACTTTTTTTGTAAATTAGATGCAAAATGATGCATTTTGATATCTTATGAAACTCTATTGGGCCTGTAAGAAAGTAAGTAAAAAACCACGTGGCAGAATCGCAGCGATACGGCGTCATTGTCGCAGAACATTACTGAGTTCTTGCAGAAAAATTTTTCTTTCGAAAAGTAAAAAACTTTATTTTTCTCTTCTGCAGAATCTTATACATAATATTTGAATCATGTATTTAAATAATAACTTTTTGACGCTCTCAATTTACACGAATAGTAACGTAAATGGATGTAATGTTTTGATTGTATTTTCGGCAGTTATTGATATTGATTTTCGAGTGAATTTTAAATATCCCGATATATTTCAAGCAACTTGGAAAATTCGAATCATGCATTTGAGTATTTACATTTTAAGGCAATAATTCTATTGAATTTTTGGCAGTTATTGCTGTTGATTTCTCCATAATTTTTAAATCCGATATTTTTTATACGTTATTATTTATTACAACAACCTAATCTCGAAACGAAACATGCATTTTAGGAGTCCGATTCGCGAGATTTTGTCATCTATCTATTTTTTTTCTTCCAGCAATTACTACCTACGGATTTCATTATATATATATATAATTTAGCATAATGTTGAATTCGCTTATTATAAGTAATTCCCTATCCATATTTTCTTTATTTATTATTTTAATATTATAAATGATTGAATAATAAATTAATTATTGATTAGCATAATTTAAAAATAGGAATTTTATTTAAATGTTAACAATCATTTTTTGAAATGATTGATTTCATCTCTTTCCTTATCTTTTTGTATTAAAAACAAAATGATCTTTTAATTGTCTATCATGAATTTTTCTATCAAAATTGATAATTAAATATCAGATCTAATTTACTTGAAATGCCTTTTTCATTGTCATTTAAAAATAATACTACTTTAAATGTAACATATATGTCAATAAACTTTAAATTAAGTTCTCATTTTATAGTTAAACATAAGCTTTCTTTGTGTGAAGTTTTTTCTCTTCAGTTTCAAACATTTAATATCAAGAAAGTAAAGAGTATTATTGTAGAAGGTAACCTCAAAAGTTTTTATCATTGATACACATTTTCACATGATTGCATAACAATGATTTGGCATTCAGGCTTTCTTCTGTGGTCATTTCTTAACTTGCAACAGAGTGTAGTGATAAAATTAGCTGTGAGGCATGCTATTTCTGTATCATATGAATGAGCAGTGGCCTATCTTAATTTTTATTTTATCAAGAGTATAATAAAAATCCTTTTTCTTCTTCTAAATGTACAAAACAACCATTTTTCTTTTAATGAATATAAAGAGCCTTTGTAGTCTTCTTATGAGTTCCTTACTTGCAGCTGTATCAGCTGTATTGTTATTGCTTTAGCTTCCTTGTATGACCATATTATTTAATTTTGATGTTCAGGGTAGAGTCAATAAATTCCAGAAATGATTGCTTATATTCACGTAGGTGTTTGCAGGAGATAAAATATTTTTTTTGGAGGTTGGTAGCACTAATAATAAAAGCATGCAACCATCTAGAATTCATTCATTTCTGCCTCTCATCTTCCACTGCAGATGAAAATGTTCAGTGTGTTTGAAAAATCGTGTGTGTAGACGGACGAATAACCGTTGATGCTATTGTCTCTGAACATGGAATTTTACATGGGAGTGTTCACAACATTCATGACGATTTGAACATTCATTTTATTGTGTTTGTTTGCACATTGTTCCGTTTACACGATAACACTCCACCACATCTTTCTCTGATAGTGAACAAGTTAGATTATGCCAGATAGATAGACACTGTTAAACCAGTCTAGAACAATTTCCTCATTCTCCCGACCGACAACCAGCCGATTTTTATCTGTTCCCATGTTTGAAAATTCAGATGAGGTGATTGAAAATGCGACAGAGCAAGTGGGGGGTGGGGAGAATCACTAAAAAAATGAATTCCAGGAGCGTTTTGATACGAACTCTGGAAGAAGTTCTCTTTTGATACCAACTTCTGGATGTATATGAACTCGGGAAGAAGTGTATAGTGTGCAGGCGAAAAGTACTTTGAAATTCGATTAAGTAAAATTTTTTGTTCTATTTTTTAATAATTTGTAATTGACCTATTCCAGGAACTTTTTAACCCTTCCTTGTATATAATCAATATTTCAACATGTGATTATCATTTTTATTATTGAATAGAAACTTAATATTTACTAGATATTAAATTTGCCCTAACATTTCTTTTATTGGTGTCATTTATTTTTATAGCCCTCCTTTGATGGTGAAAATCCACTTCAATATAGGCAAGAAACTAAGTCATCATCTTGTCATAGTAACTTAAAACCAGCAGATTTACAAATATCAACATCGTCATCTTGTTCTTCACATGTTTTGCAACCTGAAAATGAAACCATTATTAGTTTTGGTAATATTACTGAGCCCATATCACCTTCAAGATTAATTTCACACCATTCTATTAATAACTTAGGAGAAGCTGCAGCTAACGTTTTGCCTACAACTTTCTATAAAATTGATGAAACTGAATCTATAGAAAATACCACACCCCATGTTTTGCAGACATCTTCTGCATTTTCAAATGAGAATTTTTCAGCTTCCCTTCAAAATAATGTAAATACTTATGGAAATTCATCCAAATCAACTTCATATGCTTCTATCAATGACATTGAGGGTTCGGGAGTGAATTTGACATCTGTATCTATTAAAGCTAATATAACTGACCTTCCTGAAAGCACTGCATCAGAAAGAACTGAGGATGCATTTCAGTTGGAACAGCTCTCAAGTCACATAGCTTCAGTTGAGTCACTTTCAGGGACATCTTGCCACCGCTCATTGTCTTCAAATTTGAGTGATTATCAATCTGCTTGTAGCGGACAGGACAGTGCAATAAATAGTCATCTAAACACTTCTTCTATCCAAAATGAATCTAAAATCAGTGATAGTCAAACATTTTCAAAAAAGAGGATAATAAGCTCTATCCAAGTTGAATGCCCAATGACTATAACAGCAGCAACAATTTCTCATATTGAGAATCCTGGGAACTTTTGGATGCAGTTGTATAATTGTGAGAGTTCCAGACTCTGTTTTCCAAAGTGAGTTTCCTATTTTGTTGAATTTCAAAATATTATTATTTTTTGCTTTTATAAAATTGGTTGATTGGTAGAACTATTTTTATTTTGAGAACTTATAATGAAGACTTTTTTTTCTTTTTGTCCTTGTAAATATATAGGAAAGCTAATTAAAAAACTATTTTAAATAATTTAACTGCTATTGAATGCGTTATATATTTTCGTTTTTATTTAACTAAAATAAATTATGTATGAATTTTTTTTTTTTTGTTTCCCCATATTTTTTCTACTCTAATGTACTTGAAGACAATATCTTTCTTCCATGAATGTTAATGTCACACATTGAAAAAATTTTAACTGTTTTTATTTAAAATTTTTAAAAATAAATTGTAAAAATATTGAGAAATTTATTCAACATCAAGGTTTTAGTTACATATTTTCTCTTTATTACAAAGGAGAATGTGAAGATTCTTGTTTCTCTTCTTGGTACAATAACTGTTGCCAGTCAACTTTACTATTGAAGACTATGCCATATTGCCATAGAAGTTTTAGACGTTTTTTACTTTTTACAATCAGTTAGTTTAGGTTTGAAATTCTTGTGTGTTGGGCTAATTGTATCTAAACAGTAACTATGTCAGATAGCTGTTTTATAAATCTTTAACTGCACTAATAATTACTATTTAGGGTTACTTTCAGAAAGATTAGACTAACTATTTGTTAACATCCTCTTCATAGCATATTGAACATATTCTTTATGTATATCTGTAGGAGTATACATATTATATACTTTAATTAAGTTGAATTTTAATGTTCTTTCCATTTCTCTTATTTTCTTTCTTATAAAAATGAATTATCACATTTTTTCCCCTTAGGAAAATGTTCTTAAAGTCAGATATTCCAACCATTGTGGAAGTTGGTGATTTTCTTCTTTCTCCATCCAAATCAGTGTCTTATTACTTGCGAGTAAAAGTTATAGCAGTTGATGAAAATGGTAAGATTAATTTTTTAAGTATGCATAAGAATGTATATATATATATATATATATACATACAGTAAAAGCTCGCTACAACAATATTTTGAAGACCAAATAAATATATTATTGTAGAGGGATATATTGTTATATATCGAGGGCCTACATACTTTGGGGACACAATAATTATATATATATATTTTTTTTTAAAAAATTTTAATGTATTAACTATAGAAAAATGTATTTATGTATTATGCAAAAAATTAACGTGCGGAGTCTTAATTATGGTTAAATATTAATAACAATTGAAATAAATTCAGAAAATAAGATCGTAAACATACCTGAGCACGAAAATGATTTTCGTTTGTGAATGGTCCTCCACCACTCTCTACAGAAGGAATTCTCTTTCAGGTGTTAATGTGATGCTTGTGGTCATTTGTGACTCATGATCATGACTTCTTAAGAGATTAGGGAGGCAATTCTAAGAATGGAAGCTCTTGGGGTAGTTAGCAATGAGTCTTTGGTCCTCCACCACTCTCTACAGAAGGAATTCTCTTTCAGGTGTTAATGTGATGCTTGTGGTCATTTGTGACTCATGATCATGACTTCTTAAGAGATTAGGGAGGCAATTCTAAGAATGGAAGCTCTTGGGGTAGTTAGCAATGAGTCTTCTTTTGTCCAAAAATATGGAAAAAATGGCAAACGATGTTAAAATAATATTTTTTACAATAATTGAAAACCAATAATATATGGAGAAAATAAGGTTGAAATTTAGAAAAAAAATCATTTCACAGGGGTTTATTGCTTCAAAAAATATCCTAATTAGGACTGGGCGATGTAAGAAATTTCATATCTTGATATATCGTTTGTTAGACATTGCGATATGACATATGTTAAAAAATTGTCGATCAGAAATCTTTAAATTAATCAAAAGTAAATAAAAGGAATAAATCTATTACAAAAGAAAATGTTTTAAGTAAAAACAAAACCAAGCTTTATTTTAATTTTCAAGCTTTATTAAAGCATCGTTAGACCTTTTATTTATTTATTTAAAATAATAAAGTTGTATTAACTAATGTCAAATTCTATACGTAATGAATGTAAAAATAAATTTAAGTTTTTTTATTTATTTATTATTTTCTTTTTTGAAAAGAAAATCGACTAAGGATTTATTTGTTTAAAAATGATACTGACTGCCTAACAAATTATAAAACAAACAAGTATTAAAAGAATTTTAAGAAAAATTAAAAAAAAAAGAAACTTAAAAGTACTATTGTTAAATTTTAAAAAAAAAAAAAACGTCAGAACATGGCTTAACTTTTTATTCAATTAAAAAATATATATTTGTTTAACTAATAGCCAACTTTTTTTATATTTAAAAATGACTGAAGATTTATTGGTTTAAGTATAATAAATTTACAAAAAAAAAAAAANATCCCTTACCTACATTTAATAAATTTAAAGGAACTAACTTTTTATAACAAAGTTAAATAGAATACCCCTATTAATTTGTATCGCTTAAAATGAAAAACAATAATTTAAAAAAACCAATGAAAGATCTTTTTTTTTANCAAATAAATTAAAAAAAAAAAAAAAAAGAAACAAAGAATCTCTTTTAATTTATATTTTCTTTTTATAAGTTGATCGAGTTCAGAATGAAAATTTAAGATAACTGCGATTGCTTGACGATCACAAAGTAACAGCTGGTCTACTAAAAATAATTAACAAGAATCGTTAAATCGTAACAGACAAAAAAAGAAAAGAAAAAAGTGATGAAATAACGCACAAAGAAACAATATGTCTCATTGAAAATAATTTACAAGAAACGTTAAATCACGGCGAAATAAAGTGGACAGCAATCCAAAATAACTTAAGTCCAGCTGAAAGTAATCTTCTAGAAAAGTAAAATCCCTAAGACAAAAATGGCGCATAAAGAAACTATGCATAGTGTTCTATTTCAATGCTGATCCTCGTATGAAACCGGGAGTTCTGATTCAATTCGTTCTTCGTCATTCAACATCATGAAACTAACATCGTCTTTGTAGCTAGAGGCTATCAACATCTCCCCGGTTAGATGAAAGCAAAATAGTTTTACCTCGGTGACAGCGTATGCAAGGATCCTCACATGTTAAATCATTTTACCATTAAACCGTGAGCGTTGTCTTATACTGGCAGCTTAAGTCAGATTTCTGATGCATCGCCTAAAACAAAAGTCATTGTATCGGCCTGCAGATATATGCCTTAAATCGATATTTCGTGATGCATTGATTTATAGCCCAGTCCTAATCCTAATATTGAGCAAAGCATGACATTAATTCATATGCAAGTTTGTTGATACCACGAAACATTGTCGCAATAAAGGGACTTATTGTTGTATTTGACCTCGTAATAGAGAGTGTTTACTGTATCTCTCTCCTTCCCCCCCCCCGTCTCTCTCTATATATAGTGTGTGTGTGTGGATAAGAGTTTTTTGATTGGTCAGCATTATAAGTTTTTATTTGCTCGGATTTTCTTTGAAGAAAGTTTTTTTAAAAAAGCATACTTTATTAAATATACAAGGTGTACAGTATTAAATATACGCGGCTATAACCTCTCGAGGACTAATATAACAATTCTTGAAAATTTTATGCGAATTGTATATCAATTTAATAGGTTTGAAAGAAACCTCCTCCTCCTATAATGTATTTCTGTACTTGGATTTAAAAGTGTCATAACTTTTAAAGTCATTGTTTGAAATGCTCAGCATTGTAGTGATCTCAATGACTTCAATGTCTTTAAACCTTGTTTCTTTATTAAACCTTTTTTATTTTAGACATTGTGGAGATTAATAACTCTCCATACTCTTTGAAAAAATTCTTTGCAGACTTTTTGTTTCCAAAATTAAAATAATTGCTAAGATTTAAGAGCATTTCAGAAGAAGACTTAAAAAGTTGTATCTGAATTTTTATAATCTGAGTACTACAGCATGTAGAGATTATTTCAAAGTGTATTAAAATGGTTCGTAACATTTTCAAGAGTTATTTGATCAGTTCTAAAAATTAATACCCAAATTGAATTAAAACTGGATTTTAAAGTATTAGTTTTAAAAAAAAAAAAAAATTTTAATTAATTTTTCTATGTTAAGTTTTATTTTCTTGAATTTTTTTAATGTAAAAAATTTTTACTTTATGTTGAAATAATAAATTTATATTAAAATGTAGTTATGTATATTTCAGATGATCATGTAAAGGTATTTTTCATTGATCATGGATCTACTCAGAATGTTCAACGAAAAGAATTACGCGTGTTACCATGTGAAGCTTATGAAATACCAATGCAAGTTATCAATTGCACTCTTGCTGATGTAAGAATTTTTTTGAAATCTTATTTTGTTAATTTTTATAATTATTTTCTTACACAAAACGAATTATTTTCTTGGTACAAAACGAAAATTGTCAAAATCGAGTATATCTAATTTCCCTCTAATTTTTTGAACATTTATGTTTTAATGGGTTGAATAGGCAGATCAAAAAATTTTATTCTTAGGCTCTCCAAAAAAAGCACATTTTCCATCTTGTAAATTTAATTTCTGGTGTTTTAAGAATAATATAAATAAAATAGAATTAACTTAAGTTCTATTGATAATAGGCATTGATAAATCCTTTAATTCTAACTAATTAAGCAGTTCATACTTGATTTATGCAGTTTTTTTTAATTTGTACTTTTTATAACAACCAATCTATACTATATTAGATTAAAGGGGCCTGGTTGGTTGAGAGTTAGGCCCATGTTCAAAAGGTAAAAAATGGTGACTGGTGCATGTTAAATCTGTTAGGTCACAAACTCCTCCATGTTCCCATAACAAATCAATACCTCTGGGGGTACTGAATTGGAGATTGATCATTCTCTAGTTTAGGTCAAAATTACGATCTGCGGATGAATGAAATAATATATGTATGAATGGGTCCGTCCTATAAACGGGCTGTAATGTGTAATATGTGGCTGAAGTCTTATTCTTGGCCATAGATTGCGCCATTGAAAACAAGAAATGCACCCTCTGCCTTAAATTCACTTGATTTCACCAAGCAGGCTTGCTGGCATTGGGAAGTGGCATAAGAAACAACAACATATTATGTTAATCATTGAAGATGCTAACAAAATTAGGTGTTCAAATATTTAATTTATTTTTATTTTGTTACTTGCTGTCCTTAATAACAGTTGTAATATTTTCTTAAAGCTGAGCAAGGCATATTTTTTCAGACGATTTTATAAAATTTATTAACTGATACTCCTGCTTAATTCATAATTTATGATCTCAAGTGAATTCTCTCTTTACAACTTTTTCCACTCACTTTGCTATAAAAAGCTAGTCATCCCTACAACATTTATTTCCATAGTATAGGGAGTACTGTAGTCACCTTTATATCATGGAATATATCATAATGCCACCAAAAATAGTGTTTCTGAATCAAACTTTGAATGGCCTTTAGTATTGGAGATGTTTTTTAAAATATTTACAGTGAATCTAAATGGAATAAAAGTACAGTGAAGCCTCCGTCGAACGGACACTCTCGGGACCAAAAAAAGTTTCCGTTAACGAGAGTTGTCCGTTTAGGGTAAGGGTATACATTTTAATAAAGAGTACTCAAGCCATAAATTGTTTTTAGAATAATTGCAATGATTTAGAAATAATTAAATAATATATAAGAACTATTTACATTAACATTTATTTAAACGTAACAAAATTATAATATTTATGATACAACAAGAGAAGGTTAATAAATCTAATACATGCCTTTGTTATACTATATCCAGTTGAAAAGAAAGATGTAATAGAAGTTTGTTTTAAGCTACTGCAACTTACCATATCTTCATGGTACATTTTTAAATCATTTAGCATCTTTACACCAATTTCATCATTTTTCAATAAATAAAAAACTGTATTCATATTATTGTACAAAAGAGTATATTTTGTTTCCTGTAATGCCGAATGTATGTATATATATATATATATGTAATACAAAAATTAAATACTTTTGTATTAATAAAAGCATTAAAACTTCATTCCTTTTCATAAAATATCTTTATTAAAGGATAAGGGTAGAAATTCTATTTTGGGACTTCAAGGCTAAAAACATGCCAATGAATAATAATTAGATTTATACTTCAAAAGAGAAGTTATTTTAAGATCTTTCACTTCCATATAAGGAAAGATTAAACGATTTGCTATGAGTAATAAATAAATTTGATGAGGCGTAAGAATACAGAAAAAGCATATGACTGGAACCTCTTCACACTGTTTAATCATCCTATAAAATGCAGAGCGCTAATTTTGGCGTGGCTTTTTGTTGATTATCATGCCTAATAAAAATCCGTCAGCTTAGACGGGATATGTGTCCCCCCTCTCCCGCTTTGGAGAGGGGTTAAACTGCTATTTCACCATCGCAACTTAATAAAAGAA